TTCAATAGGTAAAAACATGTAACTTAATGTACAGGAAGTAGGAGACCAGAGTCTGATGATTTTTGAAACAATATCAAAAGCACGTGGCAAATGCAAAAGGATATCAGTTTACTAATCCTGTAGGCAAACTAAACAATAAGAACCAGAAAGAAAGGACCCGAGCACACGGAAACTATTTGTAACATATGAACCATTTCCGTAAGAGCTGGGGCATAAACAAGAAAGTGACCGCAGGTGGCCGAAAAATGGTTTCCTGTGCAACTTGGATCTGACTTCCTCTGTAATCGCTCACCTGAACGTAGCACAACGCGCTCGGAGACCGTCACCAGGGTCGAGTACCGGCGATTGGCACTCGCCGCATTCCGATTGCCCACTCTCAAAGGCGCCATTGTGGTGAGCACTTCGCAGACGGATCGCGATGGTCGGCGTAATGGTGGTGGACAGGCGCCACGCGTTGCTGTTGCCATTTTTCGCACAATGTTAGCATCGCTTGCGATAAACACTGACATATTCTTGGGCGAAAGAAGACTCCGGAGTCGGCGGAAGAACAACGAGACGACAATTGTTTCAAAAGGGCAACAATTGTAGGCAGGAAAGTTGAAAATGAAGATGATGTGGGCAGATGAGATTTCAGGAAGTAACCAATGTTTGCGTTTTGCTCGCACAGATGTCTGTTTGCGTCCAATTTCTTTCTCAGACAAGTTGTCTTTCAAAAGTGGTAGTGGTCCACTGCACTTCATTTCAAGTGTATTCGGACCTCTTCTCTTCTTTTTATTCAATTTTGAATAAAGGATTATTTTGAATGAAGATTCGTTTGTCTTTTCGTTTAGTTTGCCAGTCAAAGTCAAGAGAACAGGGATTACCGGAAGCAGAGAGAAACAGGAATAAACACTGACCTTGGTTGAGGAGAAGCAAAAGTTCGAGTGTGTCCTCCTGTGACAGCGGGTAATACCGCTTATGCGAGCGGTTACTGTGCTTTTTCGTGTTTGACGCCAGGATGTTCGATTTCTAAACGGTTTTTGGAGTTGCATCAACGTTCACGGAATGTAAACTATTCATGAAACCAGACTTTCAAAATATGATTCTTGTGCCGAATTTGTTCACGGAATCGTGTTTTTTTGTAATTTTTGAGTTTGCAAAATACCTTTTACTAGCTCGTCTGCGTGTTTCGTGAATAGCATGTAATAAACCAAGTAAACCGAGTGTTAGAATGAACCACAACGACAATCACAATGCAATCGGGCGGTTAATTCTAAACACCTACTCTATCCTGAAATACCTCTTCTTGACTGATCGAAGTGGTCAACGGGAGCATAGAATAGGCACGAGGCCTGTTACTCTGTGGTCGTGTTCGGAAAAGGCCCTGAAACCAAAACATGTCATAAAAGGTGTGTATATATCGATATTAGAAAAAAGGGGTCCAGTTTGATGGAGGTGAACACACGAACCGAGCGGAAAAGTCGAGTTCATCAAAACTGGGCCCCTATCTCTGTGGAGCTTATCATTTCTCGTTTCCTCGAGAACGCGACGGGTCAGTGGGGGCTCTCTTTCTTTTCTTTGCTGTCAAATTAACAACTGCGTGATGAGGGAGAAAATGTTTCAAAAGACATGGGCGGACTAGTCAAAAGAAAATGTGTTAAGACATCCGGATTGATTTATTAGCTTTGTCATTTGCTCACTTCGAGCCACTACCCACCAATAATCATTGCGGTGATTATAATGGGACGAGTGGGGGAGGCCGCACCCTCACAAAACGAAAAAAAGAGATGAACTAAAAATATCTGCACTCTATACATACTACGAGAATATACATTTCACACCAAACAAAAGCGTTCCTATAATTCTTCGTATAATATTTCCACAATCAAAAAAATTCTCCTTGTGACGTCAATTGGAGGCTATTAGGAAGGATTTCTTGAACGATATATCAAATAATACATATTTTAGGAAAATGTGACGTTTTTTTCAGTGTGAAATGTTCTACTAAATAACTCGAAAAAAAGATAAAACAATAATGTTTTGAGAGTGGAGTTCTGTTGAGAGCCACTTTCATTTCATAACTGGTGCAAAAAAGTTTGAAGTGTTCATTTTTTTGCTTGCTAAGCTCTAGAAATGAGCCGTGACCTATTTAAACCCAGGGATTAGGACTTGGAAAAGATTTGTGAACCTTTCGGGTCACCAAAAGTTATGAAACTGTTTCAAAGGGCAAGTCTAGATTTTAGAAATCGTGGTTGGTCTCAGTTGGAATAAGTAAAAACAACATGTATGAATAACTAATCAAATTATGGAAAACGCTCAGAAACGTGCATCTTTGGTAAGAGACAGAGAAGAAAAGACAAGAAAGAACCCATAACATTAAGTTGGGCCGAGACCACCTCCGCGCCACTGGGTGTCCAGAAGCACAAAGATTTTTCCAAAATGACTTTTAGTTTTTGATATTGTTACGAGGCACTCACCGAACCGAAAAACCCACCGCCGCTCCCACCACCTCCAGTGCTTCCCCCTCCTGAAAGTGGCGGGGCAAGGCCTAATTGCACCTCGGTGTGCACATTCTGAGCGTAGTGTTGGACCACCAGCGGTTGCATTATCAGTGCTTGATGCTGTCCGGCGGATGATTGGAGCCTTCGAGGATGCCCTTCCTTTTGCAGATCTTTTGTGACCTGAAAATGTTTCATTTCATACACTCACACTCTTCTTGTCAACACATATTTCATTTTCTCGCTTGCCCGTTACAAGTGCCCGCCACGGTCGCTCAAAGAGCGTGCTGCAGCGGTGGAGAGCGGCATGTCTACCCGCAGCAAAGGATAGCCTCCCACTGGCCGCGTGGCGCAATGGATAACGCGTCTGCCTACGGAGCAGAAGATTGTAGGTTCGAATCCTGCCGTGGTCGAAACTTTTTTGTCTTCCCCAAACGAAACTAAATTGAAAAGTTACCTCGGGGTGGCCACGCTCAATTGACACACATTTCAGGGTCATTTTCAAAGATATCAGTTGGAAGAGCAATTTTTAGACTTTTTCAATGAGTGTATTCCTCAGACTTGCAACGGACCGGGACAAAACGTGAAATTGTCCGGTACTCTTCGGTTTAAAAATTGTTTTAATGGTCCAACGATGTAATTTCCAACTTGCGTGAAACATTTGCAAAAAACTGTCTCATAAGATCAAGCCTCGGAAAACCTGAGCCGGCGACATGTCCGACCGTGCTAATAGCCTTCACTATTACAAAAACTGACCTGTGGAAAGACCATCCTGACTCGTGGCTCACAAGTACCTGCAAACTTTCAAGTGAATAGCATTGCAACGAGTCTTCTGCAGCAGGGCGAGAATGAAGTAGTGTCAAATTAAATGAAACTAGGCGAGAAGCGTCAGCACCGGAAGTTTTGAGGAGAAGGGCCCGTTGTGGGCCGCCGGTGAGAAATTGAGAAACATTTTTACAAGAAGAATTCAGAAAGGAAAGTGCATTTTTACGGGCAGAAACGAACATTGCAAAACGGAAAGCGGGAAGAGAAAGAAGAAGAAAAATGAGTTTGCTCTCGCCTGAAACGTGGTCCCAGAAAAAAGTTTTTTGTTCGATGTGAATCCGTCAGGATATGTCACCCGTTTTTGGGGAAAAGAAACATAAAAACACAGAAACGCTGACAAATGGTAGTACATAGTTTTGTATTATTTTGCGCAATGTTATAATAAGGATACAAAATGAAACATGAACAAGACAAACAAACACCAATAAATAATGCGTGAGATTTGTTTCATAGAGCCAACCAGAACAACAACACATATTTCAACGAAAAAAGCCAATTGTAGTGTATTATTTGGAGAAAAGAGGTCACCACAAGTTTTTCGGAGCGTGTATAATGTCCAAAACATTTCTGTATCATGTCGGCGTACTCGCTGCTCCGTTTTGAATTCCGACTGGAGTCGCCGAGCTTGATTAGAAGAAGAAGAGTGAAAAAACTCGAAAGTTCTCCCTCAAATACTATCAGTCTGGGATTCATGCTAGCGGTCCTTCCGGTCACTCGCCAGACAAATTTTTCTTCGAAACAAAAAAGGAAAACGCGAGATCTTTAAAATTTTGTGGAAACGCAACATTTGCATGAGCCACGAAATGAAAACAAAGAAAAAGAAAAAAGGAAAGACACCTTATCAAGATGCTCACATTCTGCCGAAAAGACTCTTGGGACTCAAAATGAGGTCACTCAACACATTTGAATGCAAATAGCTCGTCTATAAAAAAACAGAAAGAAACGCGGGGTAAACAGAAGGAAATTAACGTTATGGAAAGTTCAAAGTTAGGACGGAAGTTGCCGAAAAAAAGATGAAACAGCAGCGAAGGGAGTTTCTGGGTGGGGGGAAGAAGAAGTTGAGCAAATGTCAAAAGAAGTTATTTGCATCTGCCGATCCTTGACATCTTCTTCCCTCTTCCCCTTTCGAAATGTTGCGAATACACTGTGCGTCGGGAAGAGATTCTTCTGATGACAACCATGACACTTTTTGGGGGGAGTGGAAGTGTCCGGATTGCAATAATCACCCTTGGGGTCTGGCGTTGGTGTGTGTGTGTGTGTGTGTGCATGTGTTGCATGCGGTTTGACAAGAGAAGAAGAGCCCACGATGTCAGTTTGTTGCGAGTTTCGGCTGACAAAAAAGAATAATGGCATTGGGCATGGAATATTTTCGTGTTAAGGAACTCGCAATCTGTTCCTATTTTTCTCCTCCGTTTGCTCACGTGTCGGTTGCTCGTCAAAAACTTCTTGTAAGAAAAAGAAAAAAGAGAAAAGCCTTCTTTTCCAGACCAGTGTTGCAAACAAAACGAAAACATGTTCCGTTTTGTAAAACAGATGGCGAGTTCAAGTCGTTTGCATAACAAATTTATGTTAGTTGCTACTTTATTGTATGTGATCTTGATTTTTATTTTGAGATAAGAATAACATTCATCGCTGAGATATTGATATTTGAAACATAAAGTGAATGACAGGAATGTGGAAAAATTAGCAGACAACTCTTCAAACACTCGCGTTAGGAGAGAGCACCATCGCAAAAACCGTTTCGTTTTCCTCCAAACTCTTCTTCTTCTCATTTGAAGGCAAAATCAGCAGAACCTGTGCTCCGACCAAGCTGAGAAGACGCGAAGAAATTTGGTTGCCGGTGATGTGGGCGATTGGCAGTTTTACATCGTCTTCATGTTTTAGCCAAGCTCTACAGTATTCTGGACGAGGTCCTAACTTGATGCTCGTGGCGAGTTGGACGGAAATCTTTGGAGCGTAAAAGCGAGGGAGTCCGGAAACGGCGCGGAGGAGCGGCAGAACGAACAAATGAGAGCACACCCAGGCGGATGCAGGGTTTCCGGGAAGAGCAATTACAACCACAGGCTTCGTTTGGATGGTCCCAGATGCCACGGTACACGGAAGACCTGGTTTCATCCAAACCCGGCCAAACTCGATCTGAAATTTGTTCGATTTCCTCTCCTGTTCCCACTTCTAACACTCACCTTCATTCCCAATCGGTCTCTCAGAACGTGCTTCATATAGTCTTTCTCGCCCATGCTCACTCCTCCAGATGTCACAATGATTTGAGTTTTCTGAGTACAGGTCTTCAGTTTCTCTTCGATTTCACTTGGCCTACAATATCACGCATTCGGATGGATACATGTTCATTTTCAGTGGTACAAGGAATGAGAAATGGAGGAATAACAACTGGTACAGTGCGTCCAATAAAGATGATGGCCTCTATATTTTGAAGGCACAGCCAAAACGAGAATAGTTATGAGACTTTTGTGAATGCAGTTCGATTTTTCATGTGAAAAAACCCCGGTTCACATTTTCTAAAGTGGTTGCACAAAAACTGGGGCAAAAATCACTTTTTCAAGAGTTTAAATTGAGCAAAATTTGTCGGGTAAAACTTGAGAAATGATCATTGGGAGCCTCTGAATACTTGAGGAAAAATTGACGTTTTTGTGCTGCGCCGAGGACTCATAGAAATGAGAACTGTTACAGATGAGAACATAAAAGTGAATAGCTATGAATGAGAACTGGCAGAGAGAGAACACGCGAAATGAGAATTTCTATAACAGGGATCTAGGATATCAAGCCATGGCTTACTGACCAAAAGTTGGGAAAAATTTTTTTTTCAAGTAACTGACCAAAAGAAATTGTTGTCGCCGTGATATTTTTTCTTTCTTTTGAAAGGTGTATAATCTGATTATTTCGTATTAAACTTTTTGCGGAATGCTACCTCTAATGTAGTGACGTCAAAGGTTTCATCGTACAAGTGGGACCGTCTCTTGGGGTAATGAATTCACTCACAGCATCAAGTGGAATGAATTGAGCATGTTTTGGCAATCATTTTGATATTATAACTTGCCAAGTTTTGTCGATTCGTCAGTGAACTACACTCACTGAAGTACTATTGACAGTGCATAAACGTTTGCAGCCGTGTTAGGGCAGCCGTGATATGTGCCTCATCAGCAGCAAGTGCGCTGGATAGAGCAATCCAAGAGGATCATTTTTATACCATAGAAATTCTATAAATGAGGACTCAATGTTTTACAAAATCACACGTAAATGTCTACATATTTAAAAAAAAAAGAGTTTTCATTTCGCGTGTTCTTATTCTGCCAGTTTTCTTTTTAAGCAATTCTCATTTATATCGGTTCTCATCTGTAACAGTTCTCCTTGTACCTCAACTCACTCATCTCCCATTCTGCCACCATTGATCGCCTTGAATCCGTGTTCTTTGAAAAGAGCAACCAACTGGGGGCAATTGGAGTCACGCACCATACCGATTGGCAATGGTTTAGTGAACGGAGCAACAAGCTGAAAAGTATAGATTTGTGATTTTGAATGAAACTCCGAAAACCTCATTTCCACTTGAAATCACAGTCAATTGCGGTTTTATGTACACGGAAACATTTTCAATTCCAAATGCGTTCAAAAGTCCGTACTCTGCAGATCCGAGAATGCATCCAACTCCAAGCAATACATCTCCTTTTCGAACCTCCGATCCTGGTTGTCTGTTTTTTTGACAATTAGCTAGGTACACATTACAAATGTTCATGGTTACCTGATATCTTGTCCTTCTTTTATCTGCGATTTCACTCGAATCTCCAACTCTTTTTCACCGTCTGACTTTTCAATTTCCGTATCTTCGACTTGGATAACAGCATCTGCCCCGTATGGAACGACACCACCAGTACTGATACGAACGCATTCTCCCGGACGGATCTGAAAATTTTACCAGAAGTGAACCATTTTTTGAAGTTGTAAACTTATTTCAATGGGGCAAAAAAGGAAATTTATAGAAATTAGTTTTAGTGGGACATTTGAGGGTGTTGCTCCGAATCAGAACTGCTATTTACTCGACACTTTCTACGTCTTTTCAACTGAAAAATGTCTTACCGTGATCAAATTCGTGGAACCTGCCGAAGAGGCGCCGACCACATTTCTAATTCTCATCCCATCCGCCGATTGCACCGCATATCCGTCCTTGATCGAAGTTCGGGTTGCAGGCATATTCTCAGTCGCAGTAATCTCTTCAGCCAATACTCTTCCTGCAGATTTTTAATTAAAATTCGGTTTCAGAATGAATGACTATCTCACCGAGATCGAGTTCTTCAACTGACAAGAGCTCAGTTTCTCGCGGGAAAAGTTCGGCGATTCTCCGGATGCTTTCGTCAGCTTCGTCCATAGACACTGCTCTCCATGGGCTCTCACGGGGACGGTTCACAATCGAAGTCATGCTGAACAACACTGATTATTTAAGACTGATAAGTGTCGGAACAGAAAATACTGAGAAGAAAAAGAAAGAGAGTCAGCCATCAACAATGAAAAGATATTGAGAAGAGCGCGGAAAGAGAGAGAGAAATAGGGTTCACCGTTGCAATAAAATGATGATTTATCGCGTATGGATTCATTTTTATCTCTTATTTTATCATTTATCGAGAAAACGGAAAAGTTTTTGATGTAAACAATTATATAAATGAATTCTCGAGCAATTCTCGGGATCGAGCGTAGCACGAGAGACTCAGAAAATCGAACGTACCTTGTGTGCCTGCCTCCGCGGCAATATTGATCGTGTAATAACCCGGGTGGGAAAGAAACGTGTATCACGTGAACAACACTTTTATCTTTGTGCTCTCTACCCTTACTGTTCGTGTTCCTCAAAATTGTAATCTGAACAAACAGAATGTGTTATCAGAAATAGCCAAATGAATATTGGAATGTTAAAGGATTTTTGGGTTATTTTCTCTTTATATTATTCAACAGATTTTCAATTTTCTTCAATTTCATGGCTTAAAAATATCTTTGGAAATTTGGGGCTTTGGTGTGGGAAGACCATTTGGATAAGGATTGGGAGTAAGGGAAAAAAATTGCATAGAATTTGTAAACGGGGACAAAAGGAAAAGAGAACGATAAGAACAAAAATCATGACACAATAGGTGTTTCTAGACTCATCATTACATAAAAAGTCAACGATTAGAAACAATTGTCAAAATGATGCTGATTGAGACCTTTACTTCGGTGTTCCGGCAACGGCGGCGTTTTTCACTGAGATTTTGGGCGGCGGCGTGCGATTCTCCTCGTACGACTGACTTCTGACGTCGGACGGAGTTCCCCTCTTCGGGGTCGGCTCGACAGTCTTCACACTGGGACTGCTCGGGAAATTGAACTGGTACTCTGAAAATAGTTCACGTTTCTTCTTTTATCCGCTGGAGAATTTTGGGAAACGTACTCTGGTTCTTCTTCTTCTTCTTCTTCTTGTATTCCTTACGGTCGGGAATGCACTCTTCACCCGATTCGCTCTCCTCTTTTTCTTCTTCTCCTTCTTTATATTCTGCCTCTTCTGCTTCCTTTTCTTCTTTTTTCTTTTCCTCGTCCATCCACTCCACTTTCTTCTTTTTCTTTTTATCGGTAACTTCCGGTTTCTTTTCATTCGTCGGTGGTTTTGTCTGTGCAGACGTGGCGACACTTCCGGCTGCTCCAGGCTCCTCCGTCTTGGGCTTTATAGGGACGCATTTCTGCAAAAATTTTCATTTTTCGCGAAACATGAGTCGGTTTTCTCTTACAAGTTTGCCAGGAAGTTTCTCGAACAGGTCGAGCAACTCTCGCTTCTGCGCTTTCGTCGTCCACGTATCGTTTTTCTCAGCTTGAGGCGACTGGCTGAGTTCAGAGTAGAAACCACGGATGGCCTCAATTCTCTGCTCATAAATCGCTTTCTGGGCCTCGTTTCCGTTCTTGCTCTCTCGAATGTACCAGGTGTACAGGGAACGGGCTTGCGAGAACATGTCCGCAGACAGTTCCGGAATCATTATATAGTACGAGTACGCGAAAAGCGTCTTCCAGAACTCGACGAACTGGATGTTCTTCTTCTGCAGGCCTCGAGCTGCGCACTCTCTCTCCAAGTGTGACAGTCTAAATGGATTTTTTACTGGAAAGTTGATATAATTCACTGACCTGCAGTGCAGGTTGACCGACAGCTCGCGAAGATAATTCCCACCGAAGACCATGCTATCCTCGACAGTGTAGACGAAATGGAGCCATCCGGCCGGAATGAATGCGGTCCCACCAGCTTCGATCTCGAGCAGACGGAACACGTGCGACATCTTCGAACCGAGCCAAGTCTTTTTCTCGGCAGGCGGCAAAAGCTCGTATTCTTGGTAGAGTTCCAAGTTTTCCTCCGTCGGGGGTGCTATGAAGAACCACTTCTTTCCCTGAAAAATGATTACATTGTCAATCTTTTGAAAGTCTTTAAACCAACCCAAAAGACGTGGTAGAAAACGGCAGAGGCGGAAAAATCGATGTGAATGTCGGTAAAGGATCCCTTCATCGACAGAAGGAGAAATTTGTCGAAGTGACGAATCTCTTTTTCCATTTTTTCAAATTTCCCTTTCATTTCTCCTTTAGACGAGTCGATTTTCTCTTTCATGTACCGTCTGAGGATGTGCAGCATGCCTTGAGCTTTGACGCACGATGGGACTTCGAACACCGGATTCATTCTGAATCGATATTCCGTTATAGTTAAGGGATATTAGATACTTACTCCTCGTTGCCTGAGAATTCAAACGATAGCAGGTTCAATTTGCGTTTTCTCGATTTTTTGAGGAATTCGTTCACCAATTTTTGCATACTCATTTCCTTCGTTCTGCCGACGTCGGCGTCAAACACATTCACCTTCTTTCCATTTGCAGTTGCTGAAAATTTACGAAGTTCACATTGCGTCAAGAAAGTGTTTGAAAATGCTTACGGTATTTAATCAGAAGATTTTCGAGCGTCAGGCCCTCCGGACACATCATTCCAAGGCCTTTCTTTGACAAGAACAAGTGAACCTTATCGAGATCGAGGTTCGATCCGGTCTTTTCGCCGTCCGGGTGCACTTCGATATGAATGTTCCTGCAAAAACCAGTATTAAAACAATCTAAGCGCTCATTTCTTACATGTTTGTGTTGAAGTGCTGGTAAACTTGCGGGAAGAGTCTATTGAAGTCGGTGCATTCCGGTGTCATCGTTGTCAGGTTCTCGATAATGCTCATCTCCTGCTCATGCTGCCTTCTTCTCTCCTCTTCCTGCTCCCGTTCCTTCTTTTGCTCTTCCTCCTTTTCTCGTTCCCTATTTTCTCTGAGTTTTTGTTCCTTCTTCTGCTTGATTGGTGTATTCTTCGTTTTCTTCTTCTTCGTCAGTTCAACGCTCAAATCGCTGGTACTTGGCTCGTCCGAGTCGAACCTAAACATCATACATCTTTTCTTCTTTCGATAATGTTAACATACTCTTTGTCAGGCTTAACATAACCTCGCTTTTTGCGTGTTTTTTCCATCGTTCGAGATGATTCTGCAACAAAAGATACGTTATAACTTTGAAGTAGCGGGAGGTGGAAACTACAAGAAGTTTACGCGAAATACAAACAATAAAGACGGAAAAGCGACATTTGAAGCAACAAGTAGAACACGATAGTTCAATAAAACAGGCAATTTTCGGAAAGGCTGTGACAAGATATTAAAATTTCAGTGCAGAAATCGATAGTTTGCTCTCAGAAACCGCAATTGCTGGCAAAATGAACTTCGGTAGGGTAGGTCAAAGAAACAGAAGGGAGAGATACGGTGGAGGGTCGACACCGAGTGAGCACTGAATTTTGCAATTTCCGGTTGAAACGGTCCCTCCTACTGGAAAAACTTTCAGGGCATCGCAAAAAAGAGGGTCTATTCGAAAAAATCGCATCACAACCGCAACTGATAGCTGCAGAAGCTTAAGAATGACGAACAAGTGTTTGTAATAGCCGGAAAAAAAATGAATGAATTTCTTTTCATTTGCTGTCATATCGTTTGTGGTCGGCCACGAAGAGAAATAAAACGGGGCAAGCCTGTCTCTCTCTCTCTCTCACGTCTGCGAGAAAGTGAAAATGATTCCAAGTCCAGCGAGCGTGAAATGAAGAGAACATGCAATGAGTGGAGCCGATGCGGAATGAGAATGTGCGAATTGAAAGTGAGAAGAGAAAAAGAGAGAAAGACCGGAGCACGACTGAACTTTTCGTACGACTGGCACGAAAAATTCACCATTCTTCGATTCTGCTCTTTTTTGCAGAATTACTGTAGTACGGTAGGTGCGAAAACTAAAAAAATTCAACTGTTTTTTTTTTGGAATTTAAGAAGCAATGTCTGAAAAGTTCAAAAACTGCAGGTCACTAAAAATTCAGAATGCTTCAATTTGTCCCATATTATACCTAATGGGTACTTACATAACAGTGATACATCAGACAAGTTTTGGTCCGGCTCCGTGGTCCCTAGTCCGATCACGGTCACAAAATAGGTCAAACCTGTAACTAATTTCAAAAAAATGCTAGCGTCTCAGACTCAACGCTCGCTATTGAATTTCTCGCATCTTTTTGAGTATATTTCACGTTGGGACCAAAAATTTAACACCCCTCCTTTATGGAGAAAAAAATTGGTTTGTGACATTTTTCAGAAAATTTTTCAGTTTTCTGCTCGTCCTGAAAAATTTTAACACTACATAGCCATGATTTTATTGCTGATTCTGAATCTAGACATTATTGTGCTTCTACAAAAAAAAAGTTAACCCCGATCCCGATTGACATCAAGGGGTTTTTTGGATAAAATTCACAAAATTCGTAGTACTTTTGCATGGAAAAATGTTCGCGAACTTGAGAAAAGTGCTTTTTCTCAATTTTCAAAGGGGTCTGATCGCGATATTTGTTGTTTTCGTATACTTTTAGGCATTCTCAATTTTTTCGAAGCATTTCGAAAATTAATTTTTTCTCGAAAATTTTGTCATGACCCTCGGGTCGACGACTTGGTCTAATTTTTTTTAATTCTCGAAATGCTCCCAAAAAATTGAGAATGCCTAAAAGTATACGAAAACAACAAATATCGCGATCAGACCCCTTTGAAAATTGAGAAAAAGCACTTTTCTCAAGTTCGCGAACATTTTTCCATGCAAAAGTACTACGAATTTTGTGAATTTTATCCAAAAAACTCCTTGATGTCAATCGGGATCGGGGTGAACTTTTTTTTGTAGAAGCACAATAATGTCTAGATTCAGAATCAGCAATAAAATCATGGCTATGTAGTGTTAAAATTTTTCAGGACGAGCAGAAAACTGAAAAATTTTCTGAAAAATGTCACAAAACAATATTTTTCTCCATGAAGGAAAGGTGCTAAATGTTTGGTGCCAACATGAAAAATGCTTAAAAAGATGCGAGAAATCAAATGGCATTGAGTCTGAGACGCTAGCATTTTCTTGAAATTAGTTACAGTGTTGACCTATTTTGGGCTCGTGATCGGACTAGGGACCACGGAGCTGGACCAAAACTTGTCTGATGTATTACTGTTATGTAATCACCCATTGGGTATACAATGCGACAAATTTAAGCATTCTGAATTTTTAGTGACCTGCAGTTTTTGATCTTCTCAGACATCGCTTCTCAGACATTAATTCCGTTTTTCCACCACCGTACTACAGAAAACTTTAAAAGGCTCGGAGCCAAATGATATCAATTTCAAAAATCAAACGATATTCTTGGTCTCACTGTACCTAATATTATTCCATTCTAAGCACACTGGGCTGGGCTCCGCAAAATTTAATGAGCAAGATGCATTATGCGGATTATCTAGCTGCCAATAGGCGCACAGACCCGAGCAGGTAATGAAGATGTGAGAAATATGAGTGAGCAGAAAAGGGTGAAGGTACAATTAGAGTACTAGATGTCAACAAGCACGTAATGCGAGCACCCTAGTCATACCTGACTGCACTAATCTTCAGGGAGCCGGAAAGGCATGTACTAATTAATAGAAAGATGGTTGAGTGCGCTTTTAGATGACAAATATATCTCGATAGACGAGAGCAAGTTCATTAAATATTCACTTCTTTTAATGTTCCCAGTTTTTAATTGACAATTCAAAAGTGCAGAAGGGTTTGACGGAAGAAATGACGAAGTTTATCTGGAAACGATCATAAAAGTGAGCGGACATAACTGGAATTGCACAATGAAATAGCTTTTGCTGCCCGTCGATTCGAAATGTGCATATGGATATGGATCCTCTACTCTTTGGCTTCGAGCTCCGTGCACACCCGTTATAATTACAGCAGTACGTCATGTGCCCTTCCTCATTTCCTTTCACGCACGTTTCAGTCATGGGTTCTGGTTTTGCACGGGGACGAAACAATCTGTCGGGAAATTAGAAATTATCATGCGATCGACACCTCGGAAATTGTCGAAATCCGGCTCGTTACGAGGAAATAAAGAGCAATTCGTTGCAACTATTTTTGGAAGCGTACAGAAAAAGAGATCGCTTTGAATAAAAATGCGCCAGAGCGAATGAATAGGACGAATGGAGGGAACTAACAAAACATCTATATACACACAGATGGACACGTATGCATGTCTGCAAATTATGAAGCAAAAAATGAGAATGTCTGATATTGGAGAGAAAAGGGGAAGTGCACGTGATTTGGAGTAAATGTTGCGAGGAAAACACGGGTTGTGTGGGAAACATGAGTGGGCAGTTGCTGAGAATCGCGCAAAAGCTACCGAGCATGCGATTTGAAATCATGCCGCTCTAATTATAAGTTTCTGCTCCAAGCGGCTTGGTCGATGTTGTCGAAAACAGAAATCGAGAAACAAATTGTAGAGTTCAGAGCACATAATGCGAGGCAATTAGGCAAAAATGATGTCAGTCTGTGCCAACAACTCGAAAACTCTGGGCATTTTAAGATATTTGGCGGTATTTCCGTCCGAAAAAGAGTTTCCATGCCTCCGAAGTTCAACCGCTGCGCGACCGCAACGCGCCCCTAACGACTTTTGTCTTTTTTTCTCACTGTAATTTGCGCGCGAAGTGAAAGGTCTTCTCGGACGCGTGGCGGTCGCGCTGCGGTGAAACGTCGGAGGCAGGATTATGAATTTGAAAGAGCGCAAAATAACAAGATGACGCTGTTGTAAAATGGAATGGGATATTGTAGCTGCACTAAGCATGCAAAAAGACGCGATGGATGGATGACCTTGAACAATCAGAGTGAATGAATATGACGAATGGGACAAATTGGCACGATATATACATAAACAAAAGGACTGACGCTGACACGCATGCGTTTGTGCAAACTATGAAACAAAACATACCCAGGAGAAGCCGATGGAAGAAAGAGCCGGTATTAGAAACAGAGAACTACTCGCAATTTGGTCTGGGAGCTGTCAGATAACTACTAGTTATGTGGGGAATATGTGTGCGCAGATGCTGAGAAACCTGCGAAGGGTATCGAGCATGCGACTCGAAATCACGTGCGCGGCTCTAATTATAAGGTGCGGCAGTCTGTTGTTGTTGTCGGAAACATGAAAATTTCGCTCTCTGAGCACAAAACACAAATAAAATAAGCTCAAAACGATGCCAATTTTGTGACAGCCTTTTTCAGCAACACTTTTCCGATGTATGGCCTCGGATAGGAGCTGCAAGCGGACAGAGACGTGGAATTGGCGAGTCGACCGAAAGACTCGCAATACTGACACCTTCTTGCCGGATTGAAATCTGGATTTTCGCGGTAAACAATCAGAAAACCGATTTTCCCAGTGCGAAACTAAGATCTTTTCCCCAAATTTTCTATTGAACCGGAAAATTCTCGGTCCCAGCGGCCTGATCTAAAGCCGCGTCTGATCAAATGTCGGAGTTTCCGGGACGAGGCAACGATGCTCCAAAATAATCGACTTTTCGGGTTCAACCTGAGAGTGCACAATGATTATTACTGAAACATGCACCCAAATCCGTAGTCAGTTCGAGAGAATTTGCCGAAATTATGCGCGAAAATGAGCGATTCGGAGAACGACCAACGCTTACGGAACACTTGACCTTATCACATATCGGGCGAAAATGCCCGAGAGAAAAGGAGGACAATATCAACAACAACAAAGCAAAGCACGTGCGTGAAAAGCGTCAAACTTACGTCACAAAGCGAGGCGGAGAAGCGATTTGTCAACAGGACAGATGGAGAAAACAGTAGTCGGAAACTGTTCACTCCGCGGGATGGCAGGCAATTGTGAGAAGCGGGTATAATAAGACTGTCGAATTAGTTTCTCTTATTTTCTTCTCTGCCGTGTGTTTTCGGCGGTGTCTCAATAAACAATGCTCTGCCTTCATCGCAATATTTCACTTTCCCTTGCATCTCTCAACCCCTCATACGCCCACACGCTCTTACGCGCACTCACGCACACACGCACTCACGCCGCACTCACCACACTCACCGGGGCACGTCGTGAGGGGACGAGAAGGGCGAGAGGGCGCGGAGGGGGAAAGAGAGACGAATGGCAGCTGTGACGCAGTTTAAATAGACGTAAAAACAGAGGGTAGGGTATCTGGCCGCGTGGCGCAATGGATAACGCGTCTGCCTACGGAGCAGAAGATTGTAGGTTCGAATCCTGCCGTGGTCGAAATCTTTTTTTTTTTCGTTTTTTTGAAATGAGAAAACCCAGCGAACAAAACATTGAACAAGTTTTGACAGGAGCAATCGGTTCATCAAAAATTGTGTTGGATTCAGATATTGATGTTAATTACTTTTGATTATTCAATTATATTTCAGTCTTTTTCCAAAAATTACTCAAAAAATCAGCATTGTTCAATTTAGCCATTGAAAAAATGAACAAAAAAATATTTTGATTATTCGATTCGTCTCACTGGGAGCCTCGGTCTTCTGTTGCCCTTATGCCTTCAGTGTAAAAGTGTCATAAATTGTGCTCTACGCTGCTCTCGTTTGTAAACCTTCGACTGCCGAATGGACGCGAATGTGTGGCGAGGAAAGCAGAGAGCGAATGCGAATTCTTATCTATTAGCCGTCATCACAATGTTACACTCTGCCATTTTTCACGCGAGATCGTGGCGGACGGGCAAAACGATGGCTGACCTGATATGTCAATGAAAGTCAGGGCGCTGGGTTACAACTGGCCGCGTGGCGCAATGGATAACGCGTCTGCCTACGGAGCAGAAGATTGTAGGTTCGAATCCTGCCGTGGTCGAAACTTTTTCAGACTTTTCTCACCGGAAATTCAGATTGACTACTTTCGTAACTTAACGTTTTGTTTACCCTCGGAGAAAGGTGGTGATGACATTCGTTCTCACGTAATATACATCGGTAAACACAGTTCAGGTCTCAACTTGATCCCCCCCACTATCCGTTCGTTCTTCTCGCATCGGTACATAAGTATGATTGACATGTTTGAATTAAAATTGTGCAAAGAACAGAAGAAAAGAATATGTAACTAGCTGAAGACAGACAAGACTCCGAGCCGGAAAACATGTTTACAGGAGAAGAAGTAAAGTTGTGAAATGTTATTCAGATTCTTTTCCCTCTCCGGGCCGGTTGATTAGCTAAGAGTGTGACATCTCTCTACAACTTCTTTGCCGTCTGTGTCCAACTCTGGCCAGATGCTCGTCGGCACAGCTGAAATACACGTTTCTGGTCATTTCTGTCAGATTCTCCACAGCTCTTTTGGGAAAGCGTGTATTGTTAACACTGTCAGATGTTGTCGTTTAAGGTAATGTTTGATTGAGATTTAGCATGATCCTTTTTACACCGAAATCACATATTTGTTTCGAGTTCCTAGAAATGCTGTTGTTCGGAGACATTTTTTATTTTTTTATTTCACTAATTAGCCAGTCTAGTCAAAGTTCCCCGTTTGCCCAACAATAATGACGCTAAAGAGGAATCGGAATTAAAAAACGTTTTCTTATCTTGCCCAGTTGCTCGCCATTTTAATCAATTCCAATTACGATGCGCATGTTGGCCCCGAAAAAGTGGCGGGGGGTTACTGGGCGCGTCGTGTCGTCCTCATCGTTCTTCCTCTTCTTCTTCTTCTTCTTGTTCCCGTCCTTCTCCTCTCGGTTTCCTCCTTGCCCTTCCTCTGTTTCCCCTCGGCACTGGGGCGGAATGCATTTATTGTGAATTGGAGACAGAGAGCGTTGTGCGCAGCTGGGCCGTCTATCGATCGTCGCTGCCGTCGCCCTCTTGTGCCGGCATCATCTCTCCGTTACGTCTCTACCAGTCTCTCGGCCCTCTCTTTCTCTCGCTCCATGCAGTAGTGCGGGGTAGGCGGCGGACAGCTCTACTTTAGACCTCTCTCCGCTATTCTATACCACCACTATTCGCAAGCACTGCGCGTCGTCTCTTTGCCATGGGTTCGTTTTTTTTCCAGCAATAAACAAATGAACTCGGGGCAATGAGTAATAGGCTAATTAGGGAGGTGGAATGTCAAAAGTAATTGATAAAAGAGCTGATAGCCGTTGTTATCAAAACAATTGAATAAACATTGACAGGGAATCATTCCTAATCATTTTTTGCGTCATTGCGGCATAGGTTGTTCGGTAACCAATGGAATGTCGAAATTTCGAAATAGTTTCGTGTAACAGCAAAATGAGAGAATGAAGCAAACTGCAACAAAAGCTTTCCGCTCTCTCGCTCTCTTCGAATTCTAGTTTCGTCAACAATTTTTGGCAACATTTCATTCTGCCATTCATTGTTCTTTGCCTTCCGCTTCCCGTAATGGTTCCCATTAATCAGAATGAAGATTGACAGATTGTGATTGATAGATAATGAATGCTTAGCGGAACAAGAACAGCTTGGAGAAAATAAAAAGTGTGATATGCCCCTAAAGCCCCTAAATCATCAATTTTCAGGCAAAAAATGCGACGTCTGTCGTAAAAAGTGCTCAGGAGACGTCTTAAAGGCAAATGACAAATACTTCCACATCAACTGTTTTCAGTGCAAAAGTGAGTCCAGTGTGCACATCATCCCCCCTATTCCAAATGTTTGCCTTTTCTTGCTATGTTGGATGTTTCAGTGTGTTTATTACATAATACGTAGCCACTTTCTCGTGTTATCTCTCTATTTGAACAGTGTGAGCACAGCATCCATTGCTAATGCCGTGCGGAACGGAACACTCCGAACATTCCAAGGAAATTTGAAACTCAAAACTTCTCCCGTTCAAAGTTGAAGATACCCCATTTAAAAAAGGGTGAACGCTCTCAAGAGTGAACAACAATTTCGTTTCGGATTTTCACTTTCATTTCAATCACATACACACACACTTATTGTTCTTAGCCACACCAGAGACCCCCACTGGCCTTCATTTAACGACCTCATTCGCAGAGAGTGTTTTTCTCGAAGTTTCGGAAACCTCCGGAAAACAAGTAGCCATCTCATTTCGTAATCCTGCAAAGTTCCTTCTGCAAACCGTGCCTTCTCATCCATCACAGCACAAGTGATCCAATAAGGGATTATTTGAATGGGGGGTATGATGGCGTCAGTGCCCATGAATCTCTTGACATGACACGATTCCTGAGGGCAGCCACAACCACTATGTAATCTTTGATGTTCAGTCGAGTGCGCACCGCAATTTTGAACATTTTCGAAAAGAGAGCTGAGGAAAAGTGACAGGTTTGAAAACACGCACTTTTGACTCGTCATCCATCTTGAACCGTGTGGCACAGCATTGCAGAGCATTTGATTGCACTGTTTACCGAATTTCGTTTCCTTTTCGTCGTTACGTAAATATTTACCGCAGTGAGGCGGACGAAATTTCATGGCACTCAACTTGAACTTCATGAGGTGTAACAAAAAGACGCGCGCCTTTTCATCCCCGCTCGAAAAAATATGATGCAAGCTTCGGCGTTGAGAATTTAAAATGGGAAAATAATTGATCGAAATTGCAGAATGTGGTCGGAATCTAGGAGAAACGGGGTTTTACACAACCACCGACAACACGTATCTCTGTCCGGATGACTTCCGCGCCGTTTCGAAGGAGCTGACAGTGAAGACGTCACATCCGACGCACGCCTCGTCGTCGAGTGCGGCGACGCCCAAGTCTCCGGAGAAATCAAATGGCACCACTGACGTGTCGTCGACGGCCGCCGGCAACACAACTCTTCAGCAGATCTCGCCGCTCGGCTCGCCAACAAGTAATAATAGAAACTTGAGAGCCGCGCCGCTTAGAAAAACATCAATTTTTCAGCGTGTGCCGCGTGTGACCAAGCCCTCCATTCGGGCCAAGTACTTCTCGCACTCGGTCTTTCATGGCACGTGTACTGTTTCAAATGCAGCGAGTGCTCGGCGGTTCTACATGGAGAGTACATGTCTCACCACGGAAAGCCACTCTGCCTGCGCGATTATAACGAGAAATTCGGTGTCAAGTGCTACGAGTGTGAAAAATTCATTGCGGGCAAAGTGTTGCAGGTTGGTGTGTTTTCGACCCAGTTGATTGACTCTTGGTCGTCACATGAAGATAATAACGATAATCTTCTCATTCTTTGTCCTTCCAACACTTTTTTTTCAGGCCGGCGGTTACAAGTTCCATCCAACGTGCGCCCGTTGTTCCCGATGCGGTGCTCATTTCGGAGACGGTGAAGAGATGTACATGCAGGGAGACGAGATCTGGCATCCATCTTGCGAGCACGCGCGGACCACCGAAAATATCGCGGTATGCAATTTCACTGTGTTTTTCCCCAAGTATCCGATTTCAATATGATGCATCTTAGTGAGCAGAATAAATAGAAATGTGTTCACTGGGAACTCATCGAAGTTATTTCAGCCAACGGGAAGGGCTGCAACGCTGTCGAGAAATGAACCAAAGTACCAGTCGACATTCGGAACTCACTTGGCCTACATGTACTTGCTTCCGGAAGTTGAGCAGACTTATTTGAGACACCCGGTCCTCAACCCCAAGGAGCCAAATGCGCCGCAGTTCCACGTTCCTCAAGGACCAATCAAAATCCGCAAATCGAGACTTTCAATGCTCAAGACTGGAATGCAACGGCTTAGTATGTTGTTTGAACGTTTCGTCGCAATCTAATCCTTTTTCATCTGTTTTCAGCCGAGGATTTGGAAAAGAACATTCCACGACCGAAATCTCCGCACATGGATAACGAGGAGCCGATTGAATTAGCCCATTATCCAGCTGCGCAAGTGCCGGATCCAGATAAGGTTGCAAAACACTTCATTGAAGTTCCTTAATGAGATAATTCGCTTTCAGTTGCCAGCAATCGAACGTGAGGACTTCCCGGCGCCCCCGTACCCGTACGCCGTCGAGGAGCTCAAGAGGAGACTGTCGACATCATCCATCGAGAACGAAATCTCAGATGACGACTACTCAGAGAGCGACAAGGTTGACGAGGACAAGCTTAGGAAAACGGTCGAGACTTTGGAGAAGTACAACGACTCATCAATTGCACACGTCATCAAGCAGAACATCGAGGATAGTCACAAGAAGCAGAGGTTTGTGCCGATTATCGCTTCTATTACCATTTCCGTCTCTTCAGATTGCCACTTCATTGGGACCCGAGAAACGCGAGCCGAACCCCATCTGGCAAGAAGATGCCCCATCTCAAATTCCGCTACGACGTCCCAATCAATGCATGTACGTTTTTTTTTGTTCTCGTAATCAAATAAGGCGTGCACAAAGCCATCCTGAAGTGCAAACTCAACTCAACTCATCGCCTTCTTTTTTCCAGCGCCATCACGCCATCTGAATCGGCCGCGTCCGTGGGTCGTTTGGCAAGGCGGCGAACGAGACCAGGGCTGCACACTGCCGTGTTTCCACATTCCCGAGGACAGCCGCGCGAATACATTGAGAGCCGCCACACTTCCGACCGAGTTTGGACAGAACTTGTCGCTCGAGAATTTGGACACCACAATCAGCAGTCACTATTCAGAACGTATGTAAAATGGTTATAAGAAAGGGATATGAGAAGGCAGTTGGACGAGAAATTTAATATTTTTCATGCTCGCATGGGGGTCTGGCACGGGGAACATGTGAAAGGCCTATCGTGGCCGGAACTTTTGACCCATAGTCCGATAGAACCAAACTTTGCAGGCTTCTCGTGAATTCTTTCGAAATTCTTTCACAATCAGCCTTCTATCGAGATTCATCTTTCGAAAGTACACACTGCTCGAGAGTAAATGATCCGATCAATCTGAAACTTGAACCCAAAATATTTCAATTCAAGCACACGAAGCCTGCGAAGTTAAGGTCCGATCAGAAGAGCCTTCAAAAAGCTTGTGTCGGCCTTTTGCGTAGCCCTGAAAGACACTGAACAATCTGAAACATTTAGATTCGATGACCGAGTCCGGAACAGCTGGAGGCCCACGGTCTGTCGGAGGTGCTGCCCTCCGCTCTTCCCTTCCGGATATGAGCAAACCCGCCAAGCAGTACGACCTCATCACCCTCCAAACGACAAACGCCAATCTTCCGGAAGACGTTGACAGGTGAGAAATGGGAAAGGAAACAAGTAATGCAAGATAGGGCTCTCACGCCGCAAACAAATTCATTTCGCACGAGCGACATGCTTCGTTGCAGGCAACACTTGGAACGACACTTGCCCCGCGATCAATTTGAGGAAATCTTCAACATGTCCCTAATTGAGTTCTACAAGTTGCCCGAATGGAAGCGGATCAATTTGAAGCGAAAGCACAAACTCTTCTAACTTTGTGTCTTGAAACTTTAGTCCGAATTTGTTTTCTTCTCTCGACGCGTACCTCCTACCCTTCACCCAAACACTCCTTTCTCCTCCAGCTGCCCTCTTCTTCTTTTTTGCATAATTTCGGCCAGTCAGTACTTGATGTTTGTGCAATTCAATTTCTCTTTATGTACTGATTCTGAGAATTCAGAGCCTAACCCTAGTCAGTCAAATGTGCTACCAAAAAAGTTTGTTTTTCTTTCTCATTTTTTTTATCTCCCGGGATATGGCTTTCCTTTCACAGTCTGCAGCTTTTATAGTCGCTTTTGTTCATTTCAATTCTTGTCTATTATCCTTTTCTTGTGGAATCTCGGTTTTCTCTTACAGTTTTCTCAACAAAAAAGATTGCATTTTGCATGCGTGCTTTCTCTAATATTATTGAGTTTCTTGGTGTTCTAATACGTCATAACTTTGATTAATTGTCCCAGCTTCTTCACTATGCCTAGTTATTCATAGCTTTTGCTCATTTATTTTTGAAAAAAAAGAATCAAACTCTTTCCCGTAACTATGCCAGTAATGTTCCCCGTAATCAAAAGATTCAGTAGCAGAATCAGTTTTTTTTGTCACATGTTGCCTCTCCTGGGCGAATGCTTGTCCGCTTTTCGTTCCCAATGTATCCCCCCAGTTTTGCTCTCTTAAATCTTTCCACCCAGGCTCCTTTCCACTTTCAAATGTACGCCTTCTTTTAAAAAAGAATAGAATAGATCAGTTGAGGTTCTCTCTTATGATTTTTTGAAATGTTCTTGACGTGCTAAGAAATGGGAATTACTCTTTTTTGTTTTCTTTACTAATAAACTGCAAATGCTTCGCAAAACGTTGTTTAAAAGAAGAAAGATGATGTTTGAATGGAACATCTGGAGAAAGAAAATAAAATAAACAATATGAGAGTCGACGGAATTGAAATGCTCATTGTGCACATCTCTGTGCACACCAATCACTTCCGCTATCATTTATCTTGTGCTCAGACTCAATGGCCGCGTTTTTTTTTTGAAATGTTGTGACATGTCAGAAGAAATACGAGAGCTCCCATGTTTTGCTTTTCCCAAAAATCACATCTGCTCACTTTTTTTTCTAAAAAAGTTTGGGGCAGGGTTCTCATATTTCAACTTTTTCCATTCATACTACGGGTCACTTTTGTTTTCATCTTTTTCTGCATGGAGTTTCCTAAAAATGAATAATTTCCCCCTTTACTTCACTCACTTTGATGTGCCTTTGAACGACCCTTCCACCCAATCAATTCAAAGCTCAACCATCCTCTTTTTCGTCCTTTTCCCTTCTTCTTCTTCTTCTTCTTCTTCCTTGCTTCCTTCCTTCTTCCAATGCACCAATCAGATGGGACATGAGATATGAGAAGCGACGGAGCTCTTCTTCCTCCAGCCAACTGAATTGAAAACCACTCGTAGTCGGTCGTCGTTGGGACCCCCACCAATAATGAGCTGCCGACTGCTCCACGGGTCCATTCTGCGCACTCTTCGTTTTGTCGCTGAGGAGAAGAAGAAGAAGAAGAAGAAGAAGGAGAAGGCGCGCCCTCTTTTGGCCAAATCTCGGAGATATGTGTGCCCGGGCGCGCGCGGCGCTTGGTGCTCGAAGTTCGGATTCTTTCCATTACCTATTCTCGCAGACTTTTCCCTGAATTGTGTCTTTTCAAATATTTTTTTGTTCTTCATCTTCATCTTCCTGCATTGAATCTTACAGCGGATCCCCTCAGTTATTCCTTCCGGCTCACCATGACCATTCCCGATGAAGAAAGGGCGTTCATTGACCAAATTCTGGAACAGCATAATATCCGTCGAGAGAGGGTGCGTTCGCATGTCAGATCCGAACTCCGAATATTGTCAAAATTCCAGCACAACGCCCCTTACTTGGAATACAACGAGGAGTTGTCCGAAATGGCCCAACAGTGGGCTGAGAAGTTGGCTAAACAGGTGCATCACAATAGATATTCCCATTACAAATTACAATAACGTCCTTTAGGCGCATATCTCATTCAGTGAACTAAGTGGTGTTGGAGAGAATATCACCTTCTTCCCTCCTGAGATCGACGCCGAATCAGGTAAGTGCCGGGAGTGACCTATATAATCTTATTACTATTCTTCTCCGCGGGATTGAAGATCCTATTAGAAAGTCATTGGGTAACCTGACTTGGACAGTGTTCGAATAGCCAGATTTCTGAAAATTGAACTCTTAACTTTTTGTGTGTGCCTTCTCCCAAAAAGATTCTAGTACATGGCACAAAAAAGTGGATAGACAAGGCTGCAGACCCGCGGGGACAACGAGAATTGAATTTGGAGACTTTCGAAAGCGACGAACCAAAACACTCTCCTTTCTACCTCAAATCTGAGGAGCAAATTGCGAAATAGAAAGCTTTCGACTCTTTTCTGGCTTTTGATCAGTCCAAGAGCAACTTCCGCCTTTTCGAGTTTATTTCGGGTTGTTCATCGGACGGAAACTGACGACTTCAATCCAGCTAATTGAACTATTCAAAGTCTTCAGGGAAATCCGGGTTTTTCTGTTCTATGGTCACAAAATGTCTCTGTTGGCATTTCAGTTGTCGAGCACTGGTATCAGGAGCACGAAAAGTACGAGTATGAGACTCCGGGGTGGCAGACTGGAACCAATTACTTTACGCAAGTTATATGGCGCTCAACGAAAGAGGTAATTCGATCCGACACCAGAAAACGGAGATGGCCGGAAATGAGCAAATTTAGATCGGTGTCGGATGTGCGTACGTGAAAAAAGGGCACGAGAATGACGAGGACAACACTTCATGCTCGAATGGAAGTGTTTGCAAGTCGCTGACTTCTTTGAAGTATCTTAAATTTTGAAAAGCACAGAAATTCTCACTCTATGCATATTCAGCAGCAACGGAAAACTGGCGGCCGAGGGTGACAAAGTGATCGTGGCGTTCTACCGCCCCGCTGGAAACAACAATCGCTCCGGACAGTTCGCCGCCAACGTTCTGAAGCCTTGAATCCGTTGTTTCCTGTTCTTGTCAGAATAGTACCTTCATTCGTCTCCGCAAGCAGAAAATTGAGAAATCAATAAATAAATAAATAAAAAATAGATTTAAAATACGACACAAATGACTTTGGATACGAAGTTAACAAGTATCACCACGCGTTTGCAAAAAACAGAAACGTTAACAAACTGGAAAACCCTTTTGATAGACAGAAAAAGGAAAAACAAAAAAGAGTGGCTGATCGGTTGAATGTACTGGGGCTAACTGTTGTTCTTAGGCGGACATCTCGAATTGACGGTTGGATTGGATCACTGAAAACGAGCTAATGAGTTGAATGAACGAGAAAGATCAAAAACAGACCACGAGTGATGTAAAGGTAGAAGAAGTCGGCGTAAAGGACAGTCTGGACGATTCCGGCGACGACGGCAATTGGGTCGAAGAAGCTCTCGGTGTAGTATCTGGAAAGAGGATTGGTTTGACAAGCTGGGCAAAAAGTCGCCCTGGTCTGGATTTTTAAAACAATTGCTATCTTCCGATCGAGCCCAAACTATGCAGGGTTTTTGGATTTGGATTCCAGTATATTGGTTCCAATTTTCAGAGCGATCGGATTACCTGTTCAAAAGATATACTGGTTTCAGGTCTAAAGGCCGGTTTTTACAAAAATTGTGACCTGTGCGGCCTCTGATCCACATATCTCGGGACCGGATAATCCGATCGGTCTGAAAAATGAAATCAATTTACTTCAATCCAAGTCCGAAAAATCCTCAAAATTTAGTTCCGATTGAATTATTGTGAGTGGGTCAAGTTCATGCTTCAACTGGCCCTTAAAAAAGCCTCGGCCGGTTTTCTGGGAGAGTACTCTTAAATTCACAAAGGTTTTTGTTCAGCTACTGTTGTGACAGCATTGGGGAGCCGTGAAGCTGAATTTTCTACTTGACGAACTGGAAAAGGGCTGCAAACTGTGGAAGACACCAAGCTTCACAATTTCTGGAACTTTGTTCTTTTCTCTAACTTCCATGAAAGTCGGTGGTTCTTGATCATTTTCAACAAAGTGCCTAGTGGTAATCCGTTTTGGTTTGGCCAGCTTGACAGCATCTGTCACAGAGACAAAGTTCACAAATATACAAATTCCTCTCTTTCCCTCACTACCAGATGCGCTTCAGCTGTCTCCTCTCCTCTAAAGTGAAGCGAAGTGGGGCTGTCATTGTCCGCAAATAGTTTTTAGTGAAAACGAACCTGTAGACCCAGTTGAAGATGTAGAGGAATCTGTACGATCCGAGGGCGAACAGGTAGTGGGCGGTGATGGTTTCGGCGTTTCCGGTGCGAGAGAGCATAAAGAGTTGCGGCATGATGGCGACGGCCTCGAGGTAGATGGAGAAGGTCCACATCACCTGGAATACAAAAGTTATCTCTTGAACTGATGAAGGAACAGCTTACTTCCATGAACATGAACTCGTGGTTGATAATAAGGGCAAAGATCATGCACGGGATGACGAGGAACTCAATGCGGAAGGAGTCGTTGTTGCGGTCGTAGGTCGCCTTGAACTTGGCCCACATCAGGTACACAGTTCCGATGGATCCAACGAGGAAAAACACCTTAAAAGAAATGAGATTTGAGCCTCAGTTCTCATTTGCAGAAAAGGTACCTTCATGATGGTGTTGTAGAGCGAGTAGAAGCTCGTGAAGAGGTCCAGGTATCTCGTGAAGAACACGACAGCAAACAGAAGCTGAGAGCGTCCGGAAATGCCTAAAATTTATCGATTGAGGCGTTTGAAGTAGAAAATAAGTAAAAATTACCTTCGCAACTGCGGGACTTCCATATCTTGAGAATGAGGATGACAATGGCCACTGCGTGAGCCAAATCGGCAGAAATTCGAAACAGATTCATGATTTCTGCGTTTTACACGAACAGAAACGACGAGAGAAGCCCACTCGTAGAAACTATTCGGTCCAAAAGTAGGGCAACGGCAAACGCAGAGAGAGAGAGAGATGCGAGCTGTTCGTCCACGTCACACAGTGTTGAGACGGCGCGTTGGTCTCGCAGCGATGATGTCTGCGTCTCTACTCGGGTCACCGCCACGGCCAGCGCGGCAACACATGTCGCGGCAGCCAGTTCGTTTGCGTTGAGAGAGAGAGAAAGACTCTGGACGCTAGGCCCTGACAGAGGAAGGCCGCGTCGATTTCTGCCGGGAGGACGGACATTGAGGAGATCCCGTTGAGAAATCGATCGATTTTGCAGGATACGAACGGGGAAAACCCTGAGTAACCCATTTGTGAAGCCTAGGAGACCCGCAGATGTGATGTCGATCTTTCTGAACAGGGGGATTTTAAGAACAGATGCATGAGACGGCGAAAAAATTATTATGGATCCAACTATGCTCAAGAGTTATCGGTTTATTTTCTCGAAAAATAGTGTAGTTTATGAGTAGATATTGTGAATCTTTAACAAATTCCGTTTCCATTTTTAAAAGTCGGAAATCTTTTGTGATCAGTGATTATATTTTGGAAAATCCGAATAGCAACCATACTGTTGAGTCGAATGATGAGAAAACCTGAAAAGCTGTTAGACTTGCAGCTTTCATCTGAATTCCTGTCAGTAATTTTCAGATTTCATAACATTTGTCAATGTCTGTGCCCAACTACCAATTACAAGCCTTCAAATTTTTCTTTTCCGGCAGATTTATCAAATATTCGCCGTATATGCATCTCCCTTATTTCTGGCTTCCCACTAAAATTGATGCATCTTTGCCGTATGCATTCTCGTGATTGATGTGACTTTTCCGAAATTGGGGAGAGCGCTCTCTTGACTCCTTTTGTGTGGAAGTGGAAGGGACCGCGATAGAACACTGAAACGGAAAAACGGGGAACAGAGAGTTGAGTGAAGGGTGTTATCAGTTTGTTAACAGCACCTCTGATGACTCATTTCAGAATTGTGCTTGGTATGAGAATATGACCCCTCAACTTAACATGTCAAGCTCGAAAACTTCCTTGCTCAAAGTCAGATCTGTGTGATAAGCGTCAGAGAAACGGGTGTAACACAAAGCTATCCGATGCCTGAGGCACACAAAGAGAGCTTCTCAACAATTGACTGCAAAAAAGTGTGTTTGATGGGTGTTGACCCATTCGAAGCCCTTCTCAATCTCATTCTTCAACGTTCTCTCTCTCTCTCTTCCTCTTTCTTTCATCTCAATCGTTGGTTCATTGGCCTCGAAAGTTGTAATGGAGTGACGGGGAAAGCATTTTGGTGTCAGGAGCGAAAGAGAGCTGATGAAAGAGAGAGTGGGACTCGTGATGAGTCAGGGAACAGTCCCCGCCTCGTACTAAAGAGCACGGAGCACGTCGGCTGTTATTTAAACCCGCCGCCTGGCCACTCACCCTCGGTCATTCTCGATTTTCCATCGCTTTTCAATGATACCAAAAAAGTTTTCTAATTTCAGAACAAAATGAAACTCAAATTTCTTCTGATCTGCTTCCTGGCCGTCTCCCTTCTCGTCTCCCTTTCGGAGGCTGGAAAGGATCGCAAGAAGAAGAAGCAGAAGGAGAGACAAGAAGACGAGGAAAGCAACGAAGAGACTGTCGGAGGTGAGTTCTGGAACAGGTTTAAAAAAAAATAGGATTATATGCAGGAAAGGGAATCGAGAATTCGGGAAAGAATGCGAATGAGAAGGAACGCAATTCGGTTCTCGAAAAGCAAGCGGAAAAGAAGACTGAAGAAGAGGAATCGTCGTCGGAAGAAGATGAGAAAGAAGAAGCGGAGAACAAGAATAAGACCATCATTATCCGCGTGAGTCTGAAAGAAACTTCTAGAACACATTTTTGGATTCCAGAAGAAGAGAAGTGACGACGGAGTTGCTCTTCCAAATGATTCGCTTGCCGAAACATCAAAGGTACATTAGATTTTTGGATGTTATACTAGTTTTTTTTATGTTCAGGTGAAGAGATCGACCGACAACGAACGTGTTCTTCCAACCGACGCTGCCAACAAGGTTTGTGAATTGAGTTTTTTCCTCAGATTCAAGGTTTGTATAAGCAAACTGATTTGTGTGTTTCAGTTCAAGCGCGATACCACTCAAATGCAGAAATCGAAAGAATTGAATGATGGCGTGCAGATTCCGCTTGAAAAGAAGCCAACAGCAACAGCGACGCCAGGAAATTGATAGTGCACCTTTCGTCTTCTCACTTAATCCCTGCCCATTTTGCGCGCACATTACTAAATCATAATACATCTCTATTCATGTAGAACAACAGGCCAAGCTATGCTCTCTTGTCTAATAAAAACGTCTTGTCTCTTTTCCCTTCTTCTTGCTTCAAAAATAAAATAACTTTTCATGCCTCGCTTGTTCAATTCTCAATTCTCAATTCACATCTCTGAGTTTTGAGATGAGCTGTGTTCCGGGAAACAAGATACTTGACGCTACCAGTTTAGTGCCTGCCACTTGAGAAATTATGTTTTGTGAAGAACGGATGACTGTTGGCTTCTTCTACATAAAACGAGAGCGAAATGTTTTTCGATATGTTCTCCGGAACCAACCCAGCATTATATATTCTTTCTTTCCGCCTTATAAAAGTTTATTGTTGCTGGAGAGGATGATGGTTTTCTTTTTAACAACGCACTCGTACTACCCCACCACATATCAATATCATCCCGAATATATATATATATATATCTATTCTTCTTTTCATGTCATGCTTTCAAAATTTTTAACATTTTTCTCCTATCCTAAGCAAGGCGTCGCGGTCGGTTGGTCGGTTGCGCGTTGGCTGTCATTTTAGTGAGAACTCTCTGTCTTTTTTCCTAGTTATGCTGTCCAATTTTCCGTTTTACGCGCGTTTTCCTCCGAATTGTCTTCTCTGTGGTGTCGTTGTGAGCAATTTTGGACAAGAGTATTCCTAACTCAACTCTAACCTAATTACCCTATTTTTGTTCGCTGTCAACTGAAATTAGTCGAGTCACACAACGACCCAAAGACTATTAGCCTTCATTTTGGAAGAGTCATACATATGTGCCATTCGTTGTGTTCTCGGTTCTCGGTTCTCGGGGCGTGGTGCCACCCATCAAATTAAAAGAGCTATGAGGTGCCTTTCTCTTTTCCTCGTCGTTCCCTCGAAGCAATTGGGTGAGAAAAGATCGCCCAATTCCATGGATTTTCCCTCAAAAACCTTATGAGTTTGGCTTCTTGGTCAAAGCGAGTGAGAAGTGATTTCCAACCATCCTACAGTAACCTATAGATTCATTTTCTTATTCTATCCAGACATCCAACGCAAATAGAACTTGCTCAGAAGCTCGTAAAACGTCCAATAACAAAAATCACTCCTTCACCCATCTTTCCACGAGCTTTCGGAGCAGATACGAACGGCCAGAGAAGATAAGAGAATGGACCATGGTGACAACAAGCACTGGGTCCACCGCCTCCTGCTTCTTTTCTTTTCCCCCTGCCGCGCCACCCGTCAAATTTTATCACGAAATTGTTTATTTCTCCACACTACAGGGTGAGCAGCTGTTTACTTCTTCTCACAACCGACTGACTTGTGTTGTTCCAGGCGGCATTCGCGTACTCGCTTGATATCGCCATTGCCGCCGTTCGGGGCCTTTTTGTCTTTTGTCTCTTTTCCCCTCATGACAAAGGAGAAGACGACGCGCCGGGCGGGGCTGTGTCCGAAAGGTTTTCGGCTGGGGACCCGTGTAGTTGGGGTGGACCAACGCACCCCTGGCTTTCAAGTAGGCGTATGCCAGTTGCTTAATTGGCAATTCAATTTGCCAGAACTTCTTTATTTCTGAAGTGTCGCAACCGCTTCTTCTCCTTCTTCTCGTAGTCTCGGCGCCGTCGCATTTTCGTTCACGTTCCTCCTCGACAATCTGTTTTCCGGCTGTCACTCCTCCCCCACAATACCATTCTATAAGTGTTCCCCATTCGATTGGGAACATGAATGTGTGCTCTTTTCACTAGTTCCCTCGCTCCCCCACCCTTTCTGGTTTCTGTGTGTGATATTGGTCAATGCGCTCGACGGGCCCAAAAATGTTTTTATTGCGTATTGTGCCTGGCCCCGTCGCCCCCACCTCGGGCCCTCTGCCTCCGCTTCCTTTCAGATTTTCATTTTCTCATTAGCGCTTCTCTCTGCATTCACCTATTTTTTGTCGAGTTTCTTTTATTCTCCAACAAGAAATTCTGAAGGGCTGACTGCTAATTTGTTGACCGGCCAAATATTCATATTCAATTACCGCGAGCAATGCTACCTCCACTTTGTTCAATGAGCCGGCAGAAAGATCTCGATTAGAACATAACAAATTTGCTTTTTTGATTTGTCGGCACGTGCTTCTTATTCAAAGTACACGATGACAGTAGAATTTTCCCATGTTAGGAGCAAAGAAAACTATGATTAACATGTTTGTGAAAGTGTGTGAAAAACAAAGCACATAGAACTCTCATGTATACCTCATGCAGTCGAGCATTTTTGAGCAACAATTGAAAATAATATAAACTAAACGCTGCCAGGTTTCATTAATGTTTCGCTGCTTACGTCCTCGCGAGTGTTAGTGAGCTAATGAGCTTACTGCCGAACAGAACGTGGTTTCCGCTTCGTAAAATTGAAATGCGTTTTTTTTTAATCAGTTTTCATGTGCACTGTTCATTGTTCTCACTTTTGAAAAGATCGTCAATGTACACATTTATTTATCTAGTATTTTGCGGCTGGAATAATGCTATTATTGTTCGTATAAAGGAACACTTTCCTTTGATGTCCTCACTCTCTCTCTCTTTCTCTCTCTCTCCTCACAGTCGTGTTTCCCACTACATTCTTTGCCATACCCGCTTTTTCTGGCCTAAAGGCGCTTTCAGATGCATGAATCTATGAATTTAGGGATTCTTGTCATCATGGATACACTTGCAAACGTCGCTTTTTTGTCGAGGTTCTCCGCCCGTCAGATATATCATTTGTTTATTACGTGTTTCATATTACCGCCCCCTCGTATTGCTCGTCGTCCCTCATTTTTCGAGTAAGACTAATGGACTACTAGAAAATGAACAGGAAAATGAAAATGGGAGCGAGGTCCTGAGGCCATGTGTAGGGGATAACGACGGCGAGAGGAATGCGGTGCTTACCCAAGCTGCGATGGGAAAGGAACCAAATCTGGGAGCGAGTCAAGTCAGAGACATTAAAAGATGACGCCTCGTACGTCCTCAGTCCCACCACTCTCATTCTCGCGTTCTTCCAGAGGTTCTCGTGTGAAAAAGAATGGGCTCAACTAATCGGAAAAAATGTGGGAAGTTTCTTGAGGCCTCTTTTCCGACATTGTCTACTACACCTCAGTATATTCTATTGTTTTCGACTTTCTTAATTAGTTCTCCGGCCAATTCCCTCGAGGGTAAACGGCGATGCGCTCCGCTTGTGTCGCAACGATGCTCCGACATGAAAAATGAATATTGCACCTTTTCTTTTTCTTCCGTTTGCGCTCTTTCTCTCTTTCTCAATAATTCATCTCAATTTAGTTACCTCGTTAGTTATCGTTAGCCTCGAAAACAAATCCCCTCGCCGTTTTCAATGGAACTGATATTAATCCGTCCTCCCTTTTTCCAGGAACATTCACTTACTCGTTTCCGGGCAACGAACACCGCACAAGTGGTGTTAGTACACGAGTCAAACTGAAACGATCACAGGACCTCATCTCTCTTCACGAGGCCGACTATGGCGGGACTCAGCAAGCGAAGGTTGGTATATGGAAATTTGAGATGCTCATTTGCATCTTATTTCTGGAGAGTTCAAGCACATTTCATGAACTATCATTTTCAGAAAGCACTCATGTGTCTTCCCAGTGCCAAACCGCCAACCCCACTCATTTACTCACAGTCCTCGCCTCTGAAACATTTATATTCGCAATTTCCGGGTCTACTCGAGGTGCCTTCTCGAACCTTGCCGTGAACCCATTAACAAATGCTCCATTTCAGGCACACAATGCCGCGATTCCCGCATTAGATACTTGCCCTTTGCTCCTTCAGACCGCCAGTCTACCTTCTCTTTCTCACATCGGCCTTTCGCACTCTTTGGTTCGTTTCATTTTTCTTTTCTTTCTCTCCGAAATCTCTCATTCGGATCCGATCTACACTAGTACGGATTCTCATTAGCCAAATGCAATTGTGTTTGCAGGAATCAGCCGTGTTGCACTCAGCCTCCGAGCCGCCAATGGAGATGAGAATTGATACGAGCAGTAAGTTCTTGGACGGAAGAATGGAAAAAAGAGAAAGAGAGAGAGAGAGTGACCCGCGACTAAAGATGATAATAACGAGAAGTCATCTGATCTGCACGCATTCATCGAAACCGTTCATTGACTGATCTATCCTATTCTTTGGTCGTTCTTCTTTTTCTGTTTTCTGCATTTGTTAGCAAAAACCGTTTCTCAAGATCACGCTTTTCGTGAGAACTGGCGAAATGATAAAGGTGATAAGAAAAATGTGATGCGCTGAAACCAACAAATGACATGGAAAAAGAAAAAGAAAAAACAAGAGGATTATTATTCGAATGTGATTTTCAGAGCATTTCCACGTATTTGTCGGCGATTTGAGCAAAGATGTGAGCAACGATCTTCTCAAATCTGCATTTCAAAAGTTCGGAGAAGTCAGGTGAGTCATCAGCGCCTTTTCTAATCTAAACGCATCACACTTGTCGCATTTGCAGTGAAGCAAAAGTGATCCGAGATGCACAGACTCAGAAGTCCAAAGGATACGGATTCGTCTCATTCCCCAACAAACAAGTAAGCCCGTCACACCCGTGCTTCTGCCCGAAAACAAAAGTGTGTTGCCCAGAACGCAGAGAGCGCGATCGCCGGAATGAACGGCAAGTGGATCGGGAAACGGGCGGTCAGGACCAACTGGGCAGCTCGCAAAAACAGCGAGGAGAACAGAGACAAACTGACTTTCGAACAGGTGTGTAATCGGGTGATGTTTGGTTGGGAGCACTCGAAAAATTTTAGGTGTTTAACTCAACAAAGGCGGATAATACTTCAGTGTACGTGGGGAACATCAGCCAACAGACCACCGGTAAGGAACAGTGATCTGCTAAAGATAAAGATTGACTACACCTTTTTTGGTGATTCCCGAAACTTTCATTTCCGACGGATATGATATCCTATCCCACTTCCATCTAGAAGGCGATAAACGACGCGTGTATTTGATTAATGAATGTCTCAGATTCCGATCTCCGCGATTCGTTCGCATCCTTTGGTGATATCGCGGAAGTTCGACTCTTCAAAACGCAAAGATATGCGTTTGTGCGTTTTGAGAAGAAAGAATGCGCCACTAAAGCGATAATGGAGATGAACGGAAAGGAACTCGCCGGAAACCTCGTCCGTTGCTCATGGGGAAGGACGCAGGCAGTGGTAACCTAAACATTTTGGAATCAGATCAGAAAATGTCCGATTTTGAAGCCAAACCAAGCGCTGAACCCACTCCCGATTGACTTATCCTCGCTCATGATGCCGACGATGTTGCCGACTTCTCTGCCGCTCATCCAGAACCCCTTCTTGAACTACGAGCCAACATCCCTCCTGTACAGTTCATTCCCGCAATGGTAACTAAATTATTTCAGACGATTAGTTGGCCCTCTCTCCCCAACTTCATCATGATTCCCCTTTTCTCAATCCCACAGATTTTATCTTGATTTTTTGTGGTGTGCACTTTATTTTCATTTTCTTTTCTTCCGCAATCACATCAAGTATCATCTTTTCCCTTTATTTTTGTCATCACCTTTTACTAATTAACCATTTTCGTTTGAGCGAAGAATAAATTATTGTGACCGTGTAAAAAACATAACGTTTGCACACAGTAGTCATCTCCTATTGAAAATGGAATGATTCGAGTTTGCACGCACTTTTGCTTTTTTCATCTGCTTGTATACAAAAACAAAAAGGATAAACCCATGAAATGTTGCAGTCTCGACCATGGATCGGACTCGGACTCGATCGCCTGTTGGATTCAAACTTTATTGCAGAAATCAGGCTAGACTGTTGTGTACTCGCCCTCAATCATGCTGTTTGATGATGCACTTCTGGCGATCATTCTTTCGTTTTTTGTTGTCCCTAACACGTTTTTGTACTCTAAGTATTTCAAGACGTTTTCCGGTCTTATTCATTCCTCCTCCACCCACGGCCATACATATCATTGAAATTTCAATTTTTGCGCGATTCACAATAAAAACCTGTACGCGTGCTACTACTGAAATAAAACAATTTTTGAAGTGCAATGTCCTATCCATCCTCACGTAGCTATTCCGGTAGCCCCGCCCCCGTGCCACCGGCTACGGAGACGATAACAACGAGAGTATGTTTGGCGATGATTATAAATATGGCCGATCTTACCCTCAGTCTACCCGAGTCACAAACACGGGATCGCACAAATCAGCGGCACCGCCGGCAAAGTTGGAAACTGCCGTCTCTGCCTCCTCGACAAGGTCATTGATATCCTTTTCTGCCCGCCCACCCAGAGTGGCCCTCCGCTTCCGAAAAATCTGCTACTGCTGCTGCTGCTGCTGTCCTGTTCAAACTTTGGCGGCGTCTATCATTCAGGCCCACATGTCACTGTCACTATCATTCGCTCTTTTTTCACTTCTCTTTTTCCAAGTTTTACCGATTGATGCAAAGAGCGTAAGGGATATCTTTCCGTTTCATTCGCCAACTTGATTTCTCTTTTCTTTACAGATAACCGTATCAGTTCGACAATATAGCGCTTTGAAGAGAAATGAAATACGTGGAATCGAGAATCAGTTCTATTACTTCCAGTTTTGCTCTTGTCCAAAGACATTCACGGATAGAACTATTCTAAAACAAATCAATCAGTGTATCTGTTCAGACGCTCAGAAGTACGTTTAAATCTTTACCGTAAGCCATGCAGTGTTCAATTTTAGGGGGAAACGATTGGAAGACTCTATTCCGCATGCTTCTTTCTTCTCTAGCTCTAAGAACTGTGCCAATGGTGTCTGTCTGAGTGCAAACATCGAAAATGAGGTAGGGTATCGTATCTCACAGTTTGCGCCCATCTACCGTATCCATTACAGCAAGCGGGAAGGGTGTTTGTGAAAGTGTTCATTGGTTCGAATGTTCTCACATCTCCGGACTATCAGATGCTTCCTATCAGAACTAGTAGAAGTGATGTTATTCTCAAAACAAAGAAAAGTTCTAAGATAAGACTGTCCTATGTGACAGAACTCGACGACGACGAACAAACATCTCAAACTGAAATTGAGAATTCGCATTGGAGCAATTCCATTTTACATGATGCGATGGGCGGGCTTTCCGGCTTCTTCAGCAGGATCACAAGCCAGAAGAAAGCAGAAATCAAGCCTACAGTGGTCGGGAAAATGGATGCTGATGTGAAACATTTGAGTAGTGTAAGCAAATCCTAATCTCACTAGTAAAAAGTATCATTAACTTCTATTTTTAGATGGGAGCTATTAAAAACTTTATTTTCTCCAAGAGCCGAGTGGATAAAATGGATCCCGCTAGATATGACGTCTCCGAACTGAAGGACTGGATAGTCTCCTACCACAATGTCTACCGTTCCAAACACAATGCTCCTGGCCTCGTCCAAGATCAAGTTCTTCATAGCCGTGGAAAACGATGGGCTGACGAACTGGCTTATCACAAAGGATGTCTTGTTCATGAACAACCAAGAAAGTGAGTAGCGGCAGACAGACGAACGGCGCCAGGGTTTCAAGGTGTGAAAGCAAACGTTCATGTTTCAGGTACGGAGAAAACCTGTTCTTCTTCGGGGCTCGTCATCTGCCATCACCGCAAACCCTCGCTGCAGCTGTTGTTCAAAGCTTTTACATCGAGGGAATCGGATACAACTATTCAAGGTAAGTACTGACCGGAACAATTAGAGAACTTCTCGTTGACCGGTACGTACTTTACAGTTGGCGACCAATGTCCTACTTCAAAACCGGCCACTTCACTCAACTTGTCTGGAAGGACTCTCGCAAGATCGGCGTGGGCGTCTCAATAGTCAAAGGCAGTTCCGTCCGTTCCCCGTGCATCTCTTCTTCCTCTAATATGTACTTGATTTTTGTTGTTGTTAAGTATGATCCTGCCGGTAACTTTGAAACTCACAAAGCCTATATGGAGAATGTCAAACGACCCGAAGCATAATTCTCTTCTCTTCTCATTTCCCAAAGTTTTCTCTGTGATCACTTGCCATACTAATTCGATTCACAATGACGTGATGGCTACAATCGGTGACTGATAGCCCAAGAATGTATATTTCATCGTTGAGATCTCAGAATCTGAATAAATGCGTTTGTGCTTGACGGGCAACTGAAGCATCTCATCTCAAGAAGCATTTATCTTGTAATGGGGCGCCTATCCAAACTATGGGCTAACAATTGTCAGGTAGATAAACTTTATGAGGTACTTAAGACTGAATGGCATTCATTTACCTCTGGAGAAGATTTCTACTCTACTACTATTGTGCCAGGCTTTACTGAGTGTGATCGGCAAGTTCTCAAAATAACTGCACTTCTTCCCGGGCGAGTAGGAAATAGATAATGAAGAAGAAACCGGACGAAACATGTGTTGATAGCGGTGCCGCTCTGTCTGCGCCGAAATCATCTCTTATCCAACGTGCGCCAAGTCATTTTTGCGTGCACGGACCGGAGCAACACAGCTCGTGCCCCCCCAATAACACTGCGTCTCAACGGCAATGTCACTCAAAAGTCATTCTTCTTGCATGAAAAAAAAAACCCCGGAGAAAGACAGGACACCTCTATGCCGTTTCCAACCCGCCCGCTGAATTTTTCCCTGCGTGTGCGTCAATTTGATCGTCGTTGACTTGTTGGTCGCTGAGCTCCGCCGCATTAGTTTTTTTTAGTTGTTCTAAAATCTGTGTACGCTCGTCGTAAATTCTCTTTTTTCTCAATTAGTTTTGTTGTTCCTCTTGTCTCTGCAGCTATTCGAGTCAGTTGACCCGTTTCAAATTCTTTACCTCTCGAGTTCAAGTACCACTACCTGAAACCTTTTTCTTTCCAATTTTTCGATACGTTCTCATTCTAATTCCAGCTAATTCAAATGAGCAGTTGGAAAAGACGGCCAGCAATCTCGTTTCCGGCACCCGGTGAACTTGACCAGCCCGTCATAGGTAGGTGTCATTTTATTGTTTCCATTTGAAAAACATGCCACTCATTGTCACATGTTCCGATCTTCAAAAGTTCAGGATTTGATTACAAAAACGATGTTCCGTTGCTATCACCAATTCACCAGCACGTTTACCGACCGTCCAGCCTCCAACAGGTACTGATCTTCTCCTACATTTTGTCTGACGACACAAAATTTGGAAACCTGATCTCGCGTCCTGTCTTGAGTGATAACCGCAAGGACATTCATTCTTTTTTCAAAGTACACCGCGTTTTTGTGGCCCGTACGGCAAACTTGATCGGCAAGTTGGTAGTTGATAAAAAGGAAAAGAAAAAGGAAGTTTGAGAGGACTGAACTCTGTTCTTGCCAAATCTTCTTTACGTCAACCGGATTGACAGGTGTATGCCAGACTGCCAGGAGGTTTTCTAGGCGGCAATGAATTGAGATTTGCAAAAAATCTAGCCCGGAAATATCACATCAGTGACTATACTAAAAGTATATTTTACGGGCAGGTAATTTGAATTGTTTTTTGCTGCATCATTAGTTCTTTGAGTCTGACGTTTTTGCTTTTTGCTTTCCGGAAATGAACACTTAAAAACAGCAACAAAGCAATAAAAACGCTCATCTCATCGCAATCCCAGAACTTTGATCACTGACTACAAGAAATTTTGTACCCCCTACATTCTGGAAAGATGCAATGTTTTGATAATCCGTGTACATATGTTTGCATCTCCGACTTTTTATTAATATCATCATGTCAACCAAACCCGTCGGCCAGGATGTGCTAGGTGTTGTAAAGTCGGTGCCGAAAGCGAAAAGAGCCTCGGCTGTCTTCTTTCGCGTTTCTGACTGATTCTTTGCCCTCAGTACCCCGAAAACGTTTCGATTATTTATTACTATGCCCGAAAATTCGAACATTCATAGCAAGAAAATCTATCATCGTTTCGCGACGAGACGATCCATTCAGCTTTCCGGGTCGTTGCACCCAAATATCACTTTGCACAAGGTAAAAAATATGAGTTTACCTTTTGGGATCTGAACATTTTTGAAGTTTTTTTCAAGTTTTGTTCCAGGTCGTGGATGAAACTCATTTCTCAAAAAACGAAGTCCGAGCAATCTACCGAGCATTCAAAGAAACGTCTCCAAATGCTGTTATCAACAAAAGTATTTGGCAGAAGTTGACGAGAGCTGACAAAACAAAACATCTTGTTTGCAGATATCATGAGAGAGAAGTTCGCCGAGCTTTTTCCTCACGGCGATATCGAACACTACGCCGACCTCCTCTTCGAAACTTTTGACAATGATGGAAACGGAACGATCAACTTTCAGGTTGGAAAAAAGTAAATGCAGAGTGTTTAAGTGAATGGATTCAAGGAATTTGTCAAAGCTCTCTCGATTCTCTGCCGTGGGACCATGGATGAAAAGTTGGAGTGGCTTTACAAGTTGTATGATCCAAAAGAAAAGGGAGAAATCACTTGGGACCGACTTTTTTATGTTATCACTTCCATGGACGATCTGATGGGTGAGTTTCAGACTTGTTGCTTGCAGGGACAGACCGGGTTTCAGTTCTATATCTTTTTCAATTTTTTTCCCCTACTAGTCTGGTAAGTTTTTTTCTTTTCCTCCAAAACGGTCCCTTCCAAACAATGTACTTTCAGGCAGACACGCAAAACCCCATCACACGAGGGAGCAGAAATGCGAACGAGCAAACCAGGTCTTTGCGGTCAGTGACTCACTCTGAGAACGACCTTAAATAGAGTTTCGGTACTCAAAAGGCAACGTATCGCTAGTGACTCAACTGTACTAATTCAACAAAAAAAAACTGGTTACGGTACTGACATTAGATAGTGGTGTGTTGTTCCATTGTTCTTCTGACCGTTAGCGAGTAGACGAGAGAGCACTAACTGTTTAGTCATAGTGCCAGGTACAAACAGAACACGTACTCAACACTTTTGATTTCAGAAATTCGACATTGACAAAAAGGGACGGATAACAAAGAAGGACTTCATTCATGTGTGCAAAACGGACCAAACCATCTTGAACTCGATTTCGGCACTCTATACTCTTCTTCCCGGATAAATAATGCAGGATAAAGCTGGTTGTCTAATCTTATTCTTGATAAGCTTTAATGTTTGAGTCGTTGGTAGACTCTTTGATCTTCAGTCGCCATTTCATAAATTAAAACTTTTGAAAATAAACAAGTTCATCAAGTTAATAATGGTTTACATCAGCGGAATTTGAGATGCGTTATCTGGGGGAGGGAAAGGAGCAGGAGACAAAAGTTAGTTGAGAACAAAATATGCGCGATTGCAATACTTACAAACGACTAAATAGAGTTCGAGGACAGAATGACAGTGAAAAGAAGTAAACGAAGGAGAACAGCATGGGGGACGAGGAAGTTTCTTACGCGTACGACAACTACAAGAACAAAGCGAGATGCTACACAAGTGGAGGACGGAAATTCAAGAGCACACAGGAAAACACGGGGCTTAGACAGTGGGCGATGGCCATTCCGTAATGTAGGACACAACCCAATTAAATTTTGGGTCATAAGTTCAGAAGCACTCGGGGGGCATACTTACATAGAAAACAGATCTGAAGAAGATGCGTCGATGCTAGAAAAAAATGGAAGTAAAAAGTGTGGTAAGAAATGGGACAAAAGTTGGGTAGAGGAGGAAAAAAAAGACAGATTATGACAATCATCAGGTTATCTAATTAGCTGGCCTAGAAATCATACAACCGGAATGTAATAATTTGGGGTAAATGAAACAATAGTAAGCAGGATATGGTAAAACGTTGGACTACAATAAAGAAAAGTTGTCGACAATATTACAAAAAAACTCCAGCAATTAGTTTTCAATAGCTGTTCCGTTCGTTTTCTTGCAAACGCGGTAGAATACAAGGTTATACTCCTGGTAGAATCCCCCAAATGTTCCTTCCGGAATATTGCACAACTCGGTCGACAATCCGACACGGAAGCGGTATGCAGATTGGCTCCACTGTCCGACACTCAATCGGAATTTCTTATCGATGACCCTTCTGGCGGTCGGAGTGTCCGTATGAGTGACGGTGTCTCCGACTTCTCCGCATTTCATGTTGTCGAACTCTTCGATGAAACCACAGCTGTTGATGCTCATCGAAATAGGAGCTCTGAAAGTACACTTGGTTTATACTCATGTAAACAAAAACAATGTCCATTTAACGTACTCTATTTCAATCTCCAATTCACTGGCTGGCATCCAGCGAGTCATTGGGATAAACAGATTAAACATGTTTCTCTTTTTGCTGCAGCTCTTCTCAATGCAATAGCGCTCATCAATGTAAACCCCGAAATCCGGAAGGAATATTTTCACGTCATTTCCAAATCCTTTCATATGGAAGTCCGAGCGAGCTTCCGGCTTGTACGAGTAATCGCCGTCCTCCATTTGGCTGCTGTCATAATCGAACTGAAAACAAAGTGAATGGGTTTACATTGTACTGCGATTATAATGATACCTGTGGCATTCCATCATGTTCCTTATCGTATGCCTCGCAACAGACAGCACGGCAGTTGTTCAGGGGACAAAGGGCGAGCGGAGGGGCATCGGGCTGACTGAACGGTGTGTAGTGATCTGAAATCAGTAGTTATTATGGAGTGTCATAATCAGGCATCTGTGAAATGATGAGCTTTTTTCTTTTGTTGGCAAGTAGCTGAAAATTCCCCATTCCTTTTATCCTTATTCTTATCCCTTCTTCCTTCCCTTTTCTCTCTCTCCTTATTTTCTCTCTTCTCTAATCATTTTCACGTTAACAACGTAAATATATAAATAAATAAAATAATGATATACAACTAACCAAGTGGAATAACAATGTTTCCGGGACCTTCTTTCGGTCCAGAAGTAGTCGAGGACGGGGAAGCGTGATGATATCCGTAGTTGCGGTTGTGCCAATCGAGAATGTAGAGAGCGGACATGGCAAGCAGGCAGAAGGCCATGGTGCCGACCAGTCCCATAATGGTTCCGTGGGTCATCTTCGACTTTGGTGGCTGACGCTGCGCCTTCTTGCGGTTGCGGCGATTTCGCTTGGTGTTAGTGATGGTGACCGCAGTGGAAGACGAGTCAAGAGAAGTACGCGACGTGTTGAGCGATCTGCCCTCCGAGTTGAGGTTGGATCCGACCGAGCTAAGCATCTTTTTCTTCTGAGCATACTCAGCCAAACGTCTGCTGATCTCAGCGACCTTCTCATCAATCTTCTGGTCGAGATCTCCGGTGAGACGGCACAATTCCTGGGTAGCGAGAACAGTCTCGTAAAATACACGTGATTCGTTAACAGTCAGGTAGTCTCCGAGATCCCGAACAGCGTCTGGAATAATGGCAGCCAGCTCTTGAGCAATCACTCCCGTTCTCTTCCTCTGCTCCTCAGGCATTCCCCATTTCTCAGCGACCTCTGGCTTGTAGAAATAGTCAACAATGCGCAATTTCTGAAGATTCTCCAACGCTTCCTTGGCCTCCTTCTCCGTGATGTTATCCTTCAAACGAATATCAGATGGGCACACCACGCGTCCACTCGTGTAGATGTCTCCATCGACAGTGAGCGCCGCACGAGGTTCCGACTTTCCGATGACGACAGGCCCGGCAGTGCTAAGGACTGGACCATTCTTCGACCAACTGGCATCCGCCATATCTGGTGGCTCAAACGAGCCAGGATTGCCTGCCTGAAAGAATCAATTATTAATTTGTTGCTAGCAACCGAATGAGAGGCCCGTTTTTGTTCTTTTTTTTTCTCATTTCCCCAAACGTTTTGTGTCATGGAACTCGCGACAGTTACTTCCATCGACTGCCCTGACTCTTTCGACAGTGCTTCTGATAATTTCTTCACTGCCGACGTCACAATCAACAACCCCAGTGACCTAGTTCACTCGGCCCAAATTGTTTTCCGTGGTTATGTTTGCAAAGGAGCCAAACTTCATTATGAGTTTTTTCACGAGCAGCAATGGGTTCTAGTTGAGCCAGGCGGTAATAATCAGCCCCATGCGATACATCACAAATCAAATTTATTCCAGGTGAAAAATCGCATAGAGCTGTTGTCGATGTTTGGTTGCCCAGATTCCCTCCAACCATGAAATTTCCCGATGGAAGTGAGATTATATATTGTGTACGAGCTACCGTAGCCCCTTGGTTCGACAACAAATACGTTGAAAGAACCTTCGAAGTCCGAAGATCGCTTGTGTTGAAGATGCCGCATGAGGCGTGCTACTCGGTCGACCACATGGTTAATAAATGTGTGGAGCATGGGAGCATCCTTCACAAGTGAGCAACAATTCCGGAAAGCCTAATGAGCTTTTCATTTCTCAGGAAATGCGATCCAATTAACGGGCACATCTTTTTGAAGAAAACAGCCTTTCGGCACGGAGAAGACATAGATGTGGAATGGGAACTAAAGACTGAAAATTCTGCTTTCGAAAGTTTCACATGCAAACTTGCGCAGATGATTGAGCTCCGGTAGGCTGTGGCGTCAGAGAAAAACGTCAAAGTTCATATCGCTTTCAGGGAAAGCGACCCTGGCAACTACCTAGCAACTAGACGATTCTTCAACTTTTTGAAAGAAAAAAAGTCGTCGGCCAACTCCGTTTCCTTGGTGGTCCCTCCAGAATGCTTTATCTCCATCCCAATGTCCCTGTGGAATGTGCTTGTTGTTAAACATGAGATCGTTTTGGAAATCAAGATGAAGAAGAGGAAGAAGCCCGTCGTGTTCAGATATCCCATAATCATTTGCAGTGAAGAAGTGGTGGTAAGGAGCATGATCCGGATTATTACATCGCTCTTGTTTTTCCACTTTCAGAAGCGGAAGCGCCCTCGTGAAGTTATTCCCGTCTTTAAAAGGGTGCAAGATGTTGACGACGATACTGATGACGACGACGACTATGACTCAGAAGGCGAAGAAGAAGAAGGAGCGCAACCGGCTTCTCGCGACTACTCTGTTGACATAGAGAAGCTCACCCTGACCAGTATGTTTCTCTGTTTCCTCTTGCGTTGGGCTATGAGCTCGATATTCTGCAGGCGTCACGGAGTCAGAACAAAAGCAGCTGGAGAGGGCCGATGTTGGTGTTACATTTGTCATGAATAGCTCTGAGCCACAACAAATGCGATCGTTGAGATTGCTTCTGACCGGCGAGGTCAGAGTGGGAAGCCTATGGTACGAGTTCCTACGATTCAAAGCGATTGCCAATCTGAGTCACGACACACTCATGTCCCCCGGACAACATCATGTCAAATTTCAACTACCATTTTCGGAAACACAATACGACACTGCAATCCTGCCTCCATCCATGGGCGACGAGATTCGATACGTAGTACATGCGAGTACGGAAAGCCTCCGAAAGAATGTGTTCCAACAAGAGTGCGACCTGCTGATCGACAGATTTGTTGACACTTGGGCCAAGGAATCGTATAAGCCCGGATATACGGAAGAGTACGGATCGACGACGATACATCTGTCTCAGCGATGCTTCAAACGGGGCAAAAATGTAATTGTGTCATTGCAAGGAGACAAACCCCGTTCTGTAAAAGGGACATTAGTGCAGAAACGACGGCTGCGAGTTCCGGATGTCAAGATTGATGAGAGTAATTGCAGCCAGCGAAGCGTCCGCGTTCTTGAAGAGAAAATTAATCGGAAGAGCCATGTTCATGTCATGCAAATCCCGTCCAATATCCCTCCGAGCATCGAGATTTCTTACTGGAATGTCCTTCAAGTCGAATACCATTACGATGTTGAAATAACACTGGAAGGAGGTCACGCACATAACCACTCAATTCCCATCTGGATTGGTTGCACAGAGGACAATCTTCAAGTGCCAGCTCAGCCGGTTGAGGAGGTCCCCCAAAGCGAGTTTGTTGTCGAAGATGAGCCGTTGGAAGAACTCCCCGAGTTTGAAGTCGTCCACACTGAAGACGTGCGCGAGCAGCCGTATTGGGTGGATAGGATTAACACGGACACATATTTCACTGAACAGGAGAGAATGAACTAAGTAACACTTATATATCCCCTTCGTGACCAATATGGACTTGATGTTTGAGCCTTTGTGCTCATCTATGCACAATCCTACTTAAATAGCCCCCATCTTACTCCCGTTTCGCATTGATGAAGTCAATTAACATATGTACTTGTGCAATAACAAGACTCACTCGGACAATGACACGCTCCGAGTTGAAAGACTGAATCAGTACAGTAGTCCCGTCGGTCGAAGTGGCGTATAGGCGGACAAGCAGCATAAAGAACTTTTGATCAGGGTTCGGGCGAAGGTTCTTTCTCTGGTTGTTCAGAGTGGTTTCCGAGAAGTGAAGCCTTGGGACTGTCACTTTAGTCATTCGACGCTCGACAACTTTGAAGATGACCGGAGTGTGGAGGACCGGCTTACGGTCAGAAGTTGACTGACGGATGGCCACCTCAGAGTTCAACGCCTGAAAAAAGGGTTTAATGTTTTTAAATTGAGCCTTCCGATCTTCTTACCTCTGCTTTGACACCAGTGAACGCCAATTGGAAATGTTCGATTGGCTTGATCAGTCCATTATGCTTGAAGCACTGTGGTGGAGTTGGGTCCATAGCCTCGACGCTGACAGTAACCTGGAAACATTGTGGGGTTTAGAAATAACTGTGGGCAACAGATTTACCTGGAAGTGGTTTTTCTTCTGGTTGACGAAACAATTGTCGTTGTTAGAGTAGTTGAATCCTTTGTCGGCAACAACGTGCACTTGAATACATTGCAGGTGTTGTCCTTCGGCATCGTACAGGGGATGCCAATCCGTCTCATTGTATCTGTAGAACTTGATGCTGAGCTGGCCGCCGTTCTCATCTGGAGCCGGGGTCTCTCCTGGCATTCTTCCTGACAAGGCCGCATTCAGAATGTAGCTGGGATCCAGGTTCTGCTGCTCCATGCGCGGACGTTTGCGGTTGTTTGGCGGTTCATCAGAGCATCCGCCTATGCTCTCGTCACTCGAGACGTTCAACGCATTGTAGAGGTTGCTTTGTATGAATCCTTGCCCTCCGTCCTGGCTGTCCGGAGAAACCGATTGGATGTAACTGGTTGGGGTTGGCTGCTGACTTTGAAGGTACTGATTGAAAACTGCAGCATCTGGTGGCGAAATTGTTTGTTGCTGCTGTTGCTGTGGCTGCTGATGTTGCTGGCGCTGTTGCTGTTGCTGTCGTTGCGGCTGATGTTGCTGTTGCTGTTGTTGCTGTTGCAGCATCTGTTGCTGTTGCTGCTGGGGAATGTTTCGCTGATCGAATTGGCGCTGCAGGAGTTCTTGAGGATCAGGTCCATTGGGAATGACTCCGGGATTCATGCGCTGACTCCCGAGGGCAAATTGGTTGAGTCCTTCCGGCGAGTATGGCGGGTCCGAGTTGGTGGTGGACGGCGAAGAAGAGGATCCGTGACGAGTGAGGTCGGTGATAGCAGGGGTCATCGGCATTCCTTGCATCATCTGAAACGCAACAGAATACTTTGATAGCTGATCAGTGATTGTTACCTGTGGCTGATACATTTGGTGCGGATGCATTTGGTGCTGTTGCTGTTGCATGCGCTGTTGCTGTTGCATGCGCTGTTGCTGCTGCGGTTGAAGTTGTTGTTGCTGAAGCTGTTGCTGTTGGAGTTGCTGGAGAAGTTGCGGATCCATTTGCATTTGCTGTTGTGGTGGAGTCTGCATCCCAGGCTCGTTTTTCAATTCTCCAAGGTTGATTTGTTCCAACGTTTCTATTGGAATGTTGAAGCTGAAAAAAATAACGATTACGAAACATTTCGAAACAGTAAACTCACTCTCCCTCGGCTTGCAGGAACTGTATGATATTGAACTGCTCCACATTTGCCAAGGGGTCATTCAGCCCCTCCTCTGAAAACGAGTGCTGGTTGGAGTTCATAATCAGCAGCTAGTTGAATGATTGCTTATGAATGCGCGTTCGCGCGCGTGTGTAAGGCGACTGAGGAGATGGATGCCGTCTGTCTGACCTTGCGACGAAAAGAGACAGAGCAATAATCGATTTTTTTGGTTAAACACACATCGCAACACATGCGGACTGTGGTAGTGGCTCACGTGACGTATTTCTCTCTCGCCACGCGTTCTCTCGCTCGTAACTAAACAGAAACGCTCGCTGACGGAACTTTTCTATCCCTCGCAGCTCAATGACATACCTCGAGGGGGTCGAGTCACTTGACGTCGGACCATTCAGTTGTAGACCATACAAAGTATGAAGTAAAATAAGAAAGTGCGTCGAAACACGCTTTTTGAGGCAGATAGGCCGAAGCGCAGTCGCTCTTTGGCTCGTACCAGTCTCCGCGGTGGCGAATGTGTGTGGCAGGGCCTTCACTACTGTGCCGCCTCTCCTGCCCACCCGCTCGCTCGCTTTTGTCTCGTCGTCTCCTCGAGGTCGCGCACTCTTCCACTCTCGCCTCTATATCGTGTTCTATCGCCTGACCACACGCGGGCCCCTACTGACTGGGGGGTGCGGAAAAAAAGGGGATGGCGAGCGAATGGAGAGGAAAAAAAATACTCGGCTGCGAGTTGCGTTTCCAGTGGTCGACTAGCAATGCTTCGCTTGCTGTCTTGATAACATGTGCATGTGTAGTCGACGTGCTGTCCGCCTGCGAGAACACACACAACACGACAACAAAAACGAGAGCTACATCGGAAAAAAGAAGGACGAAAAGAAGAAGGGACGACCTTCCGAATAGCTTTTTTTCGAGATTTATGGGGTTTTGGCAGTATTCTGCTGATCAGGACGTCGAATAAATTAGATTTAGGGGGAAGATGAACTGATCTTATTCCTTGGGAACGGTGAAATCATTTCAGACTCGGCAATTAAACATCACTCAGCAAAGGCTCTCCAGATGATTCGTTTAGAAGTTTGATCCTAATTGATCCTCCATTTAGTCTGTTCACGAGCTACTATCAGGGCGAATGCGCTCGGTTGAGAGACTCATCTTTTTGTGATCTCCGGGGCCTAATTTGTTGTCACTAAAAAATGCTTCAATAGTAACGTCCTTGAACTATTTTTGCTCTAAGAACACTATCCCCGTCCGTACATGACTTGTTCCCTGAATTCATTGAAAGACACCCAAACATTCTTCAGATGAAAAACCGTTTATTGTGTTCACGGAAGCTGCCCGTATCTCATCATTGTTAGTCAATAAACAGCCTTCACAAAAATCTGCCGCGACGTGCGCACTTTTTCGCAAAAACCTCACAGAACACATTCCCTAAAACACGTTTTTTGCACTTTTCCGTTCCCAGCGATGCCACCAACGTCTCACAACCTCGAAAAAGCCGCCGATATGCTATTATACGGTAGCACATAAGAAAAGAGTCATTTGTTTGAGGTCATTGACTGGATTACATCATGAAAGAAGAAGAAGAAGAAGAAGAAGAAGAAGAGTGCACATTCGACACTGATTCTGATGTTTCATTCCTTCCGCTCCGATTATTACGCGCCGCGGTTCGAGAAAGAAAAGAAAAGCCAATCCGTCCTTACGGTTTTGAAATACTCTTCAAGGACTCGCCATCACACTCCCTATTTACAACGACGCCGTGATCGTGTCTGTCCGCCAAAAGTATGCGACGTTTTTCTACTTGTCAGAAAAACGTTTGATACTTTCTTTGCGTGACCTGGGCGATGAGGAGTCATGCGGTTCATATGTTCTATTTGGATGAGAAAAAGTGGGTGACGGCGAATGGATTCGGGAGTCTTTGAACGCTGACGAGAAAAAACTGATTACCAGTCTGTTTCTTGAGGGCTTGAGCGGTATAGCTACTCAGTTTGTTGCGTAATAAGGCGATGTAGACCAATTTTGCCATTTGTTGATCTTCCATTTTTTGGCAACTGAAGTGAGAAGGTGTGAAAAACGAATATGAAGTCGGAATAGGAACAAGAGAGTGGGAAAATGAGTAAAAATGATAGGGTATGTAGAAGGAGGAATTAGCGAGAACTTCGATTGTAGATCTTTTTTGACAAATGATAACTTCACTCAAGGTTACCACCACGAGAAGTTAGAACCCGAAAGAGAACACATCTTCTCTCGTTCTCTAACGGTGAAATTTGGATTGGATGATGTGAAAGACGCAATGTGAGAGAGCCGAAATTGAGAATATGCACTATCAAGTGGAAAGAGGATTGCACTTTATATCTGAATGAATCTCTCGGCTCTCTCACTCTCATTCTGCTCTGCTTTCTGTCTGCTTCAGCAAATTGAATCGAATTTGTGATCGATTTGAAACAAGGAGTGCATCTAGTACATGCAAGTTGAGAAACGAATCGCTTGAGCTCTCATCAGAGTTCGAGAGAATGCGCGCTCTCACACCTTCCCAATCAGGGTCAGCGTGAAGAGTCTCGGGTGCCTGGCACGATACTGATAAGCCGTGTTGTCCCTCTATAAGTACACTGATTAAATGGTTCGCATTCAAATGGATGTGCTGATAACAAACTTTTTCGCGGGCTACTTTTGTGAGATGTATTTTAGAACGTTGAGTCATATTTTTAGCAATTTCTTGTCTGTATGTAGTTGTTTTTAGGTTATCTTTGCATTGTATTTTACACTAAACAGCAAAATTCATACCATATCAATTTAGTCTCAACCTATCAAACAAGCTCATCCATCACTGTCATAGCTTCTACTACATTCCTTTTGTAGATTTATTCTGCCGAGACATGTCGGAAGATCAATCATTAGTCGTCCCGTTAGCCGTTATCTACAAGATCGGAAATTCGATTCACCGCTAGATGCCGCCGAATTCCGTTTTCAAAATGGGTCGACTGGGATCGTGTTCTTATGTTATTGCATCGAACCTTCTAGTAGGTTCATTATGCACATTGAGGCTCAATGCCATTCCCAAGATGAGTCAGAATAAGTTTGTGCAAAGTGCTAGAAAAGCGAGAGAAAAAAGTTGTATAGCCGCAAACGTTGGCGAGATACATTCAGCTTCTGCTCATGAGAAACGTGAATAGGCACGAAGTCCGCGCTCGGATTGGGATGAGGGAGCGCGCGCCAGAAAAGGGCACACGCACTATGAAACATGCTCACCGCGGCATGGCACCCGCCAGAGCTCTGGCATGAGAGCGCCGCGCCCAGATCTGCCAACGGATGGATAATTCTAGAATCTACTCTGCTCATCTGCGCATTCCCATTCAGGGGAACTGTCTCTCCGGTTCCGAGCGAAATAGGGAAATGAGGAAGGGCATTTTTTGAAAGTTTGAAAAGGTTAGACGGATTATCAGCCGGCTCTGGCTGGTTGTCAAGCCCTTCATGCAGCTGGGCGCCGCCACTGTGCCCAAAATAACAAATCAAGTTCTGAAATTGGAAGTTTTTGGGCGAAAACGAATCACCCCGCAGACAGTTATTGACTAATTGAGCAAGAAATGATAACACTGTCGGCAACCGGTAAAACTTATACAACTGATAGTTTGGAATTATAGAATTGTAAAATGGACAAGGGGGAGTTGCAAAAATAGCGTTTTCCAGACCGAAAACTGAAAACATTGGCACAGCCGGTGCATTTAAAAGAATAAACATCCCTACCGGTGGAACTATACTATGCCAGATGTGTGCTCTCTTCCCCCGCTCGTTCCCTCCTTATTCCTTAATAAACTTGTGTTTCAATCTTCTTATAAGACTCAGTTTTTGCTTTATGAACAAAAAGAATTTTCCAACTACAAGCAGAACGCATTTTTGCTGGCAAAGGAAGAAAGTCTTCTGACAGAGTGTGACATCAGAAATTTGAAACTGACTACAGGTGCAAACGGAGAAAGATGGAAAAAACACTCAGAAGCAGTAGACCACTCGTGCATGGGTACCGCTTATTGTAATCACAGTTTGGAAAAACCTCATAGCGTGCAAAAGCTTTCAGCTATTTGCAGAACACTTTCAGAATTGCTCCCAGTCTGTATGAAACGCACGCTTGCTGCGCTCGCGACTTTCAGAACTCACCAAACTCCTCGTAGCCAGGCGGATATGCGTTTTTCGGCAACATGTTCACTTCATTCGATGTTTTCAGTTGATTCTGCAAATAGGAACTTCAATCGATGACGAAATACCAATCAAAAACGAGCAAAACGGTTGGCACGTGCTTTTCAAAACGCAGTAATGTTTGGAAAGAATCGGATGGAACGATGGAAAATTTTCTGTTTTTTGTCTCTTCCTTCCAACTTTCTCTCATTCTTTCATTTTTTTTTTTGTGTTTCTTTTCTCCGAGACACAGTCGGCAAGGACAGAGAGTGCGCGATAGACGGTTGACATTTGCCGAGAACGAATCTCCCGTCTTACCGCACTATTTCGGCCCTTTGACGATTCAATTCTCCTCGAAAAAACCGGTTATTTTGAGAAGATCAATGAAAAATTGAATTATGTGGCGAAATTTGAGGTACCAAACACTTGAGAAGTATGAAACCCTTTTGAATGGAGCACTGCCGAAATCGTATAGTCGCATTGGAAAGGAAAAATGGAACTAGCGGTATCAGCAACTCAGTTCCAAGCGAACGAAATCGGAATTGACATGTTTCTGAGTTGTTTGTCGCGTCGACAATTAATTCCCGATATTGTTGCTGTCTCATCGCAATTTGTTACAGAGTATTGAAACTCTTTCTCACTGATCAGCTGATGAGTTATCAGGGTCGCTCGCCAGTTCTGATCAACATCCTTCTCTCCGTCCAGACTAATAACACCAAGAGACCTTCTCCTTGGCCTTCCTTCTCCGTTTTCCGAATGAGCGACTCGCGTCCTCGTTTTGTTTGTGAATGTGTGCTAGCAAGCGTTGGGGATGGAGACATCGCGCATCGGGAGGAGACACAGACAGGAAAACGAAAAACAACGACATTTCGAACCTTCTCCGTGTTTAGTGTGTCGATTTACGGAAGAAGGTGACGTGTACAGCACTTAATATGGTTAACTTCCAAATATTCAGCATTTTCTCACAGTCTTCAGTCTTCTCCGTTTTCAATTTTTTTTCTAAGCTCTTCCGTCATATCCTCACCGACTTCTGTCTGTTTTCAGGAGATGATTAAGCCAATACTTATCTTGGTGGTCCTCTCAATCAATGGGATCGTGTGCCCACCGCCTATGAGACAGCAGGCTGAGCAAGCACAGGCACAGGATAATGGCCAGCAACCACCACAACAAGCTCAGGTACGAATTTTTAGTCATACGCTATCTATAAATAGTAATTTGCAGGCAACGGATAACCAACAGGCTCAGAACACTCAACAGCAAGGAGAGTACGAAGGACGTCATCCGGTAAGTGAATTTAAAATAAAACAATTCAAAGATGGTTTTTTTTCAGGGATATCAATTTGCCTACACCAAATACTTGGAAGAGGTAGTCAAGATCCTCGAGAGCGAACCAAAGTTCTCGGAGCGTCTGAGGGACATGAAGGAGGACGAGATCAAGGTATGCCAATTCGGCTTAAAACATTTTTGATGAATATTAACTTCAGGAGGGTAAGATCGCTGACCATATTGATGACCTTCCAAAAGAAGTGTTCGATAAGCTCCACAAAGCCAAGTTTGATGAGATCGAAAGACTTCGTAAGCAGATCGAGGAGCAGATTAAGGTATACACTGACCCTGATCATTTGACAGTTCTGCTCACAAAATCCATAAATTTAGCTGGACGGCGGTGCGCATAACGTCAAGATGCCAGACCATTTGGACGTTAAGGAACTCGACAGGTTCCACAAAGAAGATTTGAGAAAGCTGATCCAGAAGACAGTCGCTGATATGAATGCGATGGACGACCAGAGAAAGGAAGATTTCAAGCAATACGAGTTGAGAAAGCAGGCGGAAGAAGATCATAAGCTAGCTCAGATGGCCCCGGAAGAACGGGAAAAAGCAAAGAGGGAGTATGAGGAATCTGAAAAGAGACACAATGAGCACGAGAAGTTGAAGCACCCGGGAAGCAAGGATCAACTTCAGGATGTCTGGGAGGAGAGCGATCATGTAAGGGCTTTCCGAGTCTGCTAGTCCAGTTTTAATAATGATTTTCAGCTTGAAAAAGAAGCGTATGATCCAAAAACGTTCTTCGCCCTTCACGATCTCAACGGAGATGGTCTTTGGAACGATTTCGAGTTGGAATCGCTCTTCCAGTTGGAGTTGGAAAAGATGTACAACGAAACGAACCCGGATGACGACATGAAAGAGAAAGAAGAAGAGATGAACCGTATGAGAGAGCACGTCATGAAACAAATGGATGCCAACCAGGACCGCATGATTTCTCTCCAAGAGTTTCTCACCGACAACGAAGCTCAGAATGCGCAGCCTCCAAAACAAGAGGAAACTTGGCAAGATCTTGGACAACAGAAGGTATTTGTCAAAAGTACATGTTGATGTCATTGGAGGATATTTCAGATTTACACTGACGAGGAGCTACAAAGATTTGAGAGAGAGTATGCTCAACAACAAGGTAATTAGGTGCTTTTATAACAATATTACTAAGCCTTTTGCACTAACACTTGGTTTTTCTTCAAATTGCCTTGCATCAGTCATAGATTTTAACTTTTAAATACACTAGGATGGGGCGATCATGCGTATGAACCACAAGTTGCTTCAGAACAACAACATCCGCAGGCGGCAGCTCAGCAACCTCCTCAAGTCAGTTCCATCTTCAAAATTGTTCAGTAATATAGTTATGTTCTTACAGGCTCAACAACAGGTTCATCCCGCCCAACAACAACCCATCCAACCAGTGAACGTGCCTCCTCAACCACCTGCTCCGAACGCGCAACAGCCTGTGCAACAGGTACTTGGAACCCATACTTATAGAATACTGTATGTACAACCATTTATTACAGCAGCAACAACAGCCGCCCCAGCAGAACCTGCCACCGGTGCACCACGAACCGATCCAAGACCACAAAAAGGACCCAACCTACGGAATCTAATGCATTTCTTTCTAGTCATCAACTGTTTGTTTCAAAATCGATAAGTGTCCGCCGGGTTGTACATTTTCGTTTATTCTGAAACTTCTCTTCTCCCAACTTTCCATTGTCAGGCCATTTCTTGTCTGTAGACCTCTGTTGAACAGGCCAGTTAAGTTATGAAACAAGCATATTATTATGGTGTTAAATGAATGAAATCGTCAGTTTACAGGGGGTACACAATTCATTCGAAATACATATAGGCGGACCTGTGAAAAGGCAGACACTCATCTGCAATAATAATAATAATAATATGACATTTACGAAAAATTATCAAAAACGGAGGTGTTTTGAAAGCAAGAACGGATCAAATGAGGCAGTTCTGATTTAACATTTTGAGTGTATTAGAAGGATTGATTAGGATAATAATTAAAGCGGAATTGCTGGAAAGTGGGGAACATTTGACAATTGAGGGAATGGTGGGCATGAGATTCATTAGTTTTGGGTTGATTAACATTGGATTGAAGCGGGTGGGTAGTACAGCGCCTGAAAATCAACTAGTAATGTCAGAACTTCTAGTCGTTTATTCAATCTAACCTGTTGGTTGAAAGTGGTCAAGACTTTCTTGTCAATTCTGTACAGCTCCATGAACAATTGTGGCAGATTCAAGATTTGAGCGTTTTCGCGGAGGATCTTCAGTTCGTTCAAATGTATGTCATCTGCAATAAAATGATATTATTTGCTTGTAGTCCAGAAAAGTCTCTTACCAAGTCTCTCCAACATTTCAATGAGCTCGTTCAATTTGGTGTAGACCTCAACGCCGTCACTCCGGAAGTTCAGTTTCCAAAAGAGAGCTTGCTGGATCATTTCGTGAAGCTTGGCGATCTCTCCCGCAGCCTCAAAGTACGTTTCCATGCGGAGTTTGTCGGACAACGGCTGACAAAGCACCAGAGCAATGTAGAGGCCGATTTCAGTGTCGGCGAGCCCAAGGCTCAGAAACGAGTTGGCGAAGCTGAGCATTTCATCGGCGAGAGGTCCATACAACACATGAAGTGACTTGAAATCAATCAGTCGACCGTCCCTGAGCAGAAGTCCCTTCGACGAGAGTCCACGAGCGACGCGGATCAGATAGATGGCGAACGAACTTCTCTTGAGCAGAACCGCGCCATCATTCGAAGGCAACTTGTTCAGAAACGACACTTCTTTGACAAAGTTGATAACGTCTTGGAAATCGGTATTTATCTCGTGTGCGTAGATTTGCCAGGCATTCATACGGTTAGTCATCGGATCGGCATCGATAAGCTAAATAAGTTAAAATAAGTCGGAGTTTGTATTTTCGATTAATTCCTACCACATTGAGAGGTTTGGCCACCATGCTTCTCACTTTGATGTCCGTGTGGTTCGAATGTTTGCTGTGAGCCAATGCAATCTCGTTGATAAGCTGAAAATCGCACATTAGTACTATTAAACAGTTGAGTGAGAACTTTACCATCTTTTGCACTTCCACCGGATCCGGAGATGTGCTCGACGAGACCTGATTATCGTCAGCTTCAATTTTCGAGCCATTTTTCTGTTTCATTTGACGAACTGCTGGAAGATACAGGTAAATCTAAGTCGTTCTACGTTCATCTATAAAGATGAGTCAAAAACGTCATCATATCCATCACACCAACTGTCACGTCTCATTGATTTTTACTAGGTTTCATTTGGATCATCACCAATCAGATAAGATGAGAGACTATAAATTATAGCTTGTGTAAACTGGCCCAACTGCGTCAGTTGTGCTCTCAATGAAACGCGAAGAGTTTCATGCATTCGATCCACTCACAATCTTTGGACATCCCGGTGTCTAGACACTTCTTGAATCGGCAGTATTGACATCGGTTGCGGCTGTCACGACGGATCTCGCAATTCTGCAGTTTTAGGCAACGATAGTCATTCTTTCTTTGAATACTTCGCCGGAAGAATCCCTGAAAAATTCAAAAGTTGCACATGTTACTACTAGGCAAGAGTGCGCCGGGGATAGACAATTTATTGCCTTTGTGCCGTCGCTTCACTTTTCGTCGGAACCCCAAGATGTGTGTTTTTTGCGAAAAAAAAAGAGGCTGTGACATGTAAATCTGTGATCATTTGAATTTCAATAGGTTAGTCCCTGTACCACGTACTAGTACCAGGCCAGAAGGCGGATAGTCTTGTGTAATCTTCCCCCTTCTTTGCCAACCATAAATTATTAACCATCATTATATATATTTGCTGAGAACGCAGAAAAAGGCTTGTCTCGGTCCTCTTGTTAGTATGCATCCCAAACACTCACACAATGGAAGGGTCTCTAATGCACATAGCAACACACAGTCTCTTAGGGATTGCGCAACCACTGGTACCCCTCTCTTTCTCGCTCTCTGCTCGACAACGAAACAACGACGGACCGTCGTAAATACAGGTTTCATATTCTTGAGCAGAAAAGAACAGAGATTTATGCGCGGATGCGAGATGTGATTAAACCCCTAATATGACGTCATCGGCTGAAATGGGCTCTGTTCTCACCTTGCATCCTTCGCATGACGTCACTCCGTAGTGGTATCCGCTTGCCTTGTCTCCGCAGACCTTACAGTACGAAATCGTCTTGCCAATGTTGCTGGTGCGTTGGGAACTGGTAGCGTTCGTTTGCGAATCCGGAGACAGCGACGAGTTGGAAACGGAAACTGAAAGTACGGTACTTGATCCTTCGAATTGCTCGCTTGCAAAGCTTTAATCAACAAATGACGTGATATACATATAGTATTTGCCAAAGTCCATATCTCTCTTGGTCCCTCACAGACACACAAAGAAGAGCTAAGCCCTTAGCCACATCTTCTGGACTTGTGTCATATGCTTGCCCTCCCTTCTGCTACGTCTCCTTCCGCCATTATTACACTAGGCAGCATAGAATCGGCACCTCTTTACGATCGGACCATACATCACGGCAGGTCCGAGCAGCGGACGTCCAAAAGATGACGGAATGCACGAAAGATTATTGCGCAACATGAGACGACGTAGCCGCGCGGTGTTCACAGAAAACGTTCGTCAAACAGACGCCTACCGTAATCAGCCTGCACATCTAACGTTCTTAGCACAATTTCCCCTTCTGTCTACAGATTATTCGGGAGAGCAGCGCGGTGAGAAGATGAGAGGGCAAAGGATAGGTATTGCAAAAAATCTCAGCCGCGTTTTGAATCTAGACGCGATGACTAGGTGCTCCCCATCAATTAAATTGGAAGGAAGAGGCGAGAGAAAGTTGCAACGCTTCTCTTATCGAGACACATGTTCACACGGACAAAAAACGGTGATGTGAGCCACTTGTCACTTGATGATCAAAATATCTCTTCCACCTCTACCTGATAGAAATAGAAACTAACCACTTGTTGCCGGCGAACTGGCTCCCGCTTGAGACATCGTTTCATAGAATTGCGGGTAAACGTTGACGTTGGTGTAGTAGCGATGGTTCGCATCCGGCACCATTCCGTAGTTTGAAGACGGTCCGGCACCTGTAGGGATCGGGAACTCCGCACCGTACTCCTCCGGAATGTACGTCTGAACATTTTTGGGATTTGAAAACTAAGCCTTGTCTTGTAAACTCACCATTGCGGGCTGCGCGCCTTGCCACTGCGTGTTCGTTGCTTCCGGTTCGTTCTCTGATTTGACAACAGGCATGGTGGCGGCTGCTTCCGACGGATTGTAGTATGGCATGGTAGTAGTGACCACATTCCTACCGTCCGTGGTAACCGGGGGGCCATACTCGGGTTTTATATAACTCATCTGGAAAAACATTCAAAGTTAACATTGAAACCAAAGTAAAAGAAGCATAGAAAGGAGAATTCACATTTTTCACACAATCAGCAGTTCAGTTGTTTCTAATGAAAAGTGCTCGGCAAGAAAGGCTATCTAGTCTGAGAAGCCGTAAAATTACTGACGAAAGTGGGCGGGCCCACGAGGAAATGGTATCGGAAATCTGCTCTCCACCGGTGGGGGCCCTGAGGACAGAGGGTCTTGAGAAGGCGGAGCTTGTGGAAAGAACCGCTGCGAGTGCAAGGAGCCTACATCTCATGGAGTGAGAAAGGCATCGAAAAGTGAATGTTCTAATGCAGCTGTTAGCGCAGTTAAAACAAATTCATATTTCAAAAAATTCGAACGGAGCGTAGTGGAAAATGAGCCCAGGCTGTGACGTGTATGGGAAATGTGATGTAAACGGAAAAAGATTGCTGTATGGGGAGTTGCGTTGCTAAAGTATGCAATACCAGTTGCGTAATATCAATTAGGCATCCACAGACCGCTTGCGCAAGTGCAAACGCGCGGACCGGCCAAATCGAAGGACGAATGGGAGATCGGCGAGATGAAGCGACGTGAAGAGGGAGCTCATGAAGTACGTTCCCCCCACTCAAGCCGTGTTCAACAGCATGGTAAGGTACGATATGACACCTCTTATGGTCCCGATGACGTGTGGTGAAAGTGGCAGGCAAGTGCTAAGTGCAAGTCAAACACTGCTGACGCTTGAGAAAACACATGTGCTTTTTCAATTCGAAACGGCATAGACTGAACACCGAGATTGCAAATAATCCGAGTCGACGTTAAGATCATAGTAATCGAAGATATGCGGCGGTCGATCAAAAGTGCAAAAGGAGATGAGAGAGAGAGAGAGAGAGAGAGAGAGAGAGAGAGAGACGAGGAAGACAAAGAAATGAGGTGAAAATAGCTAACTCGCTGTGCGGTGCGCAGGCGGACGGACCATTACGACCGGTGTGTCTGCCGCACAGCCCGCGAGACTGTGCAAGGAGAGAAACGAGCGATAAAAAAACGCGTACCCTCCCCCTTCTTCGTCCGCCCACCGCAGGGACCGAGGGGGCGATTTACAGCATGCACTTGCAACGTCCGTTCGAAATCCATCCGACAGCTGATAAAGTTTAATTTTGGAAAAAGGAACTAAGATGGAAGAAGGACAACATCTGGAACCATTGGATAGAAAGTGCATCAACCCAGATGAACTATGGTTTCTTTTACTAGTCTTTTAGCCTTTTTCGATATACATGGTTTTTGGAACAGCTGTTCATCTATAAAGTTCCAGAAGAACAAGAAAATGAAAGGAAAAGATAAGAAAGCAGTCGTTGCAGCGGTCCGAACGGAAAACGAGCGGAATGACGTGCCAGAGATAATAAGATAAGATACGAAAGTACACTGTGGGCGAGAAATAACTCGATACGGGAACACTTGGACATTCATTAATTAAGGGCCATTATTCTCGTATGTACCATTTCTCAGTGGGAGATGACACCCTTTAGTACCTACCCTGTCAATTTGATGGCTACTTGAGAACGATGTCGGTTGGCAGATATGCGACTTACCTGGTCTGAATCATTGTAAATCCACATTCCAATTGAATACGTTTCTTTCGTTTTCAACTCTGAAATGTATAAAAATTGGGAAATGAGAAAAGAAAAAGAAAAAGAAAACGGAAACTTTTCCGCGAGGTTGATAGCGGAAAGCGGAGTAGAAATGAGGTAAAGATGGTCACTCGGGTTGTTAGCGAACTACCGATAGTAAAATAAGGCTCTTTTCACTGATATGATAAGCGGTGGTCACTCTGCACTTGTAACACTCTGCCTGTTGCGATGTACGGTCTTTTGGACAGTTTAAACTGGCAAGCAATACAAAAGTATGATTAGGTGAGAGTGTTAATGTTGCCGGCTGAAATATTGGCACCTAACCCAATAATATTACGCCGACAGAACATACAAAAAGATGAAAATGAGGGTCGAAAGGTGAATCTGCATGCCAACCGCCCCCCGAAAAAAGTTCGACGCGTTGAGAACAATCTGTTTGAGTTTTTGAGGGTGTCCAACCGGTTTACATTTCCAAAATCGGTAATTTTAGCATTTGTTTCGACAAATTTGTTACATACGCGCATTGTTAGTATCAACATTGAGGAATGCTGTGAAAATGAGAGAGGCGAACAAAGAAAGTGGCTAAAAACCAAAGAAAAGAAGGAAACTCATCCATTCCATTTCACCAGAAAAAGAATATTTGAATGAATGACGTGGCGGTTTGAGGCTCTCGCCCTGTGAATTTGAATGACAGATTGAGTAATTCTACGCGATTTTGATCGCATGCGCTTGCTGCCACCACACCACCCACATGAAAAAGAAAAACGACATAAATCTTCGCGTGAAGCAGGTAATTCTTTGTGACCCAGAACATAATACAAAAAAAAGAGAGGGCGAATCAAGAAACGAAAAGGAAGTGGAAGGACAGAACACAGCGAGTATGAACGTGAGAAGAAGCGGCAATCCGACGACGTCTGATACCTCCGCTGCCCCTTCTTTTCCCCCCGTCCTTTCTTTGTTTCCCCCCACAACTTTTTCAGAACTTTCGCCTTCCGTTGCGTAATCACGCCGTCATTGCCTTTCAAGGATCGCAAAAAAGCGGCGAGATGACAAGAACGGTTGTTTTGAGAGGTTGCGCAAAGGGTGCCGACTTGGTGTGCGCGATTCAAGTGCCAAGTGTTCCCACGGGTCATGGGCGAAAAAGGTAAACTGCGCACACACAGATAACGTTTTGGAGACGAATGCGTAAACAAACAGTGGAAATCACAGATGCAAAGGGGAAGAAGCTGTGAAGGCTGACGCGAAGAAAAAGGAACAAAAACGATAGTGTACTACTGAACGCATTCTGTTACAACACTCGGGACTTTTCCGGATATTATTCACAATTCCAATTGTTCAAAGACACATTGTATACAGTTTTCTGTAGATTTCGTGCCGGGTTTCAGTGTTCAAATTAGAAAGCATGAGACACATTTTTTGCATAGAGGTCTGAACTTTTGACCTACTTGCAATAGTCCGATCTGACCCTACTTTACAAGCTTCTTGAACTTAGATCAAAGGTCTCAGTTTTAGACCGATCGGAGTATGTAGTCCGGAGATATACTGATTGGACACCAAAAAAAGCCGGCATTTGCGAAAACTGAGGTCTTGTCGGCCTGTGATCCATATATATCCTGAGGTACTGATCCGATTGATTTGTCATATAGGTCCGAGGAACTGAAATTCAATTCCAAAAAGCCTGCAAAGTTTGGGTCCGATCGGATCATCGAAAGTGGGTCAAAAGTCGATAGGAGTCCAAAAATCCTGAGCTGGATCATTTCCCAAATGCTATTTACACCCTTCACAATTGGGTTTTTCGCGGTTTCTTTTAGATTTTCACGGCGATCTCTACCTCTCCTTCCGCAATGACGTAGCATTGGATTTCTTGTAGCCACTTCTAGTTACCTAGCTTCCTTCTAGTTTTTTGTCGAGTTTTTTCCTGACATCCCGCCAATTTAGTTCCATGAAACAACATGAGCGTTTGCATTCATCCCTTCTACGACTTTGTATAATATGATTTTTGCCGAAAAGAAAGGAACAAAGACACGTGGGAAATGATAAACCAATAAAACCGTTTCCCATTCGTATTTTGATATCAGCACGATTTGTTTCGCCTTTCCCTCACGTTTCTGAAACTGTTTCTGCTCTGAAACGTCCGTTTTCTCATCCTCTTCTCCGTTCGAACGCAACGTGGCATTTTCGGAACAGTGATGCAATGCCGTCTTCCGGCGACTTGTCGAATTGCGCAATGAACAAACAGAAAAGCGAGAAGAAAACGAACTGCAACACGACAGACACTGTGAGCTCGCCGGCGTCTTTTTGAAAAGTGTAAAGAGAAATCCGCTGGTTTTAGGCAATCTCCATTGATAAAAAAGTGGAAGAAGAGCTGGAGGATGGCGAGATCATTGATGACGACACGAGCGACTCGAAAAGAGAGCTCGACTATAGCCAGAGAAGGCAAAAATCGTCAACAAACGGGGTTCGTAATTGCTATTTGGAGATCCCTAATTACTTTGATTCGTGCGCATTTTTATTTCGAATTCTTAGGAAACACTCAAACATCTGCCTGCAAGAACTCCGGTGAATGTCTAAATTCATACTTCTCTGACTAGAGAAAATCTCACGCGCACCTTGTTATTATGCCCCAGTTGGTTCTTGCCAACAGGGCAAGTAATCCGCCGCACTCTTTTTCATTCATTTTTCAGTCCTTACACCATCCGCGGAGCTCTCGCTCGACCACCGGCCAGACAAAAACTGGAAAATCTCTTTACTCTCGGAACGAGATGCCGTCTCGTGATGTTAATCGAAATGATAGAGGAGACCATCAGAGAAAAGGATATGAACAGATATCAAGTAAGAGAGAGAAGAACGGAAGAAATTATGCGGATGGTCGTCCATACTCGAGTAGAAACGGTAGCCATAGAAAAGATAGCTCATCAAACAACGACTCCAGAATGTCGACAGAAAGCACAAATCAGAACACTCCTATTGAGGTTTGAACTAAAAAAAAGCGGTTCCAATTATCATTCTTTTTATTTTAGACATCCTCTACTTTTCCGGGCAGTCAAGAGCAGCCACCTATCGCACAGTCGACAAAAATTCCGATTTCCGTAGGATCTCAACGAGACGATTGGCGTGACACAGCATGTGCGCTGATTTACGATGCGTTGACAGAAAAGAACAAGGTCCCGTCCAGTGCACTCACTCCTTCCAGAATTATCTTTTTGCAGAAAGTCTTTGATATTTTCATAGAACAGTTTTTGAGCGTCAAGAAACGTCTGGAAGAAGATGAATTCAAAACAAAATCTTCTTTCGAGCTCGCTATGAAAGAGGTATGAAGTACATTGAACTTTCGTGTATTTCTAATTAAACTTACAGATTGCCGAATTGGCAAAAAACGTACACTTTCGTGGATCTAAAACGTACCAAAAGGCACAATACTTGCAAATTTACTTTCGCCTTCATTGGGACTCGGTAGTCAATTGGACTTGCAGTGAGATGTATATCGCTGGCGTTCGTCGAGAACTTGTACTTTCTTGTTTTGTCTGCACGTGTAACATTTTGGTTTCAGGATAGACTGCACAGAAAATTGAGGCCGAATGAGAGTATACAATTCTTCCTTGAACCGAAACCCGTCTTGCACAATCAGTAATTGTCTCGTCAAACCTCTTCATTACCCTCTCCGGACGGCGCGAACATCGAGAAGAGAATCGACGCAATCTTCTGTCGAAAAAATTCATCAATGCAAAGAGTCTGAACACAGAATTGTCGTCCCCATAAACTATAAAGCACTTTTTCATTTTGTGTTCCGAGTGATCTTTTTTTGGAGCGAGAATGTTATCCGCATTTCTCTTCAGTCAAAAAGTACACTCTGGGAGTTTTTAGTCAGAAGATTTTATAAGGTATTCGTTCCAAAAAATGTTCGTCCTTCTTGATATTCTCTCCTTTTTCGCTTTTTACGTAGGTTAAGACATGTTATTGTTTTAGAAAAACGACGCAATAAAACTGTTTGATTCGATTTTGTTTCTAGCTGTTCAGCCCCCATTTTCCATCCCACTCTTTATGATTTTGCGATTGTTCAAACATCGCTTCTTCCCCATCCCCTCTCCATCTTCCCAATCTTCTTACAGTTCCGACATTCTCTCTCTCTCTCTCTTTTTTTCTCAATTTTTTGCGAGCGCACATGAAAGTCTCTTCAAATTCACAGAATCAAGCGAATCTGACTGGAAGCACTTCAGATGTCCCTCCGGATTACCATTTTGCAGAACTGAAAGACCACGTCGGAACCGCTGAATTGTGACGCATTCCATTGCAGAGACTAATCTCTTGGGTAATGCCAATGTTCAATGTGCCAAATTGGAGGCGCAGTGAAGCGAAGGTATCAAAACAGCTATCCCGCGGAGGTTTGTTTTAATGAATTCTTTTGTCAGCACGTGAGCAAATGCGGTTCGAGGCGAGATGAAGAACTTGAAGACGGCGAAATTGTGGAGGGCGCCTGTGACGAAAAAGTTGAGAGAGGCGAAGAAAAAGCGCAGCGCGCCTTCAGAAACAGCGAGCAACGTGTGAAAAACATACACCACTCCCATTCACTGAAAATGCTTGTCCATCAACAACAGGTAAAATGTTAAGCTTTTGAGTTAACTTTTTCCTGTGATTCTAACTTTTACACATGCAATCCAGCCTTTTCAGTGTAGACCGGAACACATGCCGAGTAAGCCGTCGAAAAGATATTTTGAAGAGACGAAGAATCACTCTGGAAAAGAGCGCAGTGACAGCAAGAGATCCCGAGAAACGCAATCGAAAAAGGTGAGAAACAGAAAGCCGGTCCAGGCTTTTCGGAAGCCTGCAGAATTTAGATCCACTTGCAATAATTTGATCAGACGCAGACGTTGCAGACTTCTTGGACTCGAATTGAAAGAAATTTAGATCCCAGTTTCGAACTGACCGGATCATTTACACAGGGGATATGCAGATGTGAGGCCAAAAATGCCGTATCCGATTGGTCTGAAACTTGGAACCAAAATAGTTCAATCCAACTGAAAAGTTTGGGTCCGATCAGATAATTAAAAGAAAGTCTAAAGTCCAGGCCTCAGCAAGCCTTTTGCGCAGCCCCGGTGAGAAGCAAAATCATGAAACTAGTAATTACGTCTTCAAAAAGTCTCAACCCGGGTCTAGCCAATTTTGAAATTTCGGGCAATTAGTACGTGTGCATAAAATGAATGATACGACATCTCTTATTTTCAGAATGTCGATTCAGCAATCAAGTCAAGAAATGAAACAAAAACATCCAGAGATACTCTGCCAAATCATTCCATTAAGGAGCACCCAAACAATCACATCAACACCAATATCTATGAAAATGCAATTGACGAAGCGCTACCAAACATGACGTATGATTGTGTTTTATATAATTACATTGAAAATTCGAACAGACATGCTGTAAACCATCCAGTAGCCGTTGACGAGCTGTATGACCCGGAATACGAGAAGTACTTCAATATCCTATTGAGAATTATGGAACCGGCATCTTCTAGAAACGTGAGTGTTATAGAAAAAACAAAAAACCTTTGACTACATTTAGAATGGCTCATTATACGGAACCCTGCTAGATAAGGCGAGAAGAGAAAAGAAGCAAAAGTGGTTGGATAGCGCGATCAGATTAATACGCGTCATGCTACATGACGTAACCTAATGAAGCATTACGTTATTCTCAAAATCGATAATTTGTTTCAGGATAATTTGGACCTATTCTCCGGACAGTTCCGAAAAATCAAAATGCGCCTTTATGAAGAAAGGTATGAGACGAAAGCATCGTTCGAACATGATATCAACGAGGTGAAAAACATTTGTTTTCCTTTTGTCCAATTCTCAATTTAGATAGTTGAAATGACTAAACAGACTAGTCAAATCGAAACGACACTATTCATCAAAGCGGAATACTTAGAAATGTTCTTTCGATTATATTGGGACAGCAGACAGAACTGGGCCTACGGGAAAACAGAACTCAAAGTAGTTCGCGCCAGTTTGGTCAGTGACAAATCTGAGATATTTTTATTCAAAACCAATTTTAGAAGACGATTCGAAATGCCATTGGTGCAAAAGAAAATGTGTAGACATATAATTACCTTGATTATCTATTTGCTTTATTTCCTGGTTTTTTTAAACTATTCTGCAATTCTTTTTCGTTCGGTTGTTTGGGAGATTCCTATCTATGCGTTTTGTTATTGTGTTAATGACATTTTCATGACAATAAATTTTTTTCAAAAAAAATGACGGTCGTGAAGTGAGCTCAGCGCGCCCAGGTTACAAAAGTCTTGTGATTATATATTTTGTGAGTTTCTGATTGTTGTACAAGTCCATGAAAATGTTGTGAATGACTAGCAAGCCTACGGTTCGCTGAGCTATGTGTGATACATGTTTAATAGATATACTATAATACCATAGTATATCTGCCTTACTTGAAATTTTTGAAAATTTTACGGTCCCGCCTCCTTTATTTTTGTGATCGTCACCTAAAGGGGCGTGGTGACGGTGAAGCACGGTTGAGGGGGTGGCCGAGGGGGGTGATTTCACTGTCACTATATAAACCGAGTACAACGTTAATTATGTCTATCTCGAAACTTTTTTCGCTTGAGTGCCTCTCTCTTTCTCTCTCCCTCTCTCCGAGCTATGCAAGAAGCCGAACTCTCTCTCTTCCTCTCTTCGACATTATTGCTATGCAAGAAGTCGGGCTCTCTCTCTCTTCCTTTCTCCGACATTATTGCTATGCAAGAAGTCGGGCTCTCTCTCTCTTCCTTTCTCCGACATTATTGCAATGCAAGAAGTCGGGCTCTCTCTCTCTTCCTTTCTCCGACATTATTGCTATGCAAGAAGTCGGGCTCTCTTTCTCTTCCTTTCTCTGACATTATTGCTATGCAAGAAGTCGGGCTCTCTCTCTCTTCCTTTCTCCGACATTATTGCTATGCAAGAAGTCGGGCTCTCTCTCTCTTCCTTTCTCCGACATTATTGCTATGCAAGAAGTCGGGCTCTCTCTCTTCCTTTCTCCGACATTATTGCTATGCAAAAAGTCGGGCTCTCTCTCTCTTCCTTTCTCTGACATTATTGCTATGCAAGAAGTCGGGCTCTCTCTCTTCCTTTCTCCGACATTATTGCTATGCAAGAAGTCGGGCTCTCTCCCTTCTTTTCTCCGACATTATTGCTATGCAAGAAGTCGGGCTCTCTCCCTTCTTTTCTCCGACATTATTGCTATGCAAGAAGTCGAACTCTTAACCATCTCTCTCTTCCTTTCTCCGACGTGATTTGAATGTAAGGAATTTTTGTGGTCTTTGATATTTCGGAGCTGGTGCAGATGGAGCATGAAGAGGATACAAAGATGTGGTGGCATGCCGAGTATCTCAGTTTGCACTTCCGCATTCACTGGGACGCCGTGCAGAAACATACGTGCACGAGCGCACAAGCGAACGACGAAATGGCTTTGATGATGTGAAAATTGGAAGCTCGTGTATCAATTCAGAACATTTCATTTAGATTGTATTTACTTCATATACTTTCAGAGTCGCTTTGGTCGCAAGCTGCAACCCGAAGAACCTGCGATTCGGCCGTGGTCTGATGGGATAACGTAACGAAGTCATCCGAACAGATGTCACCTTCCACGATGATACATCCATACTTCAAACCGCTTTTTTCTCAACCTCCACCCCTTCATTTCCTTTTCAATTTCCTTATCACTCCCTCCTCTTCCGTTCCATTTCGCAACACCCTAAATAAACTCCCTGCTCTGAACGTATGTGTGCCAAATTCCTCAGTTTTACGAAGTAATAAATAGCGAAAAACAAGAGAGAAAAATGGCACATAGAAGAACAATGCGAAGATGTAATTAGCTCCGATAAGTGCATTGAAAACTGCCTGTAGTTATTCTTTCAGTCCAATCAGAATTCCGCTCGATTCCAGATTAGATAGTAGAAGTGAAGGCTGTTATTTTCACTCATTCTCAAGACATTCTCCGGGTGTTTCAGACTGCAAGTTTTCAGAAATGTCCCGCTCAATGTTCCCGTTCAACGACTCGTTTCGAGTGACGTTCACAGGATATCTTCTGCCATGGCAAGACCCGTCCGGTGCGATAGTTCCAGCGGATGTTCCCGATCCACGTAATATCCATCACTTTTGGGTCCTTTTCTATGAAATCTGTTATAGGTTTCGAAAAGTTGGATCTGCAAGACGCTCCGAAGATTCCGTCGTGGAGAGAGAAAAGTGAGTCTGAACAGAGATTAAAATTAAAATACGAAATCATCATGCACTTATTCTGGAAAAAGTCTTTGGGGATGTGTTGATTGTCAAGGTCACGTGCACTTTTCATGTTTTCCAACCAAAATTTCATTAGAATGACTAAGATTTTACAGAAAAAGTGGCAAACGTCTCTTGTCCTAGCGTGTGTTTATCACAGAATGTGTCGAGCACGACTGAACCCAATCACAAAAGAGAGTGTGTTCCAGGGGACAGAAAATCACAGGACAATGATAAAGAAAACGATAATACTGAGGAGGTGAGGTGTGTTACAGCTTATCAATGCATACAAAAAAAATTGCGTTTAGAACGATACAAATGAGAAAGACGATGCCCAGTCATCCGTGATTCCGAAAGCTAAAGCAGAAGAGGTCCAAACCAAATGAAATGGAACGTTGATGAAATTCCCAATATTTGTGATTAACATAATGAAGAGTTTGGTGAATGAAAGTGGAAAGACAGTTGTCTAATGGGGGAATTCAATCTCTTGGTTCACGAGTGTTTTTCACTTCCAAGTTATTGAAATCAGCGAAGAGGTGTTTGATGTATTGACGTCGAGAAACGTGACGAAAGTTTCCTTGCTGATCGGAATTGTAGCGGACTCGGAAGCAGATCCCCTCAGTTTGCCAATTAGTATCTCGGGGGTATACTCCTTGTGGCAGATGTCTCCATATTCCAATCTCGGATCTCTGGATTCGCTCGAAGCACACCGGAGTCAAGTCTTCCGGATTATAATTCGATTCGCGCACGGTACGGAACAGTTCTTTAACACGTACTTGGAGCAGTTCATGATTCTCGGTCCAGTCTGAAAAGAAAGAATACATTTCTGTAAATTGCTCTGTGGTTTACCGTAAATAGTATACGAGCACGTTTGAAAGTGCAAGTTGGCCTGCAGAATCAAGAACTCAGGGAGCCAGCGTTTGACGCGGTTCCAGCTCTGGTAGCCAAAGTGTGCGCACAAGTAGGTGTGATCACCAAGTTGAATTTTGGTCATTGTTCTGAACACGTAGATGTTCAGACTGCTGTTTTCCGCAACACTGAAGTCGCAATTCTCGAGGAGGATTTGAGCAATGTCCACAGAGCAATTCAGGAAGCAATCGGTAAAAGCGAATGGATTTTCTAAAAACGATAATTTATAGAGTGACTCGTAGAACTATGAACTCACTGTTGCAGAGAAATTTGGAAAACAGTTCCGCACGGTTGTTTTTGAAGAGACGGGTGAAGTACGGATGGAATTCGTCGTCTATCACAATCTTGTGGAACAACCCTTCCGTTTTTGGTGTGTTCACATCCTTTCCAACAAAATAGACAGCGCGATATGGTGAGACGTCATCTTTGGAATCCTTCAGGACGTAGTGAACAAGCTGTACCCATAAATCAGTCTGTTCGGCCGGACTAGTTCCCACCTGGAGTGAAAAAAAAGGAAAAAATAGAATACCATCCAGAAAAGATTCTTAGACTCACATATTGTGGTTTTGGTTGGACAATCAGTTCCATGCTCTCCTCGGAAGTCATACTGGGATAGGTAACACCAGCTAAATAAAAGATAAGTCAAAAGTGGAGTAGGAAAGAGAAAGAGAGAGGTTAGAATGGAGGACCGTTGTCATGGACACGATTTCAAATTTCTGCTTTCTCGTATATGATTACACACGCTCCACGTGCCTAGCAGCTGAGGGGAAAAGGGAAGAGTGGAAAACAAAATTGGAGGTTTTGGAAATCATGACTCATCGGAATCTCTGAGCTGTCAAAACACTGACTGATAAACACGAGGAAATCAGTTGCCTAATGAGCTCAATTTTTACTAGTTTCTCGTGAACTGGCGGTGGTAAACAAACGCTTTTTACTGAACTATGAACTCAGAATTCATCCTTGCAGATCGCATTTTAGCCAAAATCCTTTCAGAAACCCCCGTTTTTCCACATTTCTTTTACTGAAATTTTTCAGTTTCCCAAAAAAGTTTTTTTATTTTTTTTGTTACGAGAAAGTGGGAATATTTGTTCCAAACATTTATATTTTGTGACTTTCCGATAGAATACCACATCACCAGATTTGTTTACAACACATGTGTTGGTGAATCATTGTGAGTTCTGGAAGATTTCAGATGAAAATACGTGGAAAAACGGGCATTTGAGTGAAATTTCAGCAAAACAAAGGGAAATCGGCAAATAATCGGTTATTCGTTTGTTTTCTGCCGGGAATGAGCAGTAGCACACGCTAAAAAGCACTTTCAAATAAACACATGCTCGAGAAAACGTGGTATTAGATATTGATCACATGACAAAACATAATATCGCTTTTCTTTCAGAATTATCGTGATATTGTTAAATCTTTATTAAACCATTCAAAAACAATGTTAGCATGCGGATTTAGGAAAAAAAATGTCGTGCTGAAGCAATTCTGGAAAAAAATCACATGCAAATAAACAAAATCCCCGAAAAGTTACGAGAAATTGCAGCAACAGATTATGGATTAGTTGAATTATATGCACTGGACGAACAATCAGCGGATGGTAAGGAACGGTTTCTCATAGGTGCACGAAGTGTATCCTCTGTCCGTATTCTCATTTGCTTCGAGTTCCTGTTCCAGCTCATGCAGCTGATTTCTCTGGGCTACCACAAGATCTATCTGATCATTGGATCTCGGCTCGAACACGAATCCTGGCTCGAAACCGAAATGAGACGCCACTTGAGTGATGCCACAGGTGCACGCATTTCCATAGTCGTATGCTGGAAAGCTAATTTAGAAGGACGATGTCTTCTCTGAAAACTAACTGTGAATTATTGCATTGAACGTGATAATTCGGGCGTGGCGCACGAGTTGCATTACAGTTCTCAGATCATCCAGTACTTCGACTCCCTTGTAGACCTGTCTTCCGTTTCGTGCCGTGAACACTCTGATTTTCCCCTTGTAAATCAGCAGTTTTCCGTAGTAGAACTCGTAAGTTCTGTGAGTCACGTGGAGAAAGAGACCATTGTTTCCCATGATGCTCCAGGTGACGCATCCGGTCGCAATTCGCAGGAACCTGATCGACGAGCTTAAGAAACAGTCCGCCAGGGTTTCAGGAGTTTCTGTAAACGCTAGTGGGCACATCCACAGGGAACATTTAGAATTAACCTGTTTTCCAAAACTCGATGAGTTTGTCTCGGTTCTGACGAGCCGCTTTCTCCATACACGGCATCAGTGCTTTCTGATACAAGTCGACAACGCCTTTCGATCCCTCGTGATAGTTGTTGACACACTTCTGAGCCGGTAACGAAATATTCAGCCCAGCTCGAGGAGAAAGCAGAAGATGAACGAGTCTGACCCACACGTGCTTCTCTGTCGGAGGCGGAGCGTTCTGTAAGTAGAAACTGAAAACTTCGTAATTATTTATTAGATAACGCACATCCATTGTTCGTTCGTTGTCTTCGAGAGAATAGGATGGTTGCCGCCGGCTGTGATGCCAACAAAAAGGACGATTGCGGGCGGGGTGCTGTTCCCTCGATGTGCACTCGCCGCCTTTCCTTTTATTCACACTCTCTCCGCTCACGCCGACTTGCTGCGTCTCTCATCCGCGGAGTCTGAAAGCCACGTGCAGCTATCGATTGCAGAAATTTATGCGGGCGACCTCGGGACATTGACTCTCTCTCTCCGTTTGTTGTTTGTTAGTCACTTGACTGTTTCAGACGGCATAGGATGATGTCGGCAGTTTGCGGATAGGAAAAACTTGCCACACACCATAGAAAGCGATAAATCAGCATTTCTGTACTTATCTTATTTTGAAAACACTTATAGAAAATTTACACGGACAGGAAAAAGGAAGAAAACGGAGATTTGAGGAAAGAACTGAAAAAAACCGAAATATGGACACACACACACACAGAAAACAAATCAGAAATCCCATTTCATGTTATTTAGGTGGATGGTTCGTTACTATTGCTATTGCCATTCATCGCCATGATTCTCTCAGTGATGATTCGTCTGAAGTACTTTCCTTGCATTGATGTGAAGCAGAAAGGGCAGCGTCTCGACCATCTGTACTGTTTGGCCCGAACATCGTTGTGTCTCGAAGATTGAAAGAACCAGTGCGTTTCTTCTGTTTCAGGAAAGATGTCCCCGAAATCAGAAGTCATGCGCTTAAAGAACGGAGGCGGGGTAAAGTTTTCCGTGGTGCACAGTGACTGGAAATTTTGTTTGATTTGAATATCATCTGGAATACACAAAATGATAAAACCAATGTGCACGAGGCGAACTACCAAAGCAGCGGAAGTACAAATTGACGACGTTGACGTTGACTAGCAAACTGATGAAAGGGGCCAGGACCTCCTGAACTTTTGGCAAGTTGTCGACTCCTTCATGGATACGCAACAACGTCGCTCCATCGCCAAACTGCACTTCGGACGTCTTGTCTCTGATGAAGATGTAGAAGCAGCGTTTGCGGACCAATTCCCAGTTGAGGCAGCTCATCAGAGCGAGCATTATGTTTGGACATGTGTTGAGAACAGTGTCTACAAGTGTATCCGGCGACTCTGTAAGAACATTTTTGAAAAGATGCCTTGTCGCACAACTATCGCTCTCTCACTTGTTATCAGAAAATTCGAGAGTTCCTCCAATTTCTCTTGGGGGATCGTATCGAAGAATTTGGAGAAGGAATTCAGCAGCAGACTGTTTCTTTTCTCCTCATAGTACTGAATAGGAGTACACAGAGAGTCGATCACATTCTTATTTTTGAATTGTGGCGGAAACACAAGTTCGAGCAACTCCCTCCACGAGCTTGTTTTCTGAAATTAGTGTTTAACAGAGCTCGGCAAATGACGGTCACGGGCTTTTCGAAAGCCTGCGAGGGCATTTACTTGTGACCCACATGCAATATTTCCATCGGACCCAAACTTTGCAGGCTCCAAAAGCCTGCAAAGTTTGGGTACGATTTCGAATGGTACAAAAGACCAGGCCTAGGTAGACCCTAAAAACGTTCCGTTTGTCCCTGGTTCTGTAGTAAACTAATCGAAGTTGTCTTACCTCCGAAGTAGTCAAAACCATGGATTCCATCTCACGTTGTTGTCGGCTGAATGCGGCTGGCTCGATCCGTTCCAATTCCCAAGGCGAGCACAAAGCGGATGCCGTTGTCCTATTAATAAATCTTTACAATTTGTCCACTAGAGCAGCAAATATGGAACGGAGACGATATTTTTACAGAAAAATTATGAAAAGGGGAAAAAAGGCGTTTTCCGTCGGAAAATGATGAACGTTCAGATTTCTCGAAAGCTCGGCCACGACTGCAAAAACTCGGCCATAGAAGCTTTGAATTGGCTAATTTTGGCTAAAAATGAGCGAATTTGTGTCAACTTATGATTGTTGATAGTCCCAATTTTGAGACCAGATAATTACTAACAAAAACCACTCTGATAGGCGGGAGAGTTCACATCGAACACGCTACGAGCTTAAGAAATTGTGAAAATCTGAAAAATCCGCCTCGAAACAAGAGTTCCTTTTTCTCCTTTGTTTTTGGGGAATTCTAAGCGTAGGTGCTGCTCAACAGAAATCGAATAAATTCACTTTTTATAGATAAAAAATCAGAAAAACTGCTGTTTTAACTCTTCCGGAGAGCAACGTGGAGCTAATGTTCGTAAACACCACAACGAAAACTTGCGGACGGCGCGCCAAACCTCACGCGCATTTGTTTTTTTCAGAGAAGAAGTAAACACCGAGGATTTCATCTTCCCGGGCTGGAAAACTAGCTGATCACACAAAAGTTTGTCTTGAAAAAACTTCAGGTCCGTTGATCCTTTAGCTTTGGAGATGATACACTGTAGTTTGAATGAAATCACATCTAATAATCAGTGATTGATAGAACTTGCATCATACTTGAAACAGACGTTTTTGACGGTGAACATTGATTCTTTATCGGCCAAAGAGTAACCCAGATGCTAGAATCGCATGCAAAAGTGTTATCTCTCAACAAACACGCACAAGAACGGTGAATAGTGAGATCAGGCGCGTTTTCATGTGATAGGGAACAAAGAACACATTGACAGTGGGTAAAGGTCGAATGAATACGAATAAATATGGAGGAGAATCGGAATAAAGCTCAGCATTGAACGAAGAAATCATTTCTCGTGACGTCGTCAACGTCTCGAATCGAATCAGATGGAACGCGGCGGAAAATGAGGAAAACGGCCGCTCTTCCCAGTCGTTTTGCATTTCCGCTGACGCATAAGGTCCCTCCCATTCCCTGATAGCTGGACGAGGTCGTCGCCGGCTGGTAGACGTGGTTTCCGCGCGACGTGTAATCCGTGTTACGCAAAAGCTCAAAAAGCTCGTCCCTGCTATTCTTCATCGTTTCGAAACCGTCCGGTGGTCCTGGAACACATAGAGTTAAAGGGGAACATTTCAGCAGAATGATACCTTCTAACCGCACTTCGATCTGTCTGATACTGTCCTTGCATAGACGACGCATAACATAAGGGAGCCAGTATGGAATGGCAAAGTTTTTGTTATCGATGTCGATGACAATTTCTCTGTCTACTGTTAGACGGAATCCCGTGCTTTTCAGGAGAATCTTTGCCTCCCTGTCCGAAATGTTCGGAGACCATGGGCAGTTATCGAGCAGGCACAGCATGAACTCCGCTGATTTGTTGAAGAAGGTGTTGACAAAGTAGTCGATGGGTTCTGGAAAACGACAATCTTTGGGATACGGACTGGAACACTCACTATCTTTCAGATAATCCTGCCAGTGTTTGCTTCGATCGGATAGGACAGAATTGGTGAGAACGCCACGGATAGCTTTGATTAGGAGCGTTTCTTCTAAAGCATTGCCTCCCTCGATGAATATTTTGCTTGCATTGGCGACGTCCAGCAGAACCGACGACTTTTTAATAGATTCCGGGCAGTTGGAGAGGATGAGCTCGATGCAAGTGAGATGTTCCTGACGCATTGCACTGAAAATTAGTAGCTGAATTTGAGAAAAGAATGAAGTCATCAAAAGAGAATCGACTAAACGGGGAAGGAATAGGGTCAGAAAGATAAGAAAGCGGTGCGTTTTTATCTGCCGAGACACCCTCTCGACGCAGTACTCTCCTTTCTTTTAAACCGTCAGCCGAGAACCACAAAAACGGAAAAAACACATTTGAAAGGGAAAGTAACGAATATCACGATGACAGGAGTATGATACGGTGTAGACAGAGAAAAGACTGAAAAATGGGATGAGATGGGATTATACGGGTTTCGTTTCTCAGACAAAACTGCTAAACAGACAAAAAAAGGGGAAGAGAGAAAGAGAGATGATGATGATGTTGCGGGTATGGACGGCTGGTCAGAATAAGAACCTCTTCATACATAGCGAGCGATACAATCAGCATCCAGTTTAATAGCGGCGAACACGTGATAGCGCAAGAAGTAGGAGAGGCACAGCAAAGTTCAAGATTTGATCAACCGATGGGCAGTACTGTTTGTGGACACTTATTTACGATGGCGTCGTTGCGTAAAAATTCGAATAAGAATTCGATTCGTATAGTAGGCACGGGCAATTTGATAGTTTTTTTGATAATCATGTCTTGTTTTCAATTGAAATGGAAAGAGAAAAATAGTAAAACATCGCAAAGGAACAAGACATGCGGTTTTCTGAAACGAACGCTGTGTTTTTCGCGCGGATACGAAAAACCAATATAATGATTTTCTCCCCCTCACCCCTCCACCCAGGGTGCGTCGTAACCCCCTGCGCTGTCCGTCAAATGCGGTGCCTAGGCCGCAACGGTGCTTGCGTACATGCGTTCGCTCTGTGACGAATATCTGCGGTGTCGGATTCCAGTTATCTTAATCCTAAAAAGTTGCGCTTTTCTTCATTTTTCCATATTTCAGGGCAAAACACATGTGATTCCAACAATGGAATTTCACGTCCGTATCAGTAAGAACTATTTGCGGCTGTTTCATGCCCGACAATGGGATAAAGTGACGGACGATGACTCATTGGTCAGTTTTTATCGACTATTTTGACCACATAACGAAATATAAATCTGAAAACCTCGACTTTTGCAGAAAGCGCTATTAAATGGATGCTTCAAAAATGTACACTACAGTCTGCAGCGCAACTTTTCATCCACCACCGAGTCGCTTTTAGACATAATTCTGTCGCAATACAACGTAGGAAAAATGCACAAAGAACGGAGAATTTCGTAATCTCGTTGATTCAGGCTCTCACTGACAACTCGAAGTTGGACTTCATTCGCTGTTTTCCATATTTTCCGTCCATTAATCATGAATATGTACGCTTCATGCAGGACTGGGCAAAAGACCGGCCCAGGCTTTTCGAAGGCCTGTCGAGACCTGGACTTTTCACTCACATAGGGGCCAAGTTTCAGATCGATCGGATTATCTACCCTGGAGATATACTCTAGGGAGTTTTAGGCCGAAAGAGCCGGGTTTTTGAAAACAATGCGGTCTTTCGGCCTCCCATTCACATATCTCCGGGACAGATAATTGGATAGGTCTGATACGTGGGCCGAGAATCCTTCAAAATTTGGAGTCGATCGGAATATTGCAGAGTCTTGGCCAGCCTTTTGTCCAGCTCTGGTTTCATTACCATTCTTGTGCAACTTGAATATTTCTATTTTCCAGATTCATTCAGCCAATTCGACTCTCGCCAATGCTTTGTTCCAAGACATCAGGACTCTGACAAACCGTCTGATTCCAGCGTACCGAACACATCTTCTGAACGGATCTACTGAAGAGTACGGTATCAGACGCAAAATTGAGCACATCAAAATAATCAGTGAGTTGAACGCCGAATGTTTAAATTGAGCAACATTGATGATTCAGCTTCAACAGCACCAATCATGAAAAAAATGCCGAAAAACTTCGTCCACGCTATCCAGATCGTTGACGGGGATCTCCAACGCCTGTTGGAACAAGTCGCGTTTAGAAAAAATTGCAGTCCGCTACTAGAAAGACGTTAGAAATGAAAATGATACAAATTATAGCGTGCACATTACAGAGATTTACACTGGCTCGGGTAAAATGAGGGAAAGGAAGAAACCAGGAGTTTATAACTTTGCGCAGTTCGAACGAGTGAAAAATAACCTAGCAGCGCAACGACGCGAAGAGGAAAGCAAACGAAGGGACGAAATTGGTGTGCAACAAGCAAATATCATCAACATGAAACTCATTAACACATCTGAGAACAGAAAACACGCTTCAACAGTTCAATCTTATCAAGAAAAGGTGAGTTGTTTCCAGATTTTGACAAAGCATAACGTTCTTAATTCAAGATGAACTTTCTTCTGCAACGGATCGTACCAGCCAACAACAATGCAGTCCATCCTAGAAAGATTTATCTATTAAAATATCAGGACAGTATGAAGATGGCCGCGCCTTCGTGTGTACTCAGACTCGAACCAGTTCCAATCCGCGAAGTTCCATTCGAAGAAAGAATAATGAAAGTTGCACCACAAGCAGATCTGTTCACCGACAGTCGTCAAACTCAAGAACCGAGAAGAAACGGACGCTACACCGATGTCCATCACTTTGTCGAATCCGAACAAACTGTGAACTTCAATCCGAATCCGAATCCCGATCCGACTCTCAGTGACTTTTTCTTGGACGAATGGAACCATTACGATCCATTCCGACACGTCACGAACTTCGAAGAAGTCTACGATGAACAACAATCATTTGTTGGAGATGGAAGCCAAACTGAGGATGCTGTATTCGATGGCGGCAATTTCGCATGTTTTGAATCACTTGATGAGTCGCAGATCTGGCAGGAAAACGGTAGTGGCTCGGAGCCAGACCCCTACCCAACCGGAATGGCCGATGAAGACAATGAGATGAAGTGGATGGTATCCGAACCAACCGATCTTCATGGGCTTAGTCCACTGTTAGCCGATTCGGCAATGAATGTCGTTCGTTTCGAACAGTTTCCTGATAATGACCAGATGATTGTCGAAGAACCTGTTGTAGTTGAAATTAACGAGATAGAAATGAATCCGGATTTTTTGGAGCAGTTTGGAATAACAAAGGTGAAGCATTCTCGAATCTAGCAGAACACTAATTTCAGTCATTTCAGAATGATGTGTTTATTGCTGCTGGGCTTGAGCCAGACATCTTTAGTTTTGCAATGGAAGAACAACAAATTTACCTATTGACGGCTTTTCTTCTCGGAAAAGATAGTGAGTTTGAACAACATCGATGGAGCAGTTTTATTGAAATAATCTGTTTCAGCGTCGGACCTTTTGCTTGAAAGCTCCAGTATTGATATAATTCTGGACCAATATACTACGCATAGAGTCGTCAACCGTATCGCTACTGAGACACATTACGAGTTGTTTGTGAGGGTACTAGTTGATTATCTCTGAAAAATATTAGACATCTCATTTTTTACAGCTCAGCCTCGAACCGTGCAGTCTGATCAGAGCGTACAGAGTAACTAACAACAGAAATTATGAACATATCCAACCAGTGACAATTGTTGATCAGAACGCCTTCCTCGAATATATTCAGAAGTTCGATGCATCCAAGCTGAACAAAGGTCGACGTTAACTGTGCCAATCCGGTTATTCTTCGCAAGGTTTCATTCCCGATCACTCACTACCACGTACTTTTTCCATGTTTATTTGTCTTCTGTCGAGTTGAAAAAACAGAAAATGATACAAGAGAAATTTTGAAAGGACCCTCGTTTTACACTAGGGCCGTTTTTCCCATATTCTGTAAACTTCTGCTGTAATCTTCCTGCTTCCTTCCCTGTATCAAATACATATAATCGCTGTTTTCGTCCACATGTCCTGTATAATATCTTCAGCTTTTTGTATACACATTGCACCAGTTTTTCCCCATTTTTTTGTTGAAAAACCCACGTCATCTGTACATTTCTGCTGGAATCTTGCTGTCTCCTTCCCTCGTCAATCTTGTTTGTTCAACATTTTCTACCTGTGAAGAGTCACTCAGGGCATATATACTAAAAATTGTTGATTTTTTCTCTTAACTCCCCGGATAATGTTTCGTTCCATGTACTCCTGTGCAATCTCCCAGCTATTAACAAATCGCATTCCAGTATTTCCGTGTTTTCATCCGATTCTTCTGTGAATTTCTTTATTTGTTCATCTCACTCTCACTCACAAGCAGAACCATGACTGCTTACTAAGCAATAAGAATCCGACCTCACCCGAAAAATTGCAAATTTCAAACAGTATTTCCCCAATGCATGTTTATTGGATTAACAGTCAGTCGTTCACATTATTGCACAAATAATAAATTATAATCGGAACATATCGTATCATATTAAGAAAACCCCTCCTATCAAGTGCAACATTGCATACAAGTACGGAAAACGGTTCTGAATGGAAGGTGTTTGTGTGAAAAGGGAGTAGGCATAACCGAGTGGAAGAGGACTAACCAGTCAGAGAACTATGTGGGAAGGGAAGAAGGAGGAAAGCAAGAAACTGAACATGGAATAGTTGCGAAAGAATAGGAGCACAACCAAAAAAGACATCAAGCGGACATTATCTTTTCAAATTCCCAAGCAAACTAAGGAACCCAACTTTTGAAGTCGTAGAAAGAAAATACATGGAAAAGTCACAAGAACGGGCGGAAACGGAAGAGAAATGCTGTAAAATCACATTATTACCAGTACAACAAACTTTACAGAGCTGAACAAGTGATTGATTAGACATAGGTTTAGGTATTATGTGAAATTGGCTGGAATGATCTACGCGCTCTCGACTGGCTTGGCCTCTTCGGAAGAACTGACGGCCTCATCGGTCACCGGAGCTTCACTGTCCGTCGTCGGAGCTGAGGACTCTTCAATCTTGCCGTTGGACACCTCATGGGGCACTGGGGGAGTCTCGTTTTTTGTGGTTGTCGGGGTCGAAACACTGTTCTTCTTCGACTTGAACAAAACATCGGTTTCTTGCATTTCTCCTGTAGAAATGAACAAATTTTAAGTTGTCAGAACTTTCAAACGTTTACCTGTCTTGAGATTGAATGCTCTTCCACGAATCGTTTGTGATTCTGGCGTCAACGGAGACCACCAGTTGACTAAAGATCCCATAATCGGCAGTTGTCTCATCATTCCCTCATTCTGAAGTCTGATATCGTTCTCCTTGCGCAATGATTCATTTGCCGCCTCGATTCCTTGTCTGATGAGGTCCGCAAGACTGTCCAGGTACTGTTGGCTGTTCTCAATCTCCTTTCCCTTCTGAGCCACCATTTCCACCAGATTATGCAGATCTTTCACATCGGAAAGCATGCCGAATTTAACACAAGAGACGCCGTAACGAGTGCACTCTCCGGAAGAGAAAGCCGCATCGACGCTTTTCAACTGGTGCACGAGCTCCAAGTTGAGATGAGAGATTTGTTGCTTTTGGATGACGTTCCAGTCTTCTGGATTTGTCTCTTTCACAATCGACGGAATGTAGCTGAAATAAAATTCATGTGACGCGCTTTCAATAGGATTCCCTACCAAACAGCGCCGATTCCAGCCCAGTTGCGGATTGGAAGGAGGGCAAGCGAAGGGAAGTCATCTTTGAGCTCCGAGAACTTGAGCTTTGCGGCCACAGTCGACTCGACAATTCTCATGATGTCAGTCAGTTTACGGACAAATCGCTGGACGTGATCAATGTGAGAAGAAAAAGCTGGAAGAGATTCGGGATGACGTGGCAGATGCGTTTCCGATGACATACTGGCAGCGTGCTCCAATGGACAGAAGCGGAAGGCGATGCCATAGTTTCCGCCCAATTCAATGGTGTCAATTCCGAGAGGAAGAGATTCCGGAAGAAGACCGTCGCGGAGCTGAAACAATTTATCGGTTCTGGGTTCGAAAGTGTTCCAGACATACCCAAGCATTCAAGTAGTCTCCGTACTCCAATTCATCTTGAAGTGTCTTCTCAGCAATCGAGATAGCGTCGTGGTCCTCATTCTTTTCGATCAACTGCTTGTGATGCTAAACTTCTTCTTTTTTAACGGTTCTACGTGTAACCACTCACTTGAATAGCATTCTTAATGCTAACGTAGTTGTACTTGAAAATGAGCACAGTTGGAGCAGTGAACTTGCTCTTGTAGACACGATTGGCAAAGTCAACTGGGTTGTCAACTCCGACAATTTCCACTTCCGGTATAGCCGAAAGTCCCTTGAGCATCACTTTGCTCTGCAAAAAGTTGAGAAATTGACATTACAATCTCATGTCTGTTACCAAAAGGAATGCGTTCTCAATCATATCGACAATCTTCTTGCCGGACAGGTACGACGTGGCGACCCACCACGGAAGACTCTCCAGCTTCTCGCGGTACGAAGCCTTGTAACCTTCAACTGACTTGTGCAGAGTCTGAAAAAACCTCCAATTTCCTATTTTTCGTGTCTATCGCTGCTCACCACAACCGGAGCAGATGGGATTCCGAGCCAGAGAGCGATTGGGAAGGTCATACTGTCGACTTGGGAGAGGACATGAACCAGAATGTTGTTTGGTTCGCGGAACGTCATAGCGGCAATAGCCTGTCCCGTGATGTGAAGCCAGAACTTGGCCTTGTTCTCACGAATCTCCAAAATCTTGGAAATCATGTCGTTTTGTCCCAAGATGGTCGTTCCGACGACACCAACAAGAATAAGTGGCTTTTTGCCGGCGGCCAAGTCTTCATCGAGAAGAGTCTCGAATTTCTGATAGTCCTGCAATAGCATCATTGTAAACCCCCCATTTCCGCAAAAAAAAGTCCCCTCACAATTCGTCCTTCAATCTCGCTCAAATCGGATTCAATCTTCGGCAAAATGGTGACGTCAGCGATTCCAAACTCAGAAGCCAAGAACGAGGAGATGTCCATGTGGAGAGCTGGGGAGACATAGACCACTGGAGCCCCCTGGAAAACTTATTCAAATTTTTGAAAGTTCGCCGCACGTTTGGTGATCAACCTGCTCGACAAAAGCTCTCCATCCCTTGGTGGCGTAGTCAGTACCATAGGAAGACCTCAGAGCCAGTTTGACAGCATGTCCAATTCCGTTTCTAATTGACAATGAGATAGTCGCTTCCGGGTCGGAGCAATAGATTTGAGAGTCCGGGAATCTGCAATTACACATCAGTTAGTGGCCTTCCAGACGAAGAGCAACAAACCTGAACAAGTTGCTGAAGACATGGTTTACGTTTCCATAGAGCCACGAGGCGATGCTTTGTCTGTGGTGGCTGCTGAGCAAGTCGATGTACGACTTGAGAGATGCCGAAGTGACCAAAGTTCTGCCCAACTCCGACAACTTCTGTCCTTCTCTCGATCTTAATTAGAATTTAAATTTACTAGACAACACAATGCATTTCGAATTGGTTACCTAGTCTTGGCAAGTTGCACATGCTGCTTGAGCCCCACCGCCGGAGCAGTTTCGTTTCCAAGCCAGTCATCGGAAATGATCATGTGCTCCAGCTGTTCGAGCACCGGCGGAAGCGAAACCCCAGATGATTGCGACATTCTCGAAGACTTGCGAGAGATCGGCTTGGTCGACTGAAAAATACCGCGCTTTGTGTAATCAGGTGCTTTGGGGTGTGCGCCAACAAAGATTTCCGAATTTTAAAGTGCAAACTAACCACAGACTTTCTGGATCCATCGTCCAATCCGCTATCCTCGGACTTTGTCGAGGAGCTGTTGGACGCCGGGCTGTGCTGTTGCGACGAGCTCTCTATTTTGCTGTAAATTCGAAATTTTCAAAGTTTCAAAGTTGGGTGCGAATGTCAGTGTGGCCTGTTAGTGGGAAACATGTTGAACAAAGAAGTGACGGTGTTCCCCGGGGACTGCAGCCTATCCCTCTAGAAATTGACACAAACACACGCACACGAAACCCGATTCATATAAATGCCACTCGACAACACATGTACGCAATTTCAGAAATTGGATAGACGGGGGTAAGAAGAAGAAGAAGAAGTAGGAGAAGGCGACGACGACAAAAACCAGTTGATTTCATTAATGGAACAACCGAGAGACGATTTACTTCACAACATTCAAGAAAATGTTACGTGGAGTTCAACGGCGGATGACTGTTGAACCGGTGTGAAGAGCACGGGAGCATGAAAGATGGGTTTTCTGAGAAAGTGCTCTGTCTCATCGCCTCATTACTTATCCTAAAACCCTTGTTTGTTTGAGTGAAGACGACGGCTAAGAGTTGAAGAGGAATGCGCGGATTTGAGCAATGTTCTTCTAAAATTCTCGAAAAAAAAGTGTACATCGAAGGAAATCTGATTTTGAAATAAGAAAAAAGAGAGATAGAGAAAAGAAGGGAGAATACGTTTTTAGATTCACAGCGAACAAAACACTCTCGAACTTTTTGTTCCGTCTGGAACATGAATATTTCCTGCTAACCACCCACAAGCGTCTGTTTTGAATATGGAAGGAAAAATGAGAGTGAAAGGGAGTTCGATTATTATAAACAAAACTTTTGAATGCTTTTTTTTCAAGCTTTCTGAGAACTTTATCTAGTTCTAGTTCTTTTTTTGTGTCGAAAGTAGAACCGAGTGAATTCAGCTATATTCAGGCGGAAGTTTTGTAAAAAAAAAGTACAAATCTGTCTGGTCTCCCCCTATCCGTTTCCCATTTCCGTTTGTCAATTGGCAGTAAAAGAGGGAGAGATTCGAGGTTTCAAAAGAAGTGAATTAAACGGAAAGCAGTGCATTTTGAGCTGTCTTCAAAATTTGGGTTTAGCACCACACCCAAGCCTTACATGACAAACAAAGTGTCAGAATTGCTGTCATTTCGGCTTGGCAACTTGTGCTTTCTGCCGGCAATGGCTACCCGGATCACATTCGGAAAAGAAAAAGGGGAAGGGACGGCTCAAGAAACAACTCGGATTGACATAAATTGCCTAGCGGCGACAAAAGACGGGCCGCCGAGAAGTGCCATCCGAACACCCACATTTGTGAGGGGTTTGCAGCAGTACCAAATCAAATAATGGACAATGCGAAGGGCGAGAGGGGCTTGCTTGCCCTGTGTGAAACGGCTCAATGTGTGCTTTATTTCATTGCTTCGTTTCGAGAATGAATGGAATGACACGACGCCGCGGGGCGCACAAAAAATTTTAATGGCCCGCGCTTGAGCGACCCTTTTGGTCAAATATGAATATTTCGCACGCGCCACCATTTTCACAAGTATCAAATTACCGTGCTTGCGGAGCCGAAGGCCTTTTGGCATTATTCCGGACAAAGAACACGTATATTTGAGCAAAACAGTATTTTTTTCAGAAGCTACTAAAATTTTGTATGTTTCTGTTTCTCACACTATCAGTAGTGAGTGGCGAGCGTGCTGCCTGATACAGTATCAAATGTTGTTCCTGTTCTATTTCTATACAGTTCAACACTCAGAGACCCAGACCGCTTTTGTTGCCACGTCATTCCGCTCTCTCACGAGTTGTGTTTCAGTCTTTTATTATTCTTCGCCAAAAAGCGAATAAACATGATTCATGTATGTGACGGGCTGGGCTGTTCAACCTTTTCCGCCTTTTTTCGGTGTAAGAACACATATTCGGGATGTTGAGACGGATTCGAACGGTCACAGAAAACGGGTCTTTCAACGGCAAGATAGCATCTGACACCGTTAAGACAGATGAGAGAAAGGATCGGGAAGAGAAGAGATGAGAAGATCTGGAAGTATCCCAATCTTGATAGCTATCTGTGGATCTGAGGATGCCGTGTACGGATGACTTCTTTTCAAATTATAAAGAAGCAAAGTTCAGAAGCTCAGGAAATAGTTATTTTACTTTGAGAATTCGACAATTCGAGAATTCAAAAAACCTAGCCAAACGTACCAAAAAAAGGGAAAATGGCGTTTGCTGAGCTGAGCTCGCGGCTCAGGCATAGGAGGACAGGGGCCAAAAAGTGAAAGAGGTGTCGTAAAGGGACCATAAATTTTTCACGGCGTTCATGCCAATGAAACATTGCATGCATTTCCATTTCCCTCGGCGTCTGACCAAAGTTTAGCTTTTCCTCGTTTTCTTCTTCGTCCTGTCCAGTGCATAATGTCCAATAACCGTCCACTATTAACCTGTCCGGTTGGCTACCAGGATAATGGCTAAGCTAAGCGGGCGGGCGGCAAAACGATGATGAAGACCAGCCATTTTTTGATTGCGTTTTCAGTCACTTTGTCACATCACTTTGAAAAAGTTGAAAGAGGCATGCAGACAGCAAACTGAACGAGGAGTACCACATAAAAAGGGCAACTCACCTTTCGATAGTTTGAATGATGCTCTCAATTTGCTGAACTGTGCCCGACATTTCAGCGGAAGTGGCCATCCTGCAAGAAATAACCGTTTCGAAGGGCGGAGAAGAGAGGTAGATATCGACAGGAATAGCCACGATGTACATTTTGAAAAAAACGTGGCACCACAACGACACAGTGGAACAGACAAAGATAGTAAGCAGAGGCACAAACAGAGAGGAAGAGACAGGAAGAGAGAGAGAGAGGAGGAGGAGGGGGAGGCCCGGGCGACAATGGTGTTGAACAAATAAACCACGAATGCAGCCAGCAAATGATTTCAAATCATCGATTGATGCAAAATTATTGGTGATGTGGCACCGTGTCTTGGCGTTTGCATGAGGAAAAGAAGGGTGTATTTGATTTCACAAATAAGCCTGGCGGCGCAAAATAGAGGACTGAGATCCGCGAAGATAAAGTACAAGCAAGCCCCCGGGGCGGCTGCCTGTATTTTGCCTCATTTCCTCATATCTCCACATCTTTTTCTTTTTTCCTTTCCCTTCTTTTGGGCGCGATGTAATGAATTGAAAATGGAAGGGAAAACAGTCGTCAATCTCTGAGAACACAGCTAATTCGCGTACCATCTCTCGTTCCCTCTCTTTCCTACTGCTGCTGCCCTTTTGTTTTTGCTGTTTCAAAGAGCAATTGATGCCAGGCGCGGAGAATTCGAGAAAGTACGACTGCCTCTCATTCGGCCGACCATCATGTGTTGGTAAACAAGTCAGGGCGTCGCCGTGTGCCACTTTCTTACGGAAGTTTGTGTGTCTCATGAGTAAAAAGTGAAACGCGTGCCGATTTTTGACAGAGAGTATAAAATAAACATGATGTCTGTCAGCGGTTGCATTCGAAAGTATTGTTTAGATTTTGAAATGAAGTGTATGGGATAGAATGCGAATGGCATCTGGAGAAACATGAAACGAATAGAATAGAGATTAGGTTGGCAGGACCACTAAACTCTCGCTAATCGGATGAAAACTTCGGCCGCCGTGAGTGACAATATTCAATTCGGTTGGAGGATGAATTGAAATGCATCAATACCACATTGTCATTAATAGTAGATGAGATGCAAATTTGCGTGTTCAGTTCAAGAGTTCCAGAATCACTTTGAACTTTAAACTAGAGACAGAAAACGCGAGCGGAGGGGGAGGATGCAAACCCAATACGTAACCCAATTTTGTCCGAAAAATAGTAAGAAAAAGAGAGAGAGAGAGAGAGAGTAGTCTACAAGGAACAAGCGGACACACTTCACACCGGCCTGTACAAGCTGTGATTCTTGCTAGTCTACAACTACTCCATAAAAGTGCAGCTGTTTCGCAATGGAAAGTGAACGTGTCAAATGCGAAATAAAAACGGAAAAATGTAGTGCAGACCATCTGCTGATTATACGGGATTTAGAGGAAGTTCAGACCGAGTAATAATGTTGAATAGAATAAAATGTGACAAGGTCTGCTAAAAGACTTTTCTTTTTTCAGCTGCACGGATTGAGCGTGGCAAATTAGACGGTGGGAAACCTTATCAAAAAATTATTTTCTTTTAAAGCTAATCGTTTTCTGATGTTGGTCTTTCTTCTTTTTCTGTTTGATGAAACCTTCGCACGAGCAGGTCAGGCTTCCGGAATTGAAGAAACGGACACTGCTTATTATTATTATTCACAACTAGCCACAATATATGTTAACTTTTTTGTCAAGGGTGTTCCCTTTTCCCTAACTATTGTTTCATTTTCCGGTTTTCTGCTAAAAAAGGAAATCCTTGACCCAACCAATTTCGAAAATTTCTTAAAGTCAAAACAAATTTAGGAACTACCATTACATTCTGAAAACAATACTATTCAGAATTTTTCAGAATTTTTCAGAAAAATTCCCAAATTGGCGAGGTCCAGACTTCCCCTGATAGGTTCACGTGGGCACTTGCAAACCAGATTTTCTTAACAACCGAAAATGCATTCTGGAATCAGCTACAACTCACAAACCAACAAATATGTACGTGGGAAGTGTTTACAAGCGTGGTGGTGTGAGAGTGACCGAAAGTGAAATCGTGTTTCTCGTCTTCCCGATTCAAACCAGATACCACGTGTAATCGGCAGAAAACACACAGAGACGCACGGGGTCAGTCAGTCGATGACACTGCTTGCATCGCGGGATGAAAGGAAAAAGCCAAAACGAATACTGAAAAGGCAAAGAAGGGGAGAGATTTTACGAGAATGCAGGGAGGGAGAGGGAGATGAACGGGTCGAACATGCATAAAACCGTCATAACTTTTGCGCCTTTGCTAGCTAAACGATCGCGTTTTTGGAGAGGAGAAATGAGTTGGAATCGGAGAAAAACGACATGTCAATCAGTCGAATTGCGAATGAAACTTCCATTCGAATAGTGCTAAAAAACGGAAGGAAATGAGGACGTTCGGAAATTGCAAATGTTGTCGGCCGGACATTGAATAGGAAAAAAAGAGGTTTCTAAAAGGGTTTGTTCTTTTTTATCGAGCAAATTGTAAGGTGCCGTATCGCTGTGGGAGTCCACAACGAATCAAATTGCGAGGGAGGAAAAACATGAAATGCGATTTGAGTTTGAGTTGAGTTGTTGGTGATGATTGCAAAATATTGTCAACCACATAGAGAGGGTCCAGCAAAGAAAGGTCATGACTAGCTGTCTGGGTGCGTGTTGTGTATGTGGGATCATAGTTTGCACTGCACAATTGATAACAAACCTGTGTGTCCAACTTTGCGCTATAATACTCATCGCCACTTCCTCACGCGCATTCCGATAGGCTCGTAAACGAGAGCGTCCTGCGAAGAGGCGAGAAAGGAAGAAGGAATTCGAATTAGGTTAATACTTTTGAGGGGAAAAACGCGAGGGAAAAACGAAATTCTTTCTTGATGGCGGTGGCGGCACTTACATTAGTTTTTACGACATAACCGAGTTGGGTCAAGTGTCATACATACCTAATTTGCGGGAAAAAAACGTTTTTCCCAGTGGTCATCACAACTGACCACATGCAATTACTTCAGGCCACGAGCCAGGAAGAAACATTTTTCACCGAGGTAAGCACAACAAATGTCGGCAAAGAAAGTGAAAAATTGGTTACGGGGTGCAATCCCACATGTACGTCCGCCATACGTTTCAGTTTCACTTGTTTACTAGTGCGGAGCTTAAGGATAATGCTCCGGAACGGCAAATGAAAAACAATGTGCTGGGACTTGCAATGGGACGTTTGCGACGGGGGGCACAGGGGACCCGAGCCCGCCCGGTTGTTCACATGAAGCGACAAAATGGATGGTAGCAAAATATGAAATGCAAAGAAAAATTTCGGCGGAGAAAAGGGTCCCGACGAGCTTTGTTGTGAATGGTTTCCAAGCACCCGTCCGTCCCTTCCTAGGCAACAATTCTAGTGCTCATTTTTTTCAACGAAACACATTTATTGAGTTGGCAGAGAAAAACACACATATGTTCAGTATCATAAACACAAAGTTGCTGGTCGACCGGTAGATAGGACCGGTATATACAAAAAAGGAAAACAAGGGATTCACACTGCTAACGGCAAGCAAGATGGGTATTTGTAATGTATGTATATTCATATTGTAGGCACGAACGACGAATATGATCACTAACCATTATAATCGAATCATACAAAATAGTACAAGATGGTAGAAATAAATGAGTTAGAAACTAAGGCAGTTGAGGAAAGACATGGACAGCACTCCTGTCACGATCATCACAAGTTGTTTGAGATTCTGACTGAAATAAAAAATAAACGTATTGGGCGAGTGAATTCTGATGAAATTACTTACACTGGGGACGTCTCCTCATTGAGTTCGGGCAAGAGCTGCGTGAGGGCAATGTTGAGGAAACCGCCGGCCGTGAAGGGGAGAAGGGTTTCAATGACCGGCACGTTAGAGGTGTGCAGCGAAAGGGCCACGCAGGAGCCGAGAACTCCGGCGGAAGCAGTTATGAACTGGAAAATGATGATGATGGAAGAGAGCAGAAGATCATTGGTGGCTACCTGCACTTTCATTGCTGCTGTTCTGTCGAAATCCGCGCGGAGAAGGATGGCAAAATCGCTAATCTCGTGAGGGATTTCATGAAGAAGAATGGTGATTGTAGTCATGATTCCAAACTGCAAAACGTGGTATGAATACCTAGCATTGGCTAGCAGTTCGGAAAATTACCTTGGTAGAAACTAGGAAACTGCTTCCGACGGCAAGACCGTGAGCGAAGTTGTCCACGATATTGGCGGCCAAGTTCATGTACGCACAAAGCTGAAAGCCTGACTTTTACTTTTCCCTTTCAATTTCCCCGTTCACAAGTCAATTTTTGCTCTCAAATTGTTTACTTTTTTGAACGAAGGGACGATTTGCTTATGCTCTCTTGATCTAAACATTCGGAAGCGGAACTTGCCTGATGCTGTCCCTCTTCAGTTGACGCTCCAATCTTCTCGATGAGGGAAAAAGTGAGGTATCCGGCCAGCACCCACAATCCCATTGCCACGTGGTTCTCGTTGCTATCATAGGCTTCTGGAAGAAGATGCAAGAAGACATCCGCCAACAGAGATCCGACCGCAAATCCGAGAAGCAGGTTTAGGCGACGTTGGCCGTCTGAAAATATTTTTATGCGTGTGACGTCATCAAAAACAACTTAAACTTACCAACTGAAGACAAGAACTCGTGTATATTAGCTGGGAGCAAGAAAGCTGGAATAATTCCGCTGCTCACGACGAGCGAGCATCCCACGAACGTCCAGAGCCACGTGGCAAGTGTCACTTCACCGCTCTGCTCCTCTTCTCTCTCCGACATAATCCTCTGAATTTCGGCAGCTTCTTTTCTTAAATCCTCCTCGAGACTGCAAGAAACCAACAAAAGACCATGTGTCTAGAGAAAAAAAAACATACACCAACGCGCGGGCTCGCAGTAGGTCATGGATTGGTTTTCCTTCCGGGTCCATAAGCGAATCGATTGCCACGTCGTCAAAGTCGCTATCCAGTTCCCCCTCATTTGTTTTGCCCAAAATTGACTCAGCAAAGAACTGAGGACCTGCCGCAGGATGCAAATCTGAAAAAGCAAAGGGAATCGTAAAAATATAACATTTTATACGTTTCGCTTGCACCGCCGTTGATGTTTGGTAAAACTGAGAAACTGAGCAACTCACCCATCATTATTCCTTGCTGCGCGTGTATTGCAATGCATGACGAGAGAAGCACAAACCAAAACATATTGGTCCGGTCCGGTCCCTACAAAAAATCAAGATTTTACTAGTCACTACGGTGCGATTCGATACGGAAGTGTAAACGGTGAAACGAGGAAGAGAAGAAAAAGGAAACGGTACAGATGGCGATTTGATTTTTGTTGATTATGGGGAAACGAAGGCGTCAGAGAAGAAAGACAGAAGAAGCAAACCAGTTTCGTTTCCGACGCTAACGCCAAAGAATTGAGAAGTTTTTTGGGCGATGTCTTCGAGACGTTTCTAGAGCGATTCGGAATTCCGAAAACGAACCTTTCGCTAGGTGTGTCCCTAATCGCATCAGCGCATCAGTTTCAAGCAGAACAACAGTGGCCTAAGAAGGATACTATGGCGGAGAACAAAAAAGCTGAATAAATAAAAAGGAAAGAGAAAGAGAGAAAGATGGGCAGAAACGAAGGAATAAAAGCGGTGGAAAAGAATGACCGTTGTGGTTTAGGACGCTCGTAACTGGTTTATGGAAGACCATAATTATGAAAGATAAATGGCATTCTTGATGAGTGAAAAATGAGAATAGATGCAAAAACATTCAGGATTGAGTCAGACTCATAGTTTCTCGACGCCAAATAACGATGCTGAACATCAGACGGTGTTGTAAAATTCTTCAGAAAGTCAGCATTTGCCAAACAATGAGATCAGGAGAATGCATGAATTCTGATGTTTCATCAATAGTTTGATTGGGATTTAAGATCCAGTAACAAAGTAAAAAAATTTCGCTTTCAATTGAGATGACTTCATTTGTATACAAATGAAACATCCTGATCGACATCGATTGATTGAGTGAACAGGATTGCCGTAATTGGAGATTGCGCGACATCATCCCCACACACCCAAAATCATTGATAACACACTCAGAGAACAGTTATGAATTATCCGACAGTTGCTGAGCGATCAAAAGGAAAGTGAACGAGGAAACAGATGAAGGAGGAGAAGAAGGAGATGAAGAAGTATAGCCTGATGTCTTTTCCCCTTCAAAACCAGATGAATCGGTTGTGTCGGCCACCGTTGTAGAAGAAGAGAAGAATAAGAAGTGTAGGAGAGGGAAAAATGGCGGAGACATTGTATAAATTGAAGAGGCTTTTAGAAAGATGAGTGAGGGAGTGCGAGACACAGAGAATGGCAACTGTTTCTTGAAGGACGGGTAGGAGGGCAGTCTCTAAGAACACTTACTTCATCTCTCAGACCCTTGAGCATTGATGAACCAACGGCAGAAACGTGAAAATCGGAAACTTTTCAGGGTCCGCACGCCGTGAACATCAATCGATCGATGCTTAGTGTAACAGTATTTGGGTCAAGAGTGTGGAAGAAGAGGATGGGCTGTTGGCTGACGAACATCTGGTGCCGTGCACGCGGATGTTGAGAGATACGTCGGGAGGATTGAATTGAAAAGAATAAATTGCATGCACACTTGTGATTTTTGCCCGAATCCTTTCTGACGACCATAATTTTTGGCACTGTTTACTAAATTAGCGATATCTGTGCCATTTAGAACATCAATATTTTTTCACCCCGGCCCATGACAACTATGGTAGCATGTCTTCGAAATATTTCAGCGGAACGCCAGGCAATCTCAAAATATTTTAACAACAACAATTTCAATTGCACTACGTTTCACGGAAAGCTTTTGTTTACTTCCCATTCGAATTTTGCAAATGTCACTCATTTGCCATCCATATTTATTTTATTTCATTTTCACAGTAATAACGTCTTCAGTTCGCACTCAAATTATACAAATACAAAGTTAAATGGGAATATAAGGCATTTCGGATAAGTGAGTTGCAGCATTTCATCAAATGCTCCCGGTAATGGTGATGAGACAGGGTATTGGAGGGGGGGGGACCATTAAAAGACAAGGGGGTTGAGAACAGAGCACTGGATCCCAGGAATATAAAGGATTAGCTGGAATTTATCGAAAGGGGAGAAGGAGAGGATGAGAAAGTTTCATAAATTAAATATCAATGTTGAATTGCACAATGAAAACGAAAAAGCGAGTCTATTCGTCATGCTCGTCTGGAGAGACGATTCCTTCACTGCTGTTCGATTGCCACTCGGCCGATGAGTCAACTGAGCTGTAGGGGCGAATCTGAACAGAAACAAATGAAAAGACTATCCACAAAGGTCATGTTTACCTTATGATGAGCGGTGGAGATTTCCAATGGCGAGTAGAATGTGTTCTTTCTGATATCCTGAAAATAAAACATTCATTATATATTGAGAGTGGTTTCTTGATTTACTTTGATAATAAGCGCAATGTTAGCTGCAAGTTTGCCTTCGTCGCAGTTGTTTTCTCTGGAGAACATCACCAATTCCTCTTGGATTCTGCTGGCATCCTCAAGCTCTGATAATTTGTTGATTTTGTCACAGAACGATCTGTGCTGCAGCAGTTTCTTCTTGAGAGCCTCAATAATATCTGACTGCGCTTGAAACTGTCTTTCCAGATGGGCATTGAACTCCTTCACCTAAAAATATTGCGATTTCCTCTCATTACTTTGTATTATAGTTGTACCTCAATGAGTTCCTCTTCCAAATGCTTCGAGATTGTTCCATCCTTTTCGGACTTTTTGGCAGCCTCATAAAGCAGTTCATAGTCATGAATCTTCTCGAGCGCACTGTTCAGTCTGTACTTTGCCTCCTCATATCTTCTCTCCAATTCGGTTCGGATTTCTGGTCTCTGCTCGTCTCGGTAGGCTGCATATTCTTTCTCGAGGTTCTTGAGACGCTGATCGACATCTTTCTTTTCAGCAGCCATCTTCTCCATCTGCGCCTTTTGTTCATCAACAGTGGTCCTCAGCTTCTTCAGCTCTTCTTCCTTCTTGAGCGCTTCCTCTTGCGACGACGAAACGACTGACTGGAGTTGTCTGGAAAACGTATTTTCTGAGAAATCTGTTAGACATTCATTTCTTACGCGCTCAAAGCCTCTGTCATTTTGCGTTCTCTGCTCAAATCATTTTCTTTTCCTTGCATCTGGAATCGGATCTTGCCCAACTCTTTGGATGCCGATCTGAGTTCCTCATTAATCTGAAAGGTGTTTTTGAAGAATGTAGAAATAAAGCGGGGCGCTTACACTTGTGTTGGCTGCCTCGGCCTTCTCAAGTTTCTGTTTCAAGTTTTTCACTTCTTCCGATTCTGATACTGACAAATTGGCTGGTGCTGCAGATTTGACAGCTTCCAATTCTTGCTTGATGACCATAATGGTCTTGAGCTGTTCACAATGAGCCTTCTTGACTTCATCAAGTTCCTTTTGCAATTGTGCCTTTTCCTTCTCAAACTGAACGTTGGCTTTTTCTGTGACTTCCTGAAAATTTACAGTTATAAGGTGCTATGAAGGGTTGTAGGATGAAACCAAACCATAACCACTGCATGAATTGAAAACACTTCAAACCTGTTGTTTCTGGTTCTCTTCCATCTCGAGCACTTGGAATTCAAGAACATCATTGCGCTCGGTTTGAGATTCAATTTGTTCTCTCAAGTCTTCGATAGTCTGCTCCAAACATCGGATATGCTCTTGCTGACCAGCAATGGTCGATTTGAGCTGTGCAGTTTGGGACATCTGGAACATGGTTAGTACATGCAAGGGGGAACACACAAACACACAAACACGCCAATCAACGTATCAATAAGGAACCGCAACTGATCAATTCAGAGAGAGAGAAAGAGAGAGAGAGCGCTGATTGTTGGTTGCTACGTAATTGAATTGCCAGCCCATGTTTGCACTAGTTGGTGGGAGGAACCGCGCTTTTTCTCTCTTTATTTGGATCGCATCGCAACCGTATTATCACGTCATGAGGAATGTCCGGTGGATCAATGCTCAAGCACCTCAATCTATCTATCGGCAAAAAGATCACCCGAAAAGTCAGTGAAAGGGAATGGGAGATAGATAAGTTTCTGGGCGACTAACCATGTCTTGTGTGGCGTCAATAACGAGTTGTTGTTGTTCGATTGTCGAATTGGCAAAGCTGATCTGGTCTCTCAAGAAACTTTCTTCGCTCAGATCAGAAGTGTTTAGTTGGAGTTCCTAAAGTGTTCCACTAGTTGCGATTTTCATACAATAACGATGACTTACATTCAAAGCACGCTGCAATTCGGCGTTCTCTCTGTACAAAGCCTGATAGTCGGTCTCGATATCCTTTGCGAAAACCTGTAAGAAATAATTCCGATTGAAGTAGAGTAGCCGATTAGGTGAAGGTTGTAGATGCTATCTATCAAAAACGCAAGGGAGGGAATACATAGAAAATTGATGATGACGTCGAGACTTTTAAGGGTGGTTCGACAGAATCCGAGATGACAGTTATGTCGGTTCGGTTTGGTCTCCGCTGTTGAAAACCGCCAATATTTATGAGATGCATATCATTCATTAACATAACGCCGCGGGTAGTAGGCCACGAATCTCGAGTTTACGGTCTAATTCACACAATTTCGACAAATTTCTAATCTCAGGTTGACCTGCTTCAAGTATTCCCTAGAATAATAATAACGTTTCGTCTCGTTTTCTTTTGCCGCAAAAGAACCGCAACATGTCGAGGGGGGTGTTTTACGAACAAAAACAGTCCGTCAGCATCGTATCACAGGTAGTGTTGGGTGGCTGCGTCTTAATTTGATTCTAGGAAAGTGATTGATGACCGTTTGCCGCTGGGCGTTCAAGGGCAATCCGCTGAAACTCGGCGGGGCCAACTACAACTATTACTACTACTACTACTGCCCGCCAGAGTACTTTCCTTCCTTTTCCTCCGAAATGAGTCATGCCCGTTGACGGAAATGGTTAGCATTTTTAATTAATCAATTTTGCATGAGAATGGATGGGAGGCACACTAACTTTATGCGGGAAGGAAAAAGAAGGGTTGACGGATTCACATTCACGTCTTCACTTTATCAAATTAGAATGACACAAAAGGCTTTGAAGGTTAATCCTTAACATTGTATTTCTTCTATCGAGACAAAAGGGAATACGTAGTTCTGTTCTTGTTGGAACCGTCATTCTAATGCTACCAATCTTCTTACTGACCAATAAATGAAGCGAGAATAAGGCAACATGGTGGAAGAAAGAGCGAACCGCACCCAAATCGTAACGACCCTTTTCGATGAATCTCGAGAATAGCTTCTCTTTTTTTCCTGATTTATAGCGTTTTCTTTAATTATCCTCTTCCTCAAAATGCTAGCCAGACCAACGAAAGTATCTGAGGGAAACGGAGAAGAAACGAATGGGGATAATGAGTGAAGAGAAGAAGAGCGAATGAATGATTGTTCGACAATCAAACAGTTTTTTGTATTCCCCTCATTCGTTTCTCCGTTTAGACTAACATTTATCAAAGTGTGTGGACTTCGGAAGGTGTAAAGTGCTTCGGTCACCGCAGAAATAATAAGTTGACGCGGAAAATAGCCAGTTTTGGTTGTGAACTGAATTTTGCAAAAGAATAAGTCAGCAATAGAAAAGCAGGCTTTATGAATGTTGGCGTTCGCAAAAAAGAAGAAAACAACTGAAAGGCCGTCAATATTCCGAAATTGAGTTTGAAAAATAAGCCTCAAGAGGTTTTGACAAGGTTTTCCCAAACTTGTTTTTCTTTTCTTTTTCTTTGTCAAAGTTCTTCATAGTTTCCTAGCCGCAGGGTGCGCTAATCACAGATTAGTCCCTTTTCCATTGGTCCCCTTTCTCAGTTATTCATTTTTCCTTCAAATTATCGCCAACTCAGACCGCCTAGTGTCACTCTTTTATGACGCTTCTTTAATCCGGTACATTTCTTGGATAACCGCGAGTTCATTTCCGAGAATTATGGAATTTTTGATGATTCGATCTCAAAACTGACTCAGCTCGCTAAAATGTACGGCGATCCCTGAGTTTGCGGAACCGCTTTCTCGAAATGCTTAGTCGTGATTCAGTGCTTGAAAAAGCGCCTACATACGGAATCAAAACAATCTTTGGAAAGCCAGACGTCATGAATGAATCGACGATCGACCACCAATGGTCAATGAATAAGAAGTCGTGTGACACACAGACACATCAACGTTTCGATTTCTTGGCAAACAGATTCCCGTCGCACAAACCTCCTCGAAATCCTCCGTAATCGTATCAAGGCTTACAGTGCTGGCCGCCGAACAATCGCTTCCACCATTGCTGCAAAATCGGATTACTCTGGAAAGATCTATTCAGCTTCTCGGCTTACCTCATTCTGTCGTCATCGTTTTCACTTTTCTTCAGGCACTTCTGTAGACGCTTGAACTTTTGGACCAGCATCTCATATCTCTTGTCTTTTTCCTGAAAAGACTAGAATAGATGAGTGAAGCGAGAAGAGTACAAACATAGGCGGAACTTCTGAGAGCAGTGATACACTTTGAGTACTCGAGCACTTTGTTACGGTATCGGCTGAGTTCCTCCAACTTCTCCGGCGACACACGTTTCTCTTTCAAACACGCGTTCTCCTTGAGAAGACGTTCATGGACATCTTTCTGAAAAAAGACAGTATTTATATGTTCACTACGTGCCGAATTCAAACCAGAGTTAGGAAATCGTCTCGGCTGTGACAGAATCTCTGCTCAATCTTTTTCATTTCCTGTTGCAAGGTTTTGTTGCGATCGGAAAGTTTGCGGTTCGCATCGATCATTGGCCGCTGGCCCTTCTCCATTTCCACAATACGCTTTTTCTGAAAATTGAAGAGGAGATTATTGCATGTTGAGGGTAAATCTGACTGAGAAGTGGAAATGAACAAATGAAAGAATGCAGCTCGCTATAGAAATTAATACTCGTGTGACATGTTTTGGTCTTTCATGCGCAACACAGCAGCTGTTCCGTCAATTTTCCACGAGCTACGGTCAACTCACAAGTTCCGCTTTGTTGATTGTCAGGGACGAATTCATAATTTCCGCATCCATCAGCCGCTTTTCCACTTCCTCCATCTTTCCAAGCCATCTAGTGCGTTCCTTTTCGTGCTCTTCTTTGCTGACCTGAAAAATCATGGTTATTTGAAATATGATAACTTTTTTTAAAGATCTCAAATCAAACCTGAAGAGGCCCTAAATCAAACGTTGTGACCGTTGCTCTGCGATTTCTATCAATTACTCTCCGCATGATTTCTGAATTTTTTCGAATATTCTATTGGCTATTGCCAATTGCGAAGAGGAAAAAGGGAAGAAGAAATTCGAGAATTTAGAATTCACTGACAAGTGAGAAAAATCATTGGCATCTGAATGGGAGGACAAAACTTATCGCGCAGAAAAATCACTGCCCTCAGACTGTTTGTATGCGGGTATGTGTGTGTATGTACGTGTTTTCTCAAGATCACCAAGAAAAACTACTATAATCTGCGAAACACACATGCAAGAGCAAAGAAAAGCGAACGCGAGTGCATGGTTTGTGTGGTTTTCTCACAAGTATAATAGCTGGCAGAAGAATAACAAAAGAGTATGGTAATAACGCCAGAAGAGTGCTCTCTATTAGCAAAAAAACGAACGGATTAGATGAGTGAAAAGAAAGGGAAAAAGAGGAAAAGGAGAGAGAGGGAGAGTAGACCGTACAAGGACGCACTCGTGGCGGGGGTCGTAATTGCAGGTGTGTGTGCGAGGGACGGACCACTCCGGCTGTCCAAAGTGTGTCGGATTACTCTAGGGTCATCAGAACACATGTGCGCACAAATGATTGCACATCCATCTAGTACCGTTGTTCTTGGGATTGAGACAAGATTATTATTAGGTTCTAAAACTTTAGAGGAACGACAAGAGATGAGAATGTTGGCAAAATGAGGCACATAATATGACTCTTGATGAATTAGGCTGAGAAGGGCGGAACAAAAGCGGCAATTCTTGCAACAACGGTCTCCAACTGTGATGCGATTTCATTCATTTCGTTTGATCTCAAACCGAAACTGACCTGACCTATTTTGTACGTATTCAGATATAATATGCAAAAGCCGGCCCCGGTATCAGTGATTATCAGGAAACAACTTTCACCTCCCGGTTTATCAAGTGAAACTCACATAGGTCTTCTCTCCGAACGCGGATGGCATCTTTGAGGGCGTCCCTGTTCGAAACGGGCTTTCGGTCATTACTCTGAAATCATTATCTTATCACATTTGTCGTAAAATTTCAAAAGATTTGGAAAGTGTTCTGCAAGGGATTGTTCTGTTCTGGTCCCAAAGTCCCAAAGTCCCGATTCCATTTTTTCTCGAAAGTAATCAGACGGGTTTTTTTTGCTCCCATCACTTTCCTAGTATTACGATTTTCTAATTAGAATTCTTCAATAATTTATAATTTTGCAAGAGCATCGTCATTGAAGAGCTTTCTCCTGCGACCGAGTTGTAAAATGAGTGTAACGGAAGTCGAGGTGCGGAAAAAATAGGTGCTCACAAATTGATTAGATCTGGCGTATAGAAGAGAGAAAGAGAAATAGATTTTGATGAGCAAGATGTGAATGTTTCATGAGCACTCATCATGCTCAGATCACAACAGCTGTGCAAGAGATATTGGGATTGAGACGCCGGAAACGTTTTTGAACATTGTTTAATAGAGTAGCAAGTAAGAAAAAAGAAAATTGCTTGTAAATACCCGACAGTAAACGTGAAAAGACTAAGAGAAAGCGGCAGTCCACTTGGCACACTTGCTCTACCAAGAGTTCAACAGAAAATATTGAGTGTGAACTGTGAGATCGGACAAGACTCTTCGAAAGTGAGAAATGAGAGACGTTTACTGTTTGGCAGCTAAGCGACCTATCAAAAACCGGGTTCATGATCCGATATTTGTGTGCATACAGTGAGAAATGAAATGAAATGTGATCCATGCCGGAGGCACACAGTAAAGTTTGCGGATTTGATCCGAATTGACAAAACATCTCTAACGGCAGCCTACGCAAAACGGTAAACATGCCATTTTTTAGAAACTTATTAGACCGTCTCGGTCGGACAAACTCTGAGAGAAAAAAGTGACTTGCCTTGTAGAATTCGCTCGAGAAAACATGTTTAGATTTCAGCGGTTTGGCCCCAATATATAGTGGCCGAACATATGCAAATGGGGTGACGAGCCCAAGCCCGTAACTCTTTATCACCACTTTTAGCGGTCCTATCTATGCGTTTTGTGCAAATACCATTATGCCCCTTTCCTGTGTTCCATTTCTCCGGCCGACTTACGTGCGTTCATTGCCGGACATGATTTGGTGGCTAATACCCGTGAACTTCGCACACAATAATGATGATGCTCTTGTGATCTGCCTGAATTTTGAACTTTATTAATCAAGTTGTTGTATAGTCGCGGAACAATAGTTGGACAAGTGGTAGGATATGAGCACCAAAGTACGGTGTCTGAAAGATTGGAGGCGGATGTATATACGGATGGAAAAATGATAAACGAAACGCGAGAGGATGAGATAACGACAGTGCAAACAGCTGACCGGAGGAGCCATCCGCCGGCCAGCTTTTCTTAACCTCACTGATAGCCAATCATATACACGCCGCCAGGTTGTAAATAGCGGGGGATCCGCACGGGCAGCTCCACTTTTATTTTCACTGATTATATGTTTTGTAAACTGAAAACGCGCATAAACAAAGATGCGAGGATTAGTATTCGAGAAAAAAATATGAATGTGAACAGCTCAAAACAAGAAATTAACGAGCTTGAAGGTGGAACGAGAGAAAAAACGAAAACAACTCAATTTTCTGTCGTAACACCTACACAAACACGCGTACAGTTCATTGCATTTGGTGTTCACGGCAATGGGTGTCGAAAAAACTGTATACCACGGTCTAGATTTCGGCAAACAGCCTGGACGATGCAGCTACTATCTTAAGTTTTTCATCGCGCTTCGAAAAGAGGGTTTTGCTTAGGAGGCTGCTACTGATGAGATCTTGGAAGAAGGGCCTACTCCATCCACTCCCACTTCTTGTTCTTTTCAACCAACAACGACCACGTAAATCTGTGGAACATTACATACATCCGAACAGAATAGTCTTTGTGAGAGGAATGAGAACTGAACGGATGGACAGACATTGGATAGCCATTGAGCATTTTGTTTTATGACACCCCCGGCCTCATAAAACTTTTTTTCTGGCGGAGATGCTCGACATGTGGAAAATTTTACAGAGTATACATACATACATCAATTCGAAAAGACAATTGATGATATTCCGATGTTTGGTGGCAAGAAACGGCTGATAGGATAGTGGCGTGGCGCCTCTATCAGTAGAGCAAACCCATGTTGCTCTGGTCCCTCCAAAGTGTGTAACATATGTCGGCCACATGATCCATCACTTTACCCCGCATTGAAACCTCGTGGAAAAACGATTGATCCATCTTTGAGCAACAAAACCTTTTGTTCAGCAGGAATTACTCCTTCTTCTGTGTGGTCAACTTCAACAAATGTCGAACAACAATCCGTTCTCCCGCTTTCTTGCGTTAACCCATAAATTCGCAGGTCATTCATCTGTTCGTGACCGCACTGCGGTGCAGATTCCATAGATTTGTAGATAAGTGACGCTCCCAGACAGAATGGAAGCATGTTTGATGTTTGGGGATCCCTCGTTTCAATCCTTCAGAACTTTTTCTTAGTATTTTGGCTAGACAATTTAATCAGAAACGGGATTTGAACTTGAGCTTTTCATTGTCATAGATCGAACACTTTTTCTGCTGATGCGCAACTCGGATTACATTTCTTTTTAGTCTGAATCATACTTTTCAAGAAAAGAATGAATCGGGCTGAAAGTCTGAAAAATCAAACACCTGCACAAGTTCCAGACATGTTCTTTGTAGTTTCAAAGGTGGCAGTTATGTGTGGGTTAGTCGATTGAGTGAGTCAAATGCGGTTTGACATCATCAATATGACGTCTTTTCCAGCCCGACAATCTAATTGAACTTACAGCTTCTTGTAATTACATTGTCTTCGCATACGTCTGACACATTTTTCAGTCTGAATCAAGTCCCGCCGTTCTACGACATCATCGGTAAAGGACACAGAAAAAAATGCCATTCTTTTCCACATTGATGGAGATTAGCGATAAATTAGCACCCCAAAAAAACCGCAAATCTCTTCTTCCATAATCCATGACAAAGTGCATTGTTTCTATTTCTGATTGCATAATACCATTGGCCAGATGTGTAAAGATCAAGCATTCTTTGGAAGAGCAGCAAAGTTAATACGGTATCAATGCAGCAAAAACTGAACCATGTGTAGTGGATAGACTCTGAAAAAGAAAGAAACAACTTCAAACACTGGAAAATATTTTGGAAAGTTTATCAGATCAAACTGATATACATAAGAGAATCTTTTGTACTTTGGGAGCTGAAAGTTTTGGGCAGAACAATAAAAAATAAGTTAAAGCAATTTCATAGAATTCCTAATAATGCACAACGGAAAATGGCAAGAATGTGATATGTAAAGAAGCACTGTAAAAGAAAGAGATCGATTAGGGAAAACGTTAAATCAAGGGGGGGTTTAAATATGACGAGGTACAAAGAATGCTATTATCCTATAACAAGATGATATTGTGCGGTTTCACGACGCGTGTTTCCGATTTTTTTTCTTGCTCCGGCACAGGTAATCCGCTGGTTCTAACTGCTCGTCCCTGCAAACACAAAGTTAATCATTTGATCTTATTGTTATGGTTTCTTACGGTATGCAGTGTTTCATTATGTCTTTGTGTCGCGCTCCCACTTCCAACAGTATCTGATCTCCTGGAGCTGAGTTCCTCAGATACACGTAGGTCGCTTCACATCTCGAAGAGGCCGACAGCCTTTTGGTATCTGAAAAGTGATGCCATTTCATTTGGGATTTGTATACCAGACGCGCTTAGCAAATGAGGGATTATTAGTTTTTGCTAGAAACGCGGGCCCATTCTATTATCATGTTTCCAGGTGTGTCATCCCTCCCATAGACTCACTCAGTTCGCACGCCGACAGTGATTCGCTGTACGCGACTGGATTCTCTTCGATGTCTGCAGACGCTACGAACAAGTCTGGGCAGCACTGAAAATTGGTTGATTAGCTTTGAAAGTCGATAGCATTCGGATTACCTTTCGCCTGCTTCTTGATTGGAAATCCAGGAAGCGGATTTCTATTGCCGGAGGCAGTCGAACCATGCACAAGGGCTCATTCGCAGTGTTCTCTAAGATCACGGCTGCTCCGACCAAATTATGCAGGTTTTTTGCATATTCGTCGCAACCTGAAGTTACAGTATGTTGTAATAAATGATAACAGAAAGTTGGTTTTCAAGAGGCCACCCAGTAGTTTCCGCTCACTCACCAAGTCTAATGATCGGCGTGATGCGCACTGTGATAGTCACTGATTCCGAGGCATCAAATCGGAAATCATGCGATCCCTCTTCCAATTTCTTTTCTTGTTGTGGCAGATCACACACTTCCGAGACGTTTGCACTTGATGTCGTCTGAAAATAGTGCGTTTAGAAGATAGTTCCAGTTTTCAGGGTTGATTACCTCGCATGTCCTGTCCGACGGCCGAACAAACGCCAGACTCTCGCTGGGCACTTCTACTATTATATGACATAATGTCATTTCTAACCGGGGATCTGACTTGAATGTGTAGATCCCCGGTTTTGCTATTGTCTCCACGCAGCCTGAAAATTGGTAATTATTAACAGTCGAGCGCGAATGGAACTTACCTAGTGGAGATTCTCTTTTCTTCTCTGTGTCCGTCTTGTGTATCTCTGCTTCGTCAACTGTTTTTAGTAAGTTGACGAAGTCCGCCAGTGCTGACGATACACTGCCTACGCTAATCGTCAGGCAAATGATCGTCAGAGCTATTCTGTTGATCTGGCACATATTCTGAAAAAGGAAATAGATGGTACATTAATTGAAAGTGAAGAGTACGAAAACAATATGCGATGAGAAAATGACAAAGAAAAGATATTTATAGGCTTGGACAAACGTTCTAAGGTTGATTCATGTAATTGAGAGTTGCACCTTAGAATTAGGTTGCGACTACCTTATGACGGTATACGTAATACGAAATGCGTAGGGTGAAGGAGGGTGTGGTGACGGTGTGGCGGAGGACCGTGGAGATGAGGGCGGAGGGGCGGTGCTATGAAAAGCCGCGCCCAGTAGAGGGCGCTCGGAGAGCAGGTGGGATGCAAGGATCGAGCACGCCTTTTCTCATTCACTCGTGAGTCAGATAACTACTTAAAGAAAGCCAGTGACATCGTTCATGTTATCAATTTGCGGAAGGTGAATTTTGAAGATTGAACTTGAAAATCTGCTATGTTCGCGGACGCCAAGAACCGTGTAAGCACTTTCATGCGCTTGCTTTTTGGTGACTTGAGATAGCACACTTACAAAGATCATCACAGATGGGGGGAAGGAAAACAGAAGAGAAAAAGTGTGGAAAAGTTTGATAATTCAGCACAAACCACGACCGTCTATATGTGGAGTTCATCAAAGCGGAAAACAGGCCCTACGTCAAAAATTTTAGAATCTTCTACTTGTTTCCATGATTTTTGATGATTTTACTCAGAGAAAGTGCTGCAGAAACCCAACAGGTGGGACGAGAAACTTCAAATATCAGGAAACAACATTTGGTAGTAGCTAAAATTAAATTAGTGGATTTTCCGGTGCGGTTTGCAGTAGACATTCAACGCTTGAACACTTGGTCCAAAATTATGCTATTAAAGTCTGTGACGACGGAAATGATCCGGAAAGAACAAACAATCTTTCGGTGCCTTCATTGAGCACACCGTAGCTGAGTATACATTTTGAATTTAGTTTTGAAGTTGAAAAGGTGACACAAGCGCTGATGCATCACATAATCAACCACCCATATCTTTAGACTAGATTGTTATCTAAAGTTCGTATATAGAGTCGAATTTCCCAGAAAGATTATCCACTGTAAAGACGTACGAACGTAGGTGGGGATGAGCTACTAGTACGGGAGTCTACTGTAGCTCGTCTCCGGGTCTTCGAATAACATCGAGTGCATATAGATCAAAAAAGAAAACCAGGAATTGCCGAGTTGTGCCCGGCAGATTGTGACACAGATTACTTGTCAGTTTCAAACAAAAGGGATGACAATGAACTGGGAAGGATTGGCACGAATGTCAGAATTCATGGAATTTCCGGACAATTAATTGGATTTAGTTAGCTGTCAAGCCGATCTGACGGATGATGAGCTGATCTAACATCGGTGCGCTCGGCTTCGGATTTATGATTCTGACTGACTCAGTGGCCAGAAACAAAAGTTATTTCGATGCCTACCAAAACTCACAAGCCAGAGCAGGAAATTCAAGTGGAAAATTTCCATAGTTTGGCTTGGTTTTGCACATTAGGATTTCACGACGTAATCAAATGTGATGCTATACATATGCGCAAAACTTTTCAAGCACCCAGAAACCAGGAACTAGGGGTCGTTTCGCATCCGCCCGCTCGTTCAGTGACTTGAGATCAAAGTTAAGGAGATCTGCTCAAGTACTTGTAGCGTATTCACATGAAGTTAGCCAAAATTCAAATTATCTTTCCCACCACTTCTCGCAAATACTGCACCAAGGAGTAAACAATCTGAGCAGAATGTATGAGTGTGCGCGGATTTGCCACCCTGGTGGGAAAATGTGTCTATTGTCCCGATTGTGATCTTTCAGTGTGATTCAAGAAGTATTGGGGGAATACTTTTCAAAACTATACTATTAGACTTCAGAGCCTGACTCATGACTCCAAGCAGATTCAATTTACAGGAGAACGCATGACTAAAATGGAACACGTTGTTGCCCTCACCATCCGAAATTAATTAATGCAATAATAGAACAAAAACAGACGTCGCCAAATGAAAGAAATGAAGGAACATGGCGCCATGAGTGCTTTACCGGGGAATGTCTGAATAATTCCAGGAGTCAGTCGCCCTTTTTCTTTCGCCTTTATCTATCCGAATTTCTATTTTGATCATGTAGACGAAAATGAAATTAATTAGAATACAAGCGCCGAAAAACAATAGTGAACGCGTCCTAGTTATTCGAAGATTCGCCCTTAATCTGAAACACGTCGGCAGGGGATCGTCTGCTTATTTTCTAAAGCTTGGCCAACTTATTCAAGCGACTGGACAACGAACACTATAATGACGAAGAAAACAGAGGGATGACGAATGCGTGAGCTACTTATAGAAATTTGGGAGCCGATTATGAATCCAGAAAACATGGTGTTGGTATCAGATTCTTGAAGAAGACACCGAGTTGAATTTCTGACCAATCAGGAAAGAAACATGGCTCTTACAGTATACCCATACTCTCAGGCTTTGCGAAAAAAAAGACAAATGAGCTAATAATAGTTATCTCCGAAATATCAAAGAGATTAGAATTATGCAATGGCCTAGTCATCTTGGTTCTTGGGAGGCATTGAATGTATCCTTTACTGGTTCGTTTCATCCAGATGAGATGGAAAGAGAAAAGGAAAACACGTTGGAGTGATTAGGAAACTATGAATTGGGAGAGGGTGTGGCTTTTGATTTAGCGGTTCAGACACTTCAGCTCAATTTCTTTGTCAGGATCTAGCCATACTGGTACAATTTGAGAGGTGACTCCTTGTTGATCTGCGTCAACTATCAGTACAATATGAACATCATCTAGACACCCATGTTGATGATATGATATGATTCTAAATAAAATGACGAGGATGCGCATCGTGCATTCTAAATGCGCAATTAATATAGGCGGTGACTAATGTGAGATAGATCCGACTAAATTCTTAAGACCGTTTCTATACTGACTCTACAAAGAATCGGCTATAAGAAGTCTCTACAAAAACATGGGAATTTGGAATCAAGGAAATAGATTTTATGAGGTTTCCAAAGTTTTGTTGCTCGGGGGAGATGTGGTGGTGACTCAGAATGAGAGCCCGGCGGCATTCCCGTTTCTGGGCAGGAAGTCTGGTTTTAAACTCGGCATGATCTCAGGCGGCCACAAACAACAAGCTGCAGACCCCTCCCTCCCACACCTTCGGTTAGGGGTCTCATTAAAATGAATCATAAAGGTTCTTTACTCATCTAGTAAATGTAATGACTTCTGTTTCAAACGTGTTTTTCATAATTTCAAAGTTTATTTTATGTGAAAACAGGAAATGTGATTAATGGTGGGTGGGAGTGAACATGCCCGAATGCTTCGAAGTTCTACCGGGCAGAGTACTGAACAGAGAACATGCACATTTGGGTGGACGCGAACAAAAGAGGGATTGGGCTCAAATTTTGTGGATTAGGACGGAGAGCAAGCTGGTGTGGTGTTTAGCCGGTCCCCGACGGTCCTAGCCTACAAACCAATGTGCTCAAGGAGACATTATTGTCGGACAAAGCCCAGTGTCAAAACTGATTAAGAATACAGAAATTGTAGTTGAAATCTGGTCTTCGAAAGACACACTGACACATATTGACAGAACCTATTTGATTGAAAGTAATAGAAAGTGGAGTAGAGATCAGTTTTTGTTGTCTGCCAATTCGGAGGAAAATAATCAAGAAAACAAGCTCAACAATTCGAAATAATCTTTTTTCGGTTTTGTCCTATGGTAAACAAGTTGGCAAAGGACTACTTACTCTATAGTAACGCATATGTTTAGACCAGCAACACAAACAAAACACGGAAGAGTGACTGATACTGATTCACATCCGTTTCTCAAAACTTTTAAACCCTTTGATTTGTTTGAGACGTCGAAGTTGGGATTACATGCAGGTTCAATGCTACTTAGACGTTCCACTAGTTCCATGAATAAATTAACAGACACAAATAAACTTTTTAATTCTACTTTCTGACACATTCTGTCTACCATCTCATAAGAGGAAACTGCAGGCATTCCAGCAGAAACAATAATTCTTCTTTCAGAAAAGCTTCTCATCAGAGATCATCGCATTTGTTTGATGAAAGCAAAAACACCACTTATTTAATGTGTCAATTTGCTCGCAAACACACTGTTCATGGATTTGGATCGCATTGGTAGGGAGTTTGTAACGCTCACACCAAGAGATCTGCAGTGAAATCAAAGATGAATGAGACTAGAATGACTTGGCCGAACAATTCACCATGATCACCAAAAGCTTTCATTTTCGGGTCTTTCAGTCGGGTTGATTGTACAAACAGCAAATTTTTCAGTGACCATCAGATCACCGTTTCAGGTTGTAGTCTATTTCCGTTTTATTCACAATTGAGTCTATTCACATAATGAAAGGATTAATCCTGAGCCGAAAATGGGGGGGGGGGGTGTACCCTTACCGTAACTTCAGGAAAATATGACTGGGCTCTGGTGGAGTTTAAGAAGAAAGAACAAAATGTGAAACGAATGCAAACAGCGGAAAAATTTACTGAAACGCTTCTTCGCGGTTTCTGATGTCATTTGAACTGAAAACGCCACTGCGCGTGTACACTTGATCTCAAAACCGTCTCTAATTTGATGTCGAGAGTGCACTAGGTACTGACGCACCGATCAGCAGATGCGTCCGTTCTGAGAAATGAAAACGAGATGCTCGTGGGCATGGCTAATAGGGTCCATTTGTAGGCAGACGAGTGGGTTCAGGTCCAGCTCATTGAATTGTATTCATCTACTCCTGAACATGTGTCTCTGGCGAAGGGTACAATATAGCATCATCATCATCAATAGTGATCAAATCAAAGCACCACTTGTGGAAGCAACTTTAACAAGAGGGGGGGCAGGTGTGGGTTGGTGGAAGAAGCCACGTCAGCGGCTATAATTGCACCTGCGGGGGATACTTGTTGCTACGTAAAGTTTGCGTTCGGACGCAGTGGACTGGAGCAGAAAACAGAAGGCGTGAAGGGTACTCCGATCAATCATTTCGAGAATCC